AAGGTCATAATGGCAAGGAAGTGTTACAGCTGAGATTCCAGGCCAGAATGTCAGTGTCCAAAGCCTGAGTGTTTCCCATTAAACAACACTGGCATCTGCCACATAGCTTTACCAGAGCTGGAGGTGAGAGGCTTTGGTATCTGATGAACATCAGGCACAGTGAAGTCCTGCTTTCAGGCCTGCAAGAAAACGGAAGTATTCATGTTGTCTAGCAGACCTTTGTAAAACACTGAAAATGCCTGATAATTTAAAAAGCAGTTGTACCACAGATATCTTCTAGCAGCCCCAATTCTACCACTTCAACTATTAAAGGTTATTTAAGGTGAGCACATATTGTAGTAATGATTGTTTTGTTGAAACGTTTTGAAAACTGCTAACATTGTAAGGTGAATAACAAATATTTATCTTTTTCTAACAGTATTATAAATAGAATATCTATATTACAGTGCTATTTATTATATTGTGAATAGTATTATACACAACATTTAAAGAGTTAAATCTACATCTCTGAGTTTACCATTTTTTTTGTTTTGTTTACTGATGTTAAGTTTATTATTGTACTATGGGATGATATGGTCTGTAGGTAATTAAATTCTGAAATTTAAATCGCTTATAAATTTACAGTAACATGGATACAAATTTGCTACTGCGAAAGAAAAATTTTCGTAGTTTCAAAAATAATACTACTGATTAATTTGCCTAGAGTTTTACTGTTAAGAAACTGTGATAGAGAAAATTAGTATTTAAAAATTCACATACTGTTAGAATTCAGAATTTAAGAATTTTAGATTTTGAAGTAATCTGGGCAAAAGCTGTTTATTTCCTCATTTAACTTTATTCCAAAGCAGTATAATATAAAATTCCATAGAGGTGTGCAATTTACTTTGTGAATTAAAACAGTACAAGTACCTTTTAAACATTTCTATTAGGAGAATATTTAATTATAGCAGTTAATTAATAGAACACAAATCTTTTTTTTTCCCCATTTATTTTATTGCATTTTAGGTTTGGGGGTACATGTGAAGAACATGCAAAATTGTTGCATAGGTACACTCGTGGCAGTGTGATTTGCTGCCTTCCTCCCCATCACCTACATCTGGCATTTCTCCGCATGCTATCTCTCCACAGATCCCCACCCCCCACCGTCCCTCCCCTATTTCCCCCCAACTGACCCCAGTGTGTAGTGCTCCCCTCCCTGTGTCCATGTGTTCTCATTGTTCAACACCCGCCTATGAGTGAGAACATGCAGTGTTTGATCTTCTGTTCTTCTGTCAGTTTGCTGAGAATGATGGTTTCCAGATTCATCCATGTCCCTACAAAGGACCCAAACTCATCGTTTTTGATGGCTGCATAATATTCCATGGTGTATATGTGCCACATTTTCCCTATCCAGTCTATCGTTGATGGGCATTTGGGTTGGTTCCAGGTTTTTGCTATTGTAAACAGTGCTGCAATGAATGTTCGGAACACGAATCTTATTCATAGGTTTTATTTCTCGGGTTTGTTTCAAAATTGAATATTGTTTCAAAAATGCAAAATATTCTTATGCATCATACAAGACTTAATCTATGTTTAATTACTTCCAAACATAATTTTGAATTTTCATATATTTATAGAAAGATTAAAATAATTTTTATCTCTGTTTCACATTATCTTTTTGTCTCTTTCTGTTAGATATTGCATCAGCATGCAAATATACTGTTATTCTTCCCACCTGAAAAAAAGTAAAAGAAAAATCATCAGCCTTCCCCTTGCTCCAGACCCCTCTCTAGCTACCAGCTCATTTCTCTGCTCCTGTTTGTAATTAAATTCTGAAAAATGTTAGCAATATTTGTTCTCTTCACTTTACTGTCATCCAATCTTCTCTTGAACTTATGCCATTTACCCCAGCATTTATCCCATTGTTCGTTGAGACAACATCTTCACTTCTGCCGTTATTCTATTCTCAGAACAGCAGATAGTGAATCTTAGACAGTGTAAGTCACATCATGCCACTCCTCTGTTTCAAAGCCTGCAATTATTCCCCATGCTTAAAAATAATCTTAGCGCCTTCCTTTCTTGTCTCCTTTCCTACCATTTCTCTTCACTCATACTTCTTCAACTATACTTGTCATTACTTGAATGTACAAACCTGGTCTCACCACAGGGCCTTGGCACATCCTGCTCCTTCTACCTAAAATGCACTTCCTCGTGGCTTGCTCCCTCTGAAAAGCTTCCATGACTGTCTATAACACATACACATCTTCATGGTATCACCTATGATTTCAGTCCTAAATGCTGCAAGGTGACCTAAGGCTCTTAAGCCACTTTTCACTGTCAGCCTCCCTGGTGGGCAGAGCCATGATCAATATACAGAGTTGGTAACTTTGTAGGCAGGAAAAGTGGTTCATGGTAAGAATGTACATGGGCTCCTGGGCAGTGGCAGAGGACTTCACTGGTTGGTTAGGGACTGAAGGGAACAGGATTGGAAGATCAGAAATTAGATTGTCTTAGAAAGAGGCATATGAAAGGACTCATAGTAGTGAGCATACAGCATACAGATCTATATGTCTCAAGTTAACTCCCTCAAGACAGCATCCCCCACAGAGGAGATGGAATAAACAGATGGATTGGATGATTCATGCAGGAGCTTCTCTCTGTGGTCACTGCACGGCCATGGGGTAGGGGCCATGCATGGGCCAACACCATGGACTCCCTTTCACCAAGCCTAAATGACCTACTGCTATAGCTGAATGCCTGACCTGCCAGTAGCAGAGACCAACACTGAGCTCTCAATAGGGTACCAGTCCTCAAAAAGTCCTCCCAGCTTCTAAGTGACAAGTTGATTACAGTACTGCCTTTCTCCCATGGAAAGAGCAGAGACTGATTGTTGCTGGAACTCGCATTCCAGTTACGGGCTTTGCTTCCTCTTTCCAAAGTTCTCTGCCAGCACCATCTTCTGAGCTTACAGAGCCTGATATACTGCCATAGAATTTCATAAAATATTGCCTCAGAACAAGAAATGCATTTTATAGTGAAATATTTGTGATAATGGGCACATGACCATGAAATCTGTCACTCGGAAACATCTGGCTTAGTAGAATGATGGGACAACCTATTAAAGCTATGGCCAAGATGCCAACTTGGAGGGAAAAGCTGTTCTCCATAACATTGTATGTTATGGAGGTGGGGTGGGATGCTGTTCTCTATAACATCGCACATGCCTTGCACCAGTGACAGATATATGCTGTTGTTTTGTGATAGACAGACGCACGGAGCTGGAAATAAAGGGCTGCTTCCCTTCACCATCATTCCCTGTTATCCAGAAATTAAATTTGTGTTTTCTGCCTTTGCAACCTTACATCCTACTGGATTTGTAGTCTTAGTTTCCAGCTAGAGAATGCTTCCATCATGGGTCACAATATGGATTCCACTGAACTGAAACTACCACCATTTGCCTACTCAGTTTGAATCCATCAAACATATTTAGTATGTTGCTAGAGATAATCAGTTCTAATCATCACAATGAAATAGGGTTGTTTTAACTTAATGCAATAAGGAGGAGTCTGGAATTCAGGGTATTCATAGGGATATCTCTTGGCTTCATGTCCAGTGATTAATGAGAATAGGCAGTTGTAGCAACCACCACCTAACAAGGGCAAGGCAATTAGGGGCTCAGACTTCTCCAGGATGAATATTAGTGTCACCCCACTAGCTACAGTGCTGACAGACGGTAAGGGAAATCTACAATGGCTGATAGCAAGGAGGCATGATGAAAATTAATTACAATTTTAGGACTAGAGTAGTATAGCCTGTAGCTTGTCCCTCTAATCCTCTTGTATTAAATCTTAGCAGAGCTTTTAGCTGGCTACCTCTAACACTCTTGTATTAAATCTTAGTGGAGCTCTCAGCTGGCTACCACCTTGAAGACTTGGTGATGGATTGTGCTTTACATGTAGGCCATAAGTAGCTATGTGTGGTGTGGTGGGTAGACTGTATCGGATGCCTTTTATTCTCAGCTTTACATCCTCTCATTCTTACCTCTAACTATAGCTAGAGCAGCGGCAAATAGTTCCTTATGTACTTTGACTCAACGTATGCTTCCAGCTTCTTGCCTGGGTTCTCACGCCATGTCTTTGTCAATTATTGAAGACGATGTGTCTAGTGCAGTAACTCAGGACATTGGAACTTGTATAGCATATAACTATTTGCGGTGTGAAAGTGCAGAAAAAGTTATTTCCCTCAGGGAGAACCCTCAACCAATGGGGACCAGATTTGATTAATAAATGCTTCTTGCCATTGATTTTTTTTTATTTGGAAAGACATGCTATATTTTCCTTAGAAATTCCCAGCAATATTGAGCCCCAGTTGTCCTCAGTGGTGCCCAGCTTTTCTTTCCTCACATTTTGCTCTCTCTCAAACCTAATAGCTCATTGCCTAAATAAACTTTGTGCAGGCAAATCCTCACCTCAGATTTTGCTTTGTAGAAACTTGAAATAAAGACCTCATCCCTTATAAAATAGTGTTCTCCTCCTCTACTCTTTTTAGCCTTCGTAGACTGCCTTTTTTACCCCCAGATATAGAATTTGGTGCTATGTAGGTTCAAGGTAGGCTCTCTGTAACGTTGGGTCTGTCATCCATGAATCCAACCAACTGTGAATGAGAAATGCAGTATTCACCAGATGTGGAATCTATGGATACTTGTCCTTCAGGGCTGACTACAGGACTTGAACACTTGTGGATTTTGTTATCCAAGGGGATCCTGGAACAAATCCCCATGAATACTAAGAGATGACTGTATATATTCTCCAGCAATACTTTTATAAGTAAATTAATTAAAGGCTATTTTTTGTGCTTCCAAAGAAGATTACAATCATAAGGATAAATATGAAATTGGTTCACTGCTTGCCTCAGAACTGTTCATGAAATCATTTACTGTATGATTTGATGCCAGGTGACAACTGTTAGTTCTCTGAAGATAGAATATCATTAATAATAATTAAATCTTCTTACTTTTCCAGGTTTTTCTCAAGCAAACCAATTTACCTATGGAGTTGATAATGCTGAGTTGGGAAACAGTGTGCAATTAGTTTCTTCTTTCCAGTCAATTGCTTGTGATGTAGAAAAAGATGCAAGTCATTCAACTCACATTACATGCTATACTAGGTCTGTTTTAAAGTATCTTTAATAAAATCACTTTCATCATATCAGAAGTTACAGTTATGAATATTAGTATTATAATAGTTTTATTACCCTGGCTATTATAAGTAATATTTTTCTGATTATAGGTGATTATTTTTTATTTTGTGATGTTTAGACTATTTTATAACATTATTATATTCAATTATACTGCTATTTCCACATATTGGCATGATAAAAAACATATTCTTTATCTTTTCCTGTGTTATTAGAGGTATTACCTTATCATTATTGAGCTTTTTAAAGAAATTAAATGACTTTAAAAAGTCATGATGTGCCTCAAAATACCAAAATTATGCTTTCCTTTTCAATTTGATTTTGTTCAAAATATTCATATAGTTGTTAAGATTAAAGATAATCATTTTGGTTTTTTTGTTTGTTTGTTTGAGATGGGATCTCACTCTGTCACCAGGACTGGAGTGCAGTGGCATGATCTTGGCTCACTGCTACCTCCGCCTCCCAGTTCAAGTGATTCTCCTGCCTCAGCCTCCCAAGTAGCTGGGATTACAGGTGCCGGCCACTACACCCAGCTAATTTTTTGTATTTTTAATAGAGACAGGGTTTCACCATGTTGGCCAGGCTGGTCTCGAACTCCTGACCTTGTGACTTGCCAGCCTTGGCCTCTCAAAGTGCTGGAATTACAGGTGTGAGGCACTACGCTCAGCCAAGATAATCATTTTGTATAGTGACATTTCAAGTTCTTTACTATCAGCACAAATTCACATGTTATTGGGAACTTAGGAAAAATTTTGAAAATCACTTTTAATTGCAACTTTCAGTATTGACCTTAGAAACAGCACATATTCTAGAGGATTTCCTTTATGTTAGGCTTGTTGGCTGTTCTTCACCAGGAAAAACTTACTTAGGGGAAACTTGATTAACTAGCCCTTTTTAAGAAATGAAGCATGGAATAACTGATTGTACCAAAGTGGTATGTTACTATTTTAAACGTTTATTATTGCATTTGTTGTTATTACATTTGTTGTCCTTTTAAATTAGCATCAATGTGCATAGACAGAGTAGGCATTTGCCTGACGTTCGTGAGATTAGAATTTGCAATAAAGAGTTCAGGATGGAGATCATCTTTCCATAATATAGAATAGAACTTAACTAGATATCAGTTGTGACATTGGACACTTTCTGTCAAAAATGGCAGGCAGCCTGGAGCAGTATTTTTCATTAATACTATATACTAAATAAAAGAGGTATTGCATGTCTCATATATTCTTCATTTTCCTTCTAGAGCAATGCCAGAAGGTTCCTACACTGTTAGAGTCAGTGTGGATGGGGTTCCTGTTACAGAAAATAACACCTGCAAAGGCCACATCAACAGTTGGGCATGTACCTTCAATGTACGTAAGAGTCTTCTCTTCAAATTATGTATAGTTTATCTTGCTTTCTTTCTTGCAAAACTGAATTTTAATTTTTTTAGTTTTACAGATTGTCTATTTCCACATTTAAAAATACATTAGCATGTAATAAAGGATAATTTTCCTCAATTTAAGTTATCTTCCAGAGTAATAAAATGTCTTTTATTTCTGATTTGTTTCCCTTCTTTTAATTTTATTATTAAATTAAACTTTCATACTTCCAACATCTTTTCTTGTTCATATTTTCTCCTTTATCTCTACTTCTGCTCTTAGTGGGATTCACCCTTTTCCTACTTACATCAAAGTAACTACCTTTCCTTTCTATGTAATTTCTTATGCAATGAGATAAAATATGCCTGCATGTGGTGTAAAAGCCACTCAAAATTTAGCTGCCCCAAATAGAAGTATTAGAAGTAATACATTTTCTTCTAAGCATTATCCTATATATTTTTAAACATTATATTTGTTTTAAGTTGTCAATTACTGAGTACTACAATGTTCTAATATAAAATGAAATACTGAAGAAAACAATAATGACTTCTGTCTTCAAGAAGCTTCTATGATTCCAAAATATATTGCCAAATATGGTTCCCAGATATCTTTGGCTTTCTTCTCTTTCTGCAGACATGGAACCATGTTTTATTTTCCGGTATGTCACACCTAAATGGCCCCAAAGCAACCTAAAGTCAGCATACCTCAAACTGCAGTTTTTCTATTCCTCCTTAAATCACTTTTTCTCTGATTATTTCTCACCATCTCAAGCTAGAAACCCGTTGTCCTTCTTGGTTTCTACCTCCCTTCACTTTCAGCCCCATATCTATTAAGAAGCATGATGATCTTATCTTCTAAATTAACTCTTAGGTCCATCTTATTTTTATCTTCTTTCCTATATGAGAGTTATATTATTAATAGTGTTGAAATTTAATAATATAAGAAATTATCTACTTCACAAAACTAGGAACAAAACAGATAATGTTGCATATTGACATTATTCTTTTACAGGCAAAAAGTTTTAGAACCCCAACAATAAGAAGCATCACACCTTTATCTGGAACTCCAGGTCTGTTATATGACATCTGAAATAGCTTTTGGTTTTGTGGTAAATAATATTTATTTTTTAGTATATAAAATTATACCTGCAATTTTTAAATAGTATAGTACCTACAATTTTAAATAGGATCTTTTTTCATTATAAAAATAACTATCAGCCAGGTACGGTGGCTCATGCCTGCAATTTCAGCATTTTGGGAGGCCGAAATGCAAGAATCCTTTAAGCCCAAGAGTTTGAGACCAGCCTGGGCAATATCATGAGACCCTGTCTCTAAAAAACAAAAATAAATAAATTAGCCAGGCATGGTGGCATGCATCTTTAGTCCCAGCTATTTGGGAGGCTGAGGCGAGAGGACCACTTGAGCCCAGGAGTGTGAGGCTGAAAGTGAGATGTGATTGAGTTTACGTGACAGTGCAAGACCCTATCTGAAAAAAGAAAACCACACACACACACACACACACACACACACACACACACACACACACACACACATATTTGAGATGGAGTCTCACTGTCGCCCGGCTGGAGTGCAGTGGTGCAATCTCAGCTCATTGCAACCTCCGCCTCCTGGATTCAAGCGATTCTCCTGCTTCAGCCTCCCGAGTAGGCGGGACTATAGGTATGTGCCCCATGCCCAGCTGATTTTTGTATTTTTAGTTTCACCATGTTGGCCAGGATAGTCTTGATCTCTTACCTCATGATCCGCCCTCCTTGGCCTCCCAAAGTGCTGGGATTATAGGCATGAGCCACTGTGCCTAGCTTACCAATGTTTTTTTTAAAATGATTTTCAGTGGCTATGTCTTCATCCACTATAATGTATTTATCTCCCCCCTCCCCCTTGGACATTCAACTGGCTTCCAGGGTTTTATTATAACAACTATATTATACCAGTTTATAATCCCAATGGCAATAACTGAGAACGTCCTTTTTAGTAACCTTGACAATTCTAAGTACTATTTTTTTCAAGAATTTATATAAAAAAGTAGGTTTAAATTTTTTTCCAACTCTTTGATTTATGTAATTAAACTTATTTTTGCCTATTGACCATTTGTATTCCTCCTCGTATACATTACCTGTTCATCTCTTTAGCTTAAATTTAGTCATAATTTTTCTTATTAAATTATAAGGATTCTTTATTCTTTATATTTTAAGAATATTAACCACTTATATGTAATAAATGTATTTCAAATTTATCATTTACTTTTAAAATATATTAATGATTTTTCTGCCACCTGGACAAGTTTTGATTTTTATTATCAAATCTATAGATCTTAACCTGTGTTATTTTTTCTTCATTTTTAAATGGTGGGAGACCCCACTAACCTAACTATATATAAAATATGTATAAGTATTATATAAATATTATATATATCAATATATAAATATTCAACAAATTTTCACATACTTTTCATTAGATTTTATGGTTTTATTTTTTATATTTCATTTTGTTTCACCTAAAATTTCTCTTGTTTTTTGGTACAGAGATCTTTTTATTTTTTTCTCAAATAGTCACCCATTGACCCAAGCAATACTTACGGAATCATCCTATGCAACACTTCTTTAATCTATAAATGTTTACAGATACTCATTCATGTTTTATTGTGTGTGCTAGAATTTTCAGAACAATGCTAAACAATAGTGGCAAACATGGGGTATAAGTGCCTGGGTCCTGGTTTTATTGGAAAAATCTCCTATGTTTTCAAATTAAGTGTATGGACAGATCTTCTTACACAGAATCTTTTTGGGGTTTTTGTTTGTTTTCAGGTACACTAATAACAATCCAAGGCAGAATCTTCACTGATGTCTATGGAAGTAATATTGTACAAAGTTCAAATGGGAAAAATGTTAGGATTTTGAGGTAATCTTTTGACACGGAAATATATTCTTATAACTCAGAGATGAGATATAATATTCCAAAAAATGGATCCAATGATATTAAATCCCATTACAATGTGATAGAACTAACCAGTATTTTTTTCAGCCATATGATAGAAAGTAAAACAGACTGTTGGAAGATTGACATAAAAGCAATGGTTGTTAGATATGTCTTTATTAGTCTGATGTAATTTCTTACTGTTTTGTGATGGGTATATTAACAGAAGTCACACAGACAAGTCCAGTAGTAATTGAGTTTATTACTAGAAGCCTTTATTACTTAATTTAACTGCCTCATTTTGTGTATAAAAACACCTGAGACCTAAAGGTCACATAGCTTTGTCAAGGTCAGGAGTAGAACACAGGCCTCCTAACACAGTATTTGACACTTTTTCTACTGCTTCATGATGTACAGACAAGTGCTGAAACCAAATATTGTCAATAACTCATTAACAGGCCAAGCTTTGAATCCTGCTTTGTCCATTTGCCAGCTGTGAACTAGAGAGTAGCTTTGGCTAGTTAGCTAATGTCAAAAAAAACAACAAAAAAAATCCACATTTTGCGCTGAAAACTAGTGTTGTCACTAGAGTTTCCTCCTGTGGCATAAATGGCGTTATTTCAGCCTTGACTTTAAAGACTGAAGGGCCTATTTATTTCCTATAGAGAAAAGTATAGATTCATAATTATGGCTTTTAAGATACTTTATGTTTATTGAACTCGTGCACAAAACAGGTAAATGGATAAGTTAAGCAAAGGGTTCAGATAGCAACTCAGCAATTAGAGAATTTTTTGAATGTTATAAAGGTGAGGTATATATACACACACATTCAAGTATATAATTTTGTGAAACAAGCAATTTAAATGATTTTTATAAGTTAGATAAAGATTCATCTGGCATCCTATAAAATAGAAGCCTTAATTAAATCACATTTGTATGTATTTATAATTTCTGAAAATGTTCATACTAATTCTTTATATGTAATAAAAGAACTACCAAGTAGAGAGATTTTTAACATTTTGTATATACAGATTAGTAGAAGTAAAAATTTTGTCTGCTTCAATATTAAGTGTTATGCATGGTTTACATTCATTAAGTCTTAGGCAGAGTTTTCTAAGTCATCCTTTTCCATAAGAAGGCCAGGAAATAGAAAGTTTAACTTTCAAAAAGAGATTCCTTTTTTCCTCCACTGAAACTGGAATTTATTTTCGCTTAAGATATAGCTTTGGATGGAAATTATTTTATGAAAACACAGAATTGCAGTGAGAGGGGACCTTAGAGGTCAGGCTACCTAATCCTTGTACTCTGGAAATCCCACATGTAAATATAGAATTTTTTCACACATCTATTAATGTGTGGGTGAGAAAGTCTTGGAGCTGAGTTTGTCTCATTTTTACCATGTTAATTATGATGCCAGGGCTCCTGAGGCAATTTATGTCTGGATTCTGCTAGCAGGGAGGGAGTGGAGAGCAGTGGGCTGAATTCAGGAGAACTGCTTCTCACAAATCTTGTCCATGCAACCAAATATCCAAATTTGGACCAGGTACAAATTATAGAGGACATGCAAATGAATAGAAGGATTAGTGCTTACTAAGGAGCTTTTGATCTAAAAAGATCAGGTAAAAATAATTCTAAAAGAGTATGTATTTAAGACCAAATAGGGTGGGTTTACTCTAGATATGCATACCTGGACCACTGTGGGGATTATCAACTGTGGTTAAGAATGTTGCAGCCCAACTGAGTTTGAATTCCTGCTCTACCTTTATTGTCTGCAGGCTTGGGCAAGCTACTTCAGCTTTCTGTTTAAGTTTTTCATCTGTAAAATTGAAGGATAATAGTTACTAACTCATAAGATGGTTGCAAGTATTAAACGTTGTAGGAACCTGTAAGTGTTAACTACTACCTTTATTATTTAGCTAGAATAAGGCAGGAGGTTAGAAGGAGAATTTAAATCCATGATCATGTATAATGGGTACAATAATTCAGTTTACTTTCTTTACAATACTAATGTAATGATCAGATGAATGGACTTATGTGTAAAAGTATATTAAAAAGTTCAAAATTTTCTGCAAACAAAAGTCCTTGTTTTCTATACTTCGAGTTTGTATCTGGTCTTATTTTGAGTCTGGAATTTGCTGTCACAAAAACTGATGGTTTATTCTGGTGTTGCAAAGAATCTAATACCAATCAGTCACCTGCTAGCCTCCAATTACTTCAGATACTATTGGCCTCAAAGTAATAGGTCAAACCCGATCACCTGGGGAAATACGGAGGCAGATGTTTTCCCTGAAACCAAACTCTGGCTCTTCTCAGCTTCTTGTTTTCATTTATGTGTCACTGATGCTGTTAGACACCCTCTTTCTCCTGATAACTTTGTGATGTCTGTGCCGTTTGCCTTAATTCCCATATTATAGAACCTACTACAAAACTGTTTTGAGTTGATTGAATTTCAGATGGATGAGTTTATTATTTGTTTCTATGTTGTCTTTTCTTGTAGTACTTAACACCTTCTAACACACCAAATGTGTTATGATTATCATGTTTTAGTCATCTTTCCAAGCTAAAATGTCAGTTCCATGAGGGCAACAAAGGGATCTTTGTTTTGTTCATTAATGTGTCCCAGTACCTAGAGCAGGGACTGCCACATAATAGAGGTTCAGTAGATGTTTAGTTGCATGCATAAGTGGATGATAATAATAAATGATTGAGAAAAAAATTTAAAGGGGCCAGTGAGGTTGGTGAGAGGAGTGCATTTCTGAAAGTTTGTTAAATATAACTTGATCTTTTTTGATAAAAATATTTATACAGAGTTTACATTGGAGGAATGCCCTGCGAGCTTCTCATACCACAGTCTGATAGTTTGTAAGTAATTCAAATTATTTTCTTTATAAAAACAAATAGCAGATATAAGCATACTAAATTTAAATAGTCATTTTTACCAATACTGCATAGCTAAATGCTTTACAATACAGTATAAATTATAATATTTTACATAGCAAATTAGCAATCATTTTTATAGTTAGGTGCTACCTTATATCCTACTGAGTCTCCAAGATAGTATGATATGAACTATTTAGATTTTTATGAAAAAAAGATGTTTTTAGCAATATCTTTATCAGATGAGATCAGGCGTGTTCATGGTGGTATGGCCATAGACAGTTTTATCTTTATCAAGCAATTATTTCATTTGGCAGTATCTCAAACTTTTTAAAAGGGACATTAAAGGGCATAGCCAAATTAATTATAAAATATTTTGTTATATAAAATTTTATTTAAACATCTTCAGTAAAATCTGGCAAATAGCTTTATTTTACAAAAATTTTTATTGTAGCAACAATTTCTTTCCTGATTCATATTCTTAATAAGTTGTTTTTAAGAGAAACACAATAGTCTAACATTTTAGTGTCAATATAAACTTTGACATTAACTTTTTTTATTAGATATGGTCTAAAACTGGATCATCCAAATGGAGATATGGGTTCTATGATTTGTAAGACGACTGGAACTTTTATTGGCAAGTGTTGGTCATCTTTCTTCATAATGCTCATAGATGCCTTATTCTAGTTCCCTGTTTTGTATTCTCTTAGATCTCCCTATTCTGCCTTTTTGGATCACTTTGTTTATTTATTTACTTTTTTAGCATTTTCTCTTTTCCTTGGGTTCTTTTCACTTTCATGCAAGCATGTATGAATCAGTATTTTCTTACAGTTTACATATAAGGTAAACTTCAGGTTTCTCTTTTTTCTTCTTTCTCCCTACAGCATTCATGTCTAATTTGGCTGTTTTGCCTGTTGCCTTAATTTTGCTCTGTTCTTCTTGATCTATGTTCTCCAGGCACATAGATCTTTTAATTGTGTGTGTGTGTGTGTGTGTGTGTGTGTGTGTGTGTGTGTGTTCTCACTTTGTTGCCCAGGCCGGAGTGCAGTGGTGCATTCTTGGCTCACTGCAACCTCTGCCTCCCAGCTTCAAGTGATTTTTGTGCCTCAAGGTCCCAAGTAGCCGGAATTACAGGTGCGCCACCACGACTGGCTAATTTTTGTATTTTTAGTACAGACAGGGTTTCTCCATGTCGGCCAGGCTGGTCTCGAACTCCTGACCTCAGATAATCTGCCTGCCTCAGCCTCCCAAGATGCTGGGATTACCAGTGTGAGCCAGTGCACCTGGCCTCCTTTTAATTCTTGAATGGGCTTCCCTCCCTTCTGTCTCAGGCCCTTTGCAAACTTCCTATACTGAAAATTTCAGATAAAATGTTATGTTTTCACAAAGACCTAGATCATCACCTGTCTTACATTCTCAAAACTCATTGTACTTTTTTAAAAATAGCCTTATTCACAATTTTTAGTTCTCTGTGTCATTGCTCTTGGCTAATTGTTCCTTCCACTAGACAATATGTTCTGTTAGAAAAAGGACAAGCTGTATGCTCATCCTGCATCTGCTCTCTCAGCCTCTAGCAGAGTGTCTGAACAATTAAATAACTGTTAAATGAATAAAAGAAATTTTGCGGAAATATGGTTACATATCTGTTCTCTTATTATTCTTCATTCACAATCATATTTTGTTAGGTGTTTCTAGTTATAATTTCAAGACACCTTATTATGTATATTTTTATGCCGTGACTTCTTTAAGACAGTTCAATTTTTATTTCTTTGATCATGAATAGAAAATTGGATAAGTAAAATTTTTATTAAATACTTTTTCTCTGCTTTTAAATCAGCATTATAGTATAGAGTTATTGCTCTGTGATTGAGAATTTAATTGATTGTGTATTTTAATTAATTCCAGGTCATCACAATGTCAGCTTCATCTTAGATAGTGATTATGGAAGGTAGGCCATTTTGTAAATGATAATTTTCATAATTGATTCAACTGGGTAAATAAGATAAAATGTACATTTACTTTGTGCCATAGATTCAGAGTTTAAAAAAATTAACTACTTGCTTTCCCCAAATTAACAGTGAAGGAGACTGTAACTTCTTTTCACTCCTAATTTATGCTTCACACATAACCTCTCTATTGTAGGGAAATCTAGCATAAACTAAAAAACATAAAAATCTTTACTTGTGTTATGGAAAGTATTATTTTATGTCTTGCAGCTTTTCTGATTTTATTGTAACTTTTTAAGTTACTAAATTAATTAAATTTAGATTTAAACTAATGGAAGAATAAATACAGCCTCATGGTTAATATTACCTGATAAAGGTTTTCTTTTAAGTTATCAAGACATAGAGAGTTGCGAAAGATGGTAATTACATCTTTCAATTGTGCATCTTAACAGCAATATTAATAACTCATATTTATGACTTTTAATAAAGCTAGAACTCATTTCCTGATGTTCTACATTCTAATTTCAGTAGGGAAGATCATTTTACATTTATAGAAAATCTCAATGCATGTTGAAACCCCATATTATAGATAATAATAGTGAACATTTAGCAGCAGGCATGGTATTAAGCACTTTACATACATTACCAAGTTTAATCCTCCCAAAGAAGCTCCCAAAGATAAATTGAGTGTTATCATCTACCCTATGTTACCCACGGGGAAAATGAGACTTAGGAACATTAAATAATTTGCCTAGGGATATGCAGCTAGTAGGAAGCAGCATTAGTGTGCAAACCCATGCCTTCTAGCTCCAGGATCTGAACATTTTATTCCAGTGCTTTGCCATGACTGATGGAGCGGTTCACATCACTCCAACCAGTACCACATTTCATCACTACTTACCATCCTGATCCAGGATTCCATACCATAGTAGTATTTCCCCACTCTTGGGAGCATTTGCAAATGTGTGGGAAAATCTCCTGGCTATCACACTAACTGGGTATGTTAATGGCCTTTAGTGGGCAGTATCATGGCATGCCAAACCGAAATCAATTGTTCTGCCCAAAATGTCATTGAGAAAGTCAATTGACAGAAACCCAAATAAATTACATTATTTAACACTCAATCCTAATATAACTATAGTAGATCAATAATAGGAAAGGTCTGTTAATTTCTTTTTTGTCTCAGAATGATCAGAAATCTGCAAGAAATGGCAATATCACAATAAAAGTAGATGTTATTCCTGATAGCACTCACACACTACAAGTGAAGGATGAGATTTCATCCCTTCATTCATGGAACTGCAATTGGTTACTGAACTCAGGTACTCTATCATTGTATTTAGAGACTATCCACTTCTAGATACCTAGAGGCAATAGGTGTCATTATAGCAAAATGATGCCTGGCTGGACACTTTATTATAGACCAATATAGGCTAGACCAAAACTAAGAGCAAATCAGAGTGGAAGGTATATAAATGACGCTAAATACACCTTCGCAATTTACATGGGGCACATGACTTAGGGTCCCATAACTTAACTGTTATTATCTGCAGGGATGACCTACTTTTACGTATGACTTGATAAGACAGGGCAACAGGATTGTATTGAGCACATCAGAAAACCGTGTTAGGAGCAACAATTATTGAGTTTTAAATGATTTTTTGAACTGGTTTTTTAAATGCTCTTAGTAGCAATCTTCCCAAGGTGAGAGAAAAATGAATTCTTAGTTTTGAGTCTGTATGAAAGGTATTAATTGCCAAATCCATCATTTGTCTCTCAGAGAAATAATTATCCAAAAATAGAAGATTTGAGTGATCAAGGTTGAATATGATTGATAAGTACCCATAAATCAATATGCTGCATTAACATGCACAGAAACTTTCAATTTAGAAATGCCAGCAAATTCACATATAATAGAAGCAAAAATATGGCATTAAATTGTTGATTTTATGAACTTGATTTATAATTCAACTCCTTGCCCATTTTTTTTAAAAAAGCCAGTGGCTATCCCTTTGTACCAATGTCTTAGAATTGAGGAAATTTGTGCTTCTGTATAAAATATTCTTATGAATTTAAGATAACTGTTAGAAATATGACATTTATGATTTAAAAGCCTAGTTTTAAGATTACATGGCATTTTAAAAATGTTAATTCTTTTAACATATAAAATTAATATTTCACAAATTTCATAAGCATTGCTGAATATCAAATGCACCAATTAAAGGCCATTCTGTGGCATCTATTCTGTATTTCTTTTAATAGCCAACCTTCTCTCCTCTGTTACTCCAAGTTCAAACAACAGCTGTTCCAAACTGATAAGGTTCAGACGAATCTGCCTTAATTGAGAAACGCCTAGTCATTATCAATGAATTAGTGAAAATAACCTCAGTGTCATCCAAAATAAATTACTTTCACATTTTATTTCACAAGGCAATTTCCCTGCTAACTTAAGAAGCAGAGTTAATTTTTGAGAAGGAGGTTCTGCCCAGACACAATATCGTTGGAGCTAGCATGGTTTCAGATCTTTGGGAAATCAGTCAAGAAACTTATAACATAAAAATATGAAACCTAGTATGAACTTCTTAAGTAACTAATCTAGCATAAAATATTTCCAAAGACTTTAGTCTTGCAAATGTACATGGTAATACCTGGGTTAGATGTACAGAAGTGTTAATTGTTGGTCTCAGTGACAATATTTGCATGATCCTTTTAGATTCTAATTAAGTATATTACAATTATGACGAATGTGATTTGAGTTTTAATATTTGAATTTCTCAACTTTTCTACTGGAGAATGTCTCTGAGGTAATTAAGGTAACAGCATTTAATTCAGAATTATTTTCCTCCTTAATTCTTTAGGTTTATAGAAATACAAGTGTATATATCTATGAATAATGGGCTCTGTGTTTATTAAGGACAGTTTTAACCTGGTCAATTGTTGCTAATTTGTTGTCATCCACTTGCACTCTTACAAAGATTAGTGGGCAGAGGAGGAGTACTGTGTAATACACAGGTGAGAAGCCACAGCTCTGGACTCAAACTGCCTATGTCCAATTCTGTGTTGCCACTTATGCACTGTGTGATCTTAAGTTAATTCTCTGAAATTCACCTACCTCGTGGTTGATGTGAAGATCATATGGCTTAATAAATCAAAAAGTCTTAGCATGTTCTCTCCTCTTAGAACTAAAAAGAGGTTCTAAGAGAAAACAGAGTGGGATGGCCAGCAGAAGATCCCAGCCTTTATGAAGGGTAATTCTCCTGCATACATTTTTATGTCAATATAATTTCTTAAAATCAACTTTATTGAGATATAGTTAGCAGTTGAGTAACAAATGTATATACATATGTCACCAACAACTAAACCAAGATAAAGAATGTTATTATCTTCTCCCAAAAGTTCCATCCTGCTCTTTTGCCGATTATGACATAATTTCTATCACTGAAGTTAAAAAAAACTTTCTAAAGATCATTTTAAAACAGAAAATTTAACCTTTTTTTTTTTAAACAGGAGTCTTCCACAGAAAATGACATATTTTGTTTCTTCTCTCAGTAAAATTTCAATGTTTCAAACATATGCAGGTATGTGACTTTTCTTTCACTCTAGGGTGTGGGGGGAAGGCAGTGTATAACTGATTCAATCAAACCAAGGATAATGAGTGTAAGGTGTATTATATGATTTTATGTACTGCCAGGAGAGGAAAACTGTCAAAGGTAGGAAGCCCAACATTAAGCAGGACCTTCTTCACAACAGACAACATTCTTAGTGTAAGGCAGATTGAAAAGTAAGATTGGTAGAGAGAGGGAAAAAAGTCTCCACTGACAATCTCAACCAAAAAGCAGTGTAGATACCTCTCAATTTATGATGGGGTAATGACATCATAAGTTGAAAGTACTGTTAAATCAAAAATGCATTTAATATACTGAATGTGTATTAGCTTAGCTTAGCTTCCCTTAAACGTGCTCAGAACACTCAGGTTAGTCTACTATTTGGCTAAATTGTCTGAGAACACAGTGCTTTTTAGAATACAGGCTGTTTATCCCCATCATTGCGTGACTGACTGGGAGCTGCAGCTGGCTTTGCTACCCACCATCGGGAGAGAGTATTTACTGCATATCACTAGCCTGGGAAAATATCAAAATTCAAAATTCTAAGTACTATATGGTTTCTACCAAATTTATTATCACTTTTGCACCATTGTAAAATCAAAAAATCTAAAGTCTGACTGGTAGCTTGGAGGCCATAAATCTCTCAGATTTATGTTCTCAGTGTAGTCTAAAATAATCCTCAAGAAGATTATAATCTAATTTAAAGGGGTCTCAAGTTGATAGTATCCCTTGGAGAGTATCTGAACACAAATCATACTGAAAGAATTGTACTTCATTCCAGGTCAGAAGTAATGGAAAGATACATTCAGATTTCAAAGATGCTAAAAAAAGGTGTGTCCTAGAATCAATCAAATGTGATATATTGGCTGGGCGCAGCTGCTCACACCTCTAATCCCAGCAGTTTGGGAGGCCGAGGTGGGCAGATCACCTGAAGTCAGGAGTTAGAGACTAGCCTGACCAACATGGAAAAACCCCATCTTTACTAAAAACACAATAATTAGCCGGGCATGGTGGCACATGTTAATCAGAAGGCTGAGTCAGGAGAATCACTTGATCCTGGGAAGCAGAGGTTGCAGTGAGCCAAGATGGCACCATTGCACTCCAGCCTGGGCAACAAGAGCAAAACTCAGCTCTTGTTGAAAAAACTTGGCTTTTTCTAGAAGTTTATTTAGTGTGAAATTCATATGGTAGAATACATAGATATTTGACAGAGTTAATAAGGGTAAATTTTAGTAAGAATCTGCCATATGTCATGTATTGGGCTATTTTACGATATACTTACAACTTTTATATACAAAGCCACAAGAAGTTCATAGTTAAATGTATTAATATAAGAGAAAATTATAAGAGGTTGGTAAAGATTCATTCTTCAAGAGTATATGAAAGAAGAGGTGGTTCTACCTGCCTTCCTGCTCAGCTCAGGTTTTCCTTATTCCTTCAATGCTCACATTACCAATGTTACTTTAATACCAGTCACCACTAAAGCTGGGTCCTTATGGAATGTAAGGCTCAGTCAATGCCATGTTTATTGTCCTTTTGCAGGATTGCATCAGAGTAAGTAATGAAACACCTAATTCATGCAGTTGTTTATCCATTACCTGTGTTAGGTGCTATGACTAGGTAATTTGGAATTTTTTAAAAATCAGGCATTTGGGTTTATGTGTAATATTTATGATATTTTATTTAATGTGCTTTACCCCCAGAGGTCACTACAATTTTCCCTTCACGAGGAAGCATTCAAGGTGGCACCACGCTAACAATAAGTGGGCAGTTCTTTGATCAGACAGATTTCCCAGTCAGAGTTCTAGTTGGAGGTATTTCTCATATTTTTTATATATTACTTTATTACCTCTGTCTGTTCTTTAATAATCTGTGAGAATAACAATGGTCTTTTCTCAATTCGTGCTTTCAATTCGAAGCTGAATATTTTCACACAGGCATTTGGTTCTGGGGCTTGATACTCTTTCCACTGCAATTTTCCAGTGAGGGCCACTCCCTGCAGCTTTATATGAATAAGACCTGAGCTCTGTGGTTGGTGCCAATAGGCTTTGTGTAGCAGCATTGTAGCTGCCATCCACAAATTCCTCACCACAGTTTGACACACCTACCCTTAATTTAGAAGCTCTTAAATGCCTTTTTTTGAATGGTTGTTATTTATCAGTGAGTTAGCTAATTGTGAAGAAATTTAAAGTAATATTTTGGGTTATTCTCCTCATACTCTTCTCATATACTGTGCCTCATCTGGACATCAGAAATAACTGATGATATTGGCCTTGGAAAGAACAGTAATTTCAATGAGTTATCTGTTTACAAATGCATGTAGGGCTTGGATCTCTGGTTATGCTTCACTTTTATGTGTTCTGTCCAGATCTGTTCATAAATAGAAAGCTATGCAGCTCAAAAGGAGTAAACGTGATAGCGGGATTGTTCCCATTCAGGCATAATGACATCACTTCTATTGATAGGCAGGGGAGAGGATGCCTGCCGTGCAACACGCATATGCATTTCTGATATAGTCCTCCTGCTCAAGTACTTTCCACCTTTTACAGAATCTGCCCATAAGCCAGCCAAAACGTGATTTCAGAAAAAAAGAGAAATGGATATTAGGCAACCTCATCTAATATTTATGCAGTCTTGCCTGTCTGCATGAATCCTTGCTGGTCGTCAGCATACATATTAAAACTTGGGCCATAAATACTTAAAATTCATGTAATGTATTAATCTGACCAGATTTTATGTTTTAAACATTAAAACCAGGATCATAATGCATTTTTAATTTATGTAATGTGTTTTATAATCTGATCTTATGTTTATTTTGCATACAACTATAATATAATTGATATGAAAAGAGAACATAATAGTTTTCTATCATCTTTTACTACCATTAATATGGCAACCAGATTCAAGGTTTTGAGTTCTAAATAATGTCTTGAAAACATGATATTTATGTGTCTTTCCTTTGCTCCCAATAAAATGGGTGGTTGGTTTAATATATTGTCCCAATTTACTGTTTTCTGGTTCAAATTTCTTGCATCCATAAAATATTAAAATAGTGAAAGGGTCTGGGTGCCGTGGCTCACGCCTATAATCCCAGCAGTTTGGGAGGCTGAGGCAGGAAGATTACCTGAGTGCAGGAGTTTGATACCAGCCTGGGCAATGCAAGGAGACCTGTCTCTACCAAAAAGAAAAGAAAAGAAAAGAGAAGGGGAGGGGAGGGGAGGGGAAGGGAGAAAAGATAAGACAAGACAGGGAGGGGAGGGGAGAAAATTAATTAGCTGGGCATCGTGGCACACACCTGTAGTTCCAGCTACTTGAGAGGCTGAGATGGGAGGATCACTTGAGCTCAGGAGGTGGAGGCTACAGTGAGCTATGATCTTGCCACTGCACTCCAGCCTAGGTGACAGAGCGAAATCCTTTCTCAACACACAAACAAATAAAATAGTGAAAAATAGTGTCAAAATTTAAATGTTCCAATTTGGCAAAAATCTCTCTCTCCATATCCCTTGTTCTCACATTTCACAAGCTGCAATTGCCATTTCAGTGAATACTTACTGAGGGCTGACCATATGTGAGGCATTGTGAAGAACACATGGAGGTTTAAAACATAGACTCTTCTCCCAAGTCTAATTGTGCTTATGTAAAAGTTATAATAGCTGTCTTTCAGGCTTTTTTTCCCCCTGTTTTGGGTTCAGTCTGTCTGTGAAAATGCCATTTAACAATTATTATTCCTCTTTTTTTTTTTTTTTTTTAAGAACTTGAACTAAATCAGCATTTTTCCTACCTGAGAGGTCTGGGATCATCTACCTTTGCAAATTCTGAACGGCATGCATTTATTCTGTAACTTTTCTCCAAAGAACAAAATAAAAGTTTTTACTTTGGACTCAGAGGAGACATCTTGTACAAAGACATAGTTTTATCAGATTTTTTTATCTCAGAAATTATGAAATTTTCTCTCAGTCTTGTGATGTTCTACCAGAAAAAAATGTTGCTTTGTGGACGCATAACAATTACTGGGTGAAAAGCTTTAATAGAGAATATGTAAAAGAAATAAAGAGCCCCAATTTTGCCTCATGTTTATGCAACTTTGTTTTAATTGCAAAAGTGCTTAAAGATATACCGATGTGATTTGCATTCTGAAGTTTCAGTAGTAACGGTTTTGTACCTTGCTTCTCTATAGGTGAAACTTGTGATACCTTGAATGTCACAGAAAATAGTATATCTTGCAAGACACCCCCCAAACCTCATATTCTCAAAACTGTATATCCAGGTAAGTTACCATAGGGAAAATGGCCATTTCTATACTTACATAAAAAGAATATATTAGTAAATATATTATTTGAACTTTTTAGAATTTAGAATTTATAGTAAGAATCATAAGAAATTTCCTCCAAGTTTTAAAATTTATATTTTCTGGATTAGAAAATATTTCTGTTAAATTAGCTACAACAAAGCTGCACCCGTGGAGAAAAACCCAGCCTGAATTATCCAGACACCATGCTGAAATCAGCACATCTCTATTGAGAGAGTTTAATTAAGTTTTTATTTCAAATTAAATTATGGTAGCTAAAACTTGGTACAGTCAATGTAGAATTTTTTTAAATGCCTTTTCCTGATTAAAAAAGATAAATAGGGGAAGTTAAATATTTACTTGTCTAGAATAATGTGGGAGTGAAAACAGGAGATGAGAGAAATGTTACTCTAAATTCTTTTCAGACTTTCAACTTGTGGCTCAGTGAAATTGCTTTCCTATCTACAATAATACCATTGAAATGCTGTTCATGTGTCTATGTGTGGTGTGTATCTCATACCTTGTGTGCACAGTGAAAGTTGTTTATAATTGTGTCATTGTTTCACACTTGAGGCCAAACAAATTGCTTATCAACCAATTAAGTTTCTTTGGTTTGAATATTAGAAAAAGAAATGAACAGGTTTAAGAACATAATTTTGATAATTTGTAATTGATGGCTTTAAAGAAAATGGCATACATCAGTAAACACTGCTGCTATAAAAGTTTGAAGTGCTCAAGTTTGTCCTCAACCAAATTCAGCTGAAAAAGAGTAGCCACTATTTTCCATATACAGACAGGTTTAAGGTTGCTAAAGGAAGAAATAAGCCTAATTGTTGTTGCAGTTGAAGGAAAAAAAAAAAAATAGAGCGATAGCCCCTTTCTGATTAGGCAAAAACTTAATCACAGAGTTTATTCTGGTAAGTATAGGTACAGTTTATTGAGAGTATCCTGTCTTTGATTCTCTTCAAGGAGAAGAAATCCTAGAGCAGAAGTAACTTTTTTTTTTTTTAAGTAAAACAAATATTGTGAGAAACCTGAAACCCAGCAATTTCTCTTCTTGGATTAGTGGCTTTGTAAACCATTAATTAACTTTTGTTAGAATAGTCAAGGCAAAGGTTTTGTAATCAAATGGCATGAATCTTTTGCAACATCAGTTATAGCATAAGTAATAATTACTCTATATTTTTATCTTACATAAAGCACTTTTTAAATGCCAGGTGTTTTACATATATGTTAAACATAATCCCTATGGCAACCATGCAAATATTATTATTGCTCCCATTTTACACATGTGGAAACTGAGGCTAAAATAAGTGAAGTAATAATGAACAAATTGCAGACTGCCCTCTGGGTACAGATGCATGTAGGGGAATGTGTAATTGTTTTATTCGCACACATGTTAAAAATATGAATCGAAATGCAGAATCTATAACCAACATCTAAATAGAAAGCCATTGAGACATTGTGTGATGTGATGAAAGGCTTTTTTTATTTCATTACACTTAGGAGGGAGAGGCCTGAAGCTTGAGGTATGGAATAATACCTGCCCAGTACATCTGGAAGAGATACTTGAATACAATGAAAAAACACCTGGGTACATGGGGGCCAGTTGGGTAGATTCAGCTTCCTATATTTGGCCCATGGAACAAGACACATTTGTCGCACGCTTTAGTGGATTTTTGGTGGCTCCAGATTCTGATGTTTATAGATTCTACATCAAAGGTGATGACCGTTATGCTATTTATTTTAGCCAGAGTGGACTTCCAGAAGATAAGGTAGGAAAGCCTCAGAATACTATTTAATACTATAAAAACATTATGATGATGTTTATATTCATATTACTTTAAATCAAGACTGATGAATATATTAAACATTTATGAGAAATGATTTCATGTTTTTTGTCTCTTGGCTATTATACCAAATATGATACAAGATATAAGGTGATAGAAAATTTATAGCCTACAAGAAAACTTCCTGTATCTGAAAATATTTCATCATTCTGCATTTATCATTCTACTTTTGTCTCTTGGATATGAGATAAAAGTCATTTCTCTATTTTGATTTTTCCATAAATAGAATCATGCATTCAATTTCATATGTATTTTTTCACATATTAGTATTAAATACTAGTGTTATTAAATAATTTAATCACTTTTTAATGACTAAGTAGTATTATTACATGGGTTTACTAAGCTTAGATAACCATCTCCCTACTGATAAGTTTTTATTTACTTCTGATGTTTTATGACCACAAATAATACTCTATTGAACATCTATGTTCATTAGGCTTTTCTATATTTGGGATTATTTTGTTAGGACAATTTCACAACATGAAACTAACAGATCAAATTAAAATAACATTTTATGACTTGACTTACATGGCAAGATTGCCTCCCAAACTGGTTGCTCAAGTTTAAATTGCTACCTGTAATTTATGAATTCTAATTTTTATCATAGTTTGTACTCCAAAGCACTTATACTCCAATCATTCCTAATGGGAAGCCCAAAGTCCTCTCACTCTAGTATAACAAACTATTTAGCAATCTTTGGCATCTTTCAGGCTTGTTTCTAATTATCTAATTGGGATTAAATCTCTCAAAGTTCTCCACAGAGCAAAATAATATTTTATTTGACAATAACTACCTTTCTCCTAGTATGTACCTTTTTAATTTCCACTGTAGTTTTAATTATGGAAAAGCTGTGATCTGTGTAGTATACTTGGTACAGTAGTGTTGATGTTAGTGAAGGGTGGAAGGAATAAATTGAGCTTTGATAATTAAAAAAATTTTTAAAGCATAGTAGATAACATCTTAAAATAAAAAGTATGAAGTAGGTTTACATTTTTCTACTTATAAAATTTCTAAGACTAAAATAATAAATGATAAATAAATAAATGTTGGAAAGGCCTATTAATAAATTCTCCTTTTTCTCTGTCTCCATCTCTCTGTGATTAGGTGAGGATTGCATATCATTCTGCCAATGCCAACAGTTATTTTTACAGTCCAGCACAAAGATCAGATGATATTCATCTGCAGAAAGGAAAAGAGTAAGGTTTTTTCTTGTCATTAAATTACTGTGTGGTATTTACAAACTTTAAGTTTATATTTTAAAGTATTTTCAATTTATTTTTATTGGTGGAAGTGATATTAGCTTATTGGCTTAATTTATAATTGGTCATTCTCTATAATTTTATTCAAATTTGTTTATTTTCAAGAATACTAGCATTCAACTAACCAGGGAAATTAGAAGTCTAAATTAACCCTGTTGCCAAATTACAATTTTGTGAAATTTATTTAATCCTGTTATTAGTTCTTCACTTGAACCTTTCAGTTAATCTACCAATGTAATTTCTCTGTTCCTGCAGCTGAGCTCTTGAGTATTGCTAGGGAAAAATCACTAAGCCACATGGATCATTGCCACTGTTCATATGTATTTGTTATTCACCAGTTTATTCCAGGCCCTGAGCCAGGTAATAGAAATTTAAGAATATTAAAATACACTCCCAGAACTGAAACAGCATATCATTTAGTGTTGAAAGATCAAGTCCAAGAAGCCAATGAGTGGGATTATCATCCAAATACCAGATAATCTCATTCAAAAAACCATTCAGAATTCCTAGAAAACAGGAAGATGAAAGACATGATACATTCAAAATGGAGAATGTAGAGAAATGGAGTTATATAAAGAACATCAAAAGATGCACTGAGATCATATTTGTCTTTTGTATCTGTTAGATTTTACTATATAACAAAGCATTTAAGACTATTTCAACTTCAAACAACAAGTGTATATTATTTCACACAATTTTATAGTTGGCTGAGCTCTTCTTTCAGTTCTGGCTAGTTTAGTTGGGGATTGGTGGCCTAGAATGCCTCACTCATATGTCTGGAGCCTCAGCAGGATATCTGAGGAGCAGGAGCATCCCATTGCACATGGTCTTTCACCATCCAGGAGGCTAGTCCAGGTTTGTCACATTGTGGATGTGTTCTCAGCAGTAAAGCGGGGAGTCCTAATGCACACACACTCTGCAATAATTTGCTTCTGTCACATTTGCTAATATTGCATTGCCCAAAGCAAGTGGCCAAGCCTAAACTTAAGGATGAAGAAATAGACTTCCCTTCTTAATGGGAGGAATATATTTTTCTTTTTAAATTTACCACATCACCCTTTCAGATATTGATGAGGTTATGCTCAGCGGCAGCATCATGAAGATCTTACAGAATTAGACAGAGAGCGTCGGGATCAATGGAACCTGGCAGCAATCACACTTAATGTTCTCACTGAGGTCTTAGTAATACTGACATGGAGAAAGCATTTTATTCCTTTTATTCCTCCTTATTCTATTTTCACTTCTTTATATATTAAACATTTTCTTCAATAACCATGATAACTACTGGTCCAGGCCAGGATAAATGGAATGCCTCATTAATCCCTACTGGAATTAAGTGTTAGTACATTTTTGGACTTCAACTTGGTCTTGGAAAGTGAGTTCAGTCTACCAGCTTGGTAGAAGCACAGAGCTTGAATGAAACAACTCCTGATACATCTGCTGCCTGGTATCTGTAATCCTGCAAAACCAGCTTGGAATTTACATACTGTGCTTACAATGATGGCTATGAATTCCGAAACTGAGGCCACTCTAGCCAGTTTATTGTACAGTGGTTCTCCAAGCCTTTCCCAAGGTAGCTCATATTGCTAAGTCATTCTACTCAAATATTAAAAATATAGTTCCATCTAGTGAATATCTTTTTGGTTACCTTATTCTGTTTGGAATTCTCCCTTAGTTACTCATTTAAAAAAAACTTTAAATCCTTAAAATTCCCTTAGCCTTCTTTTTTCATATGGAGAAAGGAATAAAAATAGCTATTTTATGAGACTTTTATAAAGATTAAATATAATATCTGCAAAGTGCTTGGTTTATTGTCTAGCACAGAGAAATAACCTAATTAATATTTTTAAGCCACAAGTAAGGATGCAAAATTTTAATGGTTCTTCTTTGAATTCTGCTCTTAATTAGTGTTGGTCATTTCAAGTAAGCAGAGCTGTTGAAGAGGTTCTTGGGGAAGCCAAGAGCCTGATATAATCCCCAAAAATCAGTTCCATCAGGTGATGATCCAGAATGTATCATTCTACACATTTGAAAAATCACACATTTCCCTCATTCAGACTCTTTCATGAGCTGTGGATACTTATTCTCCCTATATAAGAATATATGTTGAGTGAAGTGAGACAATTTAGGGAACTTTCCAGCTGTCCTCTCCAAAGTTGTGAGCAATGGGGACATTGCTAGAGATTTAGAGGAGAAGCAGTAGTTTTGTAGTCTCTTGTAGCAGCTGGTTAGTGAAGGCATTATCCTGGGTACACAGTAGTATGAGGGACAGGGGACCACAAGAATCAGGAATTCAAAATATAAAATGTAAATCCCATCCAGCTAGCAGGTGGACCATAGTAAATCTGACCAATGAAACTTTCCTGAGGCAATGTTTTATTACCCAAGGTATAAATGGAGAGAAATTTAAGGAACATGAAAGTAGGAAGTTTTATTTCTGACAAATATAACCACTCAGATATAAAATATATGCTATGTCTAAGACTGCCATTTTCTTGAACACATTAAAGTATTTAACCTCTGCAGGTTGTCTGTGTTGTATGCTAGGGACAGTGTTATTTTTCAGGATCTTGAGTATGGTAAATAGTATCTTTCCCAATAAATATTTATTGACTAAGCTGAATGAATTGGTCATGAATGAGAATAATTTCTAATGCAGATATCTTACATAATTAATTTTATTTTAGCAAACTGCTGTGAAAATTTTAACATTTGAATATTTAAAAATCTGAGTTACTACACTGAGTCATTTAACAGGCAAGCTTTTAAGATAATGTTGATATTTTATTCATTAAAATAATTTCATGACAAGTGTTGTGGAAAAAAAAGTTATATTCATTAGTTACTCTATTTTCCAGATACTATATTGAAATTTTGCTGCAGGAGTATAGATTAAGTGCATTTGTTGATGTCGGACTGTACCAGTATCAAAATGTTTATACTGAACAACAAACAGGAGATGCAGTAAATGAAGAACAAGTTATCAAATCCCAGTCGACAATCATCCAGGAAGTACAGGTTTGCTATCATTATAGTTCCATGTTATAGAAAGCAAATGTTCAAAGGCAGGATCTCAATTTGATTATAATTTTACTAGGTAAGACATTATTTTAGGTGAAAGCAGGTATGGACAATTACTGAATTATGACTTTGAGTGTCTGTATTATAAACCAAATAGGCTGTTACTTGTCATTTGTGGTAAAATAGAGCAATAAAGTGACATTGAATAGCTGAATTATGATTCTTTTAAAATGTATTTTTTCATGTATTAAAAATGTTTTTTTAAATAAAAAAATAGGTTATAACATTGGAAAACTGGGAAACAACTAATGCAATTAATGAAGTTCAGAAGATCAAGGTAACCAGCCCATGTGTGGAAGCTAATTCATGTTCACTTTACCAATACAGATTAATCTATAATATGGAAAAAACTGGTAAGTTATAAATAATAAGGGAGATACTGTTTCTGTTCATCTGCAGATGGGACCATAAAGTATTTGCTCTAGTTGAATTCTACTGTATGAAAAATATAGTTTTGATGATATGCTAGACAAAGAAGCAGAAAAATATATTATGAACAAAAGCCTTCAGACTGGGATAGGAAATGACATCCATACAAACAACTTTCTGGCATATACCATCATTTTCTGAGAATAATGATAAATATATATCTAAATACATATAGAATTTATATATCTGTGACTCATAGGTGTAAGTAAAGAAAACAGGAATTATGGATAGTCAACCCAAATGCCCATCAATAATAGACTGATGGGATAGATTGATGGATAAAGAAAATGTGGTACACCATGGAATACTGTCCAGCCATAAAAAGGAATGAGAGCATGTCCTTTTCAGGGACATGGATGAAGCTTGAAGTCACTTCTTTAGCAAACTAACACAGGAACAGAAAACCAAACACTGCATGTTCTCACTTATACGTGGATGCTGAACAATGAGAACACATGGACACAGTGAGCGGAACAACACACACTGGGGCCTGTTGCGTAGTGGGGTTAGCAGCAGGAGAGCATTAGGTTAGGAAAAATAGCTAATGCATGCTGGGCTTAATACCTAGGTGGTGATGGGTTGATAGGTGCAGCAAACCACCATGACATACATTTACCTAGGTAACAAACCTGCACATCCTGGACATGTACTCCAGAACTTTTAAAAAAATTAAAATTAAAAAAGGAATTAAATTCATCATTGCACAGAAGTAAACATGTCTTTCAATTTTTGAAATTAAGTGATAGGCCTATGAAACACTAATTTATTGGCTAATAAACAACAATGCATTTCTATATTTTGTAATAAATCCTAAACTAACTTTTGCTACTACTGTTAATTGTTTTAATTAGAAAATATTGATGATTGCTTATTCTTTGCCAAATCCAATGATTGTTACTGTGGGAATATTAAAACAAATTATGAGCCCGGTCCTCAAAGAGATCACAAATTAATTAGTCAATAATATTGAATTTGAATTAATTTCAAAATACAATTTCTCTAGGTGATAACTTACATGGTACAGAGTATAGGTGCTTTAAAAATTTAAATACAAGACATCAGTGTTGGCTGTGGTAGCTCAGAAAGATTTCAACTTTTCTGTTTGTTTTAATCCAACCAAAAGTCTTCCTACCTGCTGATGCATCTGAATTCATACTGCAATCAGCCTTGAATGATCTCTGGTCTATAAAACCGGACACAGTTCAAGTGATAAGAACACAGAATACCTGGAGCTATATCTACACGATAACATTCATATCAACTAGAGGTAAACATGTGTTTAATTTTGTACTTCTGTAGGAAACAAATGTGTATCCTGTGCCACTCTAAAAGTACCATAGATGACAGAGAAAAAGATTTGCTTAATGTCAGGAGAAACAGAAATTAAATGGTTTTTTTTTTTCCTATGGTAATTTAAATTTTACTTGTATTTCAAGGAATGTAAAACTCCAGTGCATAAGAAATGTGCTATATGTACTACAAATGTACTTTCCATGTAATAGCTTACTTTATAAGTTAGTAAAAACTAGTGAAAATGTTCATTCTGGAAATAAAATTTAGGCAAATCAGTATCGTCCAGAAAATGCTCATCTGATCAAATCCTGCCTAATGAAAGGATTTTGTGGTCAAATTCACATGTGAGACATTGCATATCATGGCTCTTCCTTAAAGATTGGCAGAGCTCATTGCAATATTAAAACCCCTGATGAGTCCTGCAATATTTTTTTAAAAAAATCAATTCACCTGTGTTTAATACAAGCTTATTTTATCTCTCCATATTTTTTTTTTCAAGTAATAGCTATTAACCTCCTATTAATGTTTTACAGAAAACGCTTTTGGAAATATTGACATAGACATTCTGCCTTCAAGTCAGGCTTAACAACTAATTTGGCTATTTGGTATATTTAGCTCAGAAAGTAGGTCCCTGAATGTGCGTGTTTGTATGTGTGTGTGTTTACTTTTCTTGGGGCGATCATTTTTCAATTTATGTAAGGAAAATGTTACTTCAATGTTTATGTCTCATTTTATGAAATTGTTTATTTGATTTTTAGTAGAGAATAAAGAATTTGATGTTTTGAAATCAAATTCTTTGGACACTTTTTGAAAAAGTATCCAAAAATTAGATTGTCAAAATACTATATAAATAAACATATGAATATCCTTTTTGATATATTTTTATACATCAGAGAGAATTTTTAAGGCTTCAGCAGAGACCTTAAGAAATAGGGTACCAAATCATAACTGGGCAGATTTTAAGACTTTACCCAACAAAGAGTCATAAAGATCAGTGAGATTCCATTGGTAGAGCATCCTTTCAAAGATGCTCTAAAAAGTGGCATGGTGTGAACAAACCTCACAGGTCAGAGACTGTTTCCTGGAATTCAGCTTTGTGCCCTTTTCATGTCTACAGAAAACTGTGATATTCCAGCTGAGCATTTTTACTAAAATAATGATACTAGCACAAACTAAAAAAAAATCTATGGAGTATTGTACTGCTCATTGATCTTTATCTCATGGTCCTAATACATATGTCTGTTTATCTTATAGTACTTCCTTTTCAGCCATGGAAACAGCACCTTACGTATATAGCACTTTGTTTTGCTATTTCTGCTACGGATAAATCTCAAATTTAAGGATCTACATCTTCCCCATTCTTCCTTCTGTTGTGATAATGGACCACCAAATGAAACCAATTTGGCTAAATTGGAGTGCCTATTTAATATATATAATTATGTATAGTTATATATATATAGGCATTTTATTAGTTAACTGTCACAAATTCTGTTTGGTACTTAATTTCAGGAGACTTTGACCTGTTTGGTTATGAAGTCTTTGAAGGGAATAATGTTACACTGGATATTACAGAACAAACCAAAGGAAAACCCAGCTTGGAGACATTCACACTGAATTGGGATGGGATTTCTTCTAAGCCGCTCACTCCATGGTCATCAGAGGCTGAAGTAAGCTGTGAATGTTTCTACCATGCATTTTTCCTGCACCCTCTCACAGCATTCACAGGTCATTTGTAGACAGATGGGAAAGAGACATTATTTCCCAAAATCACTGCAAATTACTTATCATCTGATCAACTTACCACAATTTATGTATTGTTATATACTGTTATATAATGTGGACACTTTTATCTGAAAGGAGACTAAGAGACAACCTAGTGTAGCTACCCCTTTTTCCAAACAAGGCATCTCAAAGTTTCCAAAGCCTTGCCCTGCCTATGTGTGGAAGCTTCGAGTCCCTCTGCCTACACTGGCATTGTTCTTCACTCAAAACCCAATTTGTCATTCTGTAAAATCAGAAATTCCTTGAGAGATATAGTATAATACAAGCTTAAAATATTGGTTAGTTTAAATATCCTAATATTTTATTAAACGGAACACCATTTAAATGTCAACCTTTTATAAAGAACACTTTAAGGAGGAGTAATACATTCTTCTATTTGGTGTGATAGGTTGGAGGCTGCCCATAGTGAGGAGAGAAGGGAGGAAATATTCCAAAGACAAGAGAAGGAAAAGGGAGTTCTTAGGTCTGTGCCAACAGGGCCTAATGTATCTCCATAGGGGGCAGCTATTCAAAAAGAAAGAATGCTTGTGAGTTACTACATTTTGACAACTATTTGGACAATGAAATTAATATTTGTTTGAGGACTAAAGAGTATATATGGCTTCAAGCCCTTTGTTCTAAATAATAATTATTTCTGTTCTTTGCCAGAGAAACTGATATGGAAATTATAGGATACTTGTGAATACATACTAATTTTTGTATAATCTGCAATAATGTATTATTTTTGAAAAATTATAAATACAAGCTTACAGTATATGCATGTAAACTTTTTTTTTTTTTTTTTTTTTTTTTTTTTTTTTTTTTTTTTTTTTTTTTTTTTTTTTTTTTTTTTTTTTTTTTGAGGTGGAGTCTGGCTGTGTCACCAGGCTGGAGTGCAGTAGCATGATCTCAGCTCACTGCAACCTCCAACTCCTGGGTTTGAGTGATTCTCCTGCCTCAGTCTCCTGAGTAGCTGGGACTACAGGCATGCAACACTATGCCCAGCTAATTTCTGTATTTTTAGTAGAGATAGGGTTTCACCATGTTGGCCAGAATCCATTGACATATATAGTTTTTTTTTCAGTTAATTTTGAGTTAGTTGGAAAAATTATTTATTTGGAATCTATCTAATTGGGTACTAATTAATTTAGGTTTGCTTCATTGCTCTCTTTAAAAAGCTATTAAAGAAATGTCTGCCTTATATAATAACTATATATGCTAATATTAGCCAACTGTCTGTAGCTATTGTTATTCTAGAATAAAAGTCTTGAAAACTCATTGGCCACTAAAGTTATCACACTAACTTAAAATTATTTAAAAAATTAACTCATAATCATGACTAAAATATGGGAATTATGAAAATGTTCTATTAGAACCAATTAGTAGAATCAGTAGTAGTTATTACTAATTACTAATGTTCTAACTTTTCATGAAAAGAAGTTATTGATGTTTATATTGTTAATTTAGTTTCAGAGAGCAGTGGAAGAAATGGTTAGCACCAAGTGTCCACCACAAATCACAAATTTTGAAGAAGGATTTGTTGTGAAATACTTCAGAGACTATGAAACTGATTTTAATCTGGTATGAAATATTTAATGAACTGCAAAACTGACCAAATACAGTTTATATAATGGTTTGAAATTTTATTTCTCTTTTGAATTAGTATTAATAATTTTATCATTCACAGTCAAATTGCAAAAATGACTTTGTTATACATTTATTGGTAAGGCTTGATGATAGGTGGTATTGGTAGTGCCTTCTATAATCCATTTGTTAAAAATTTTTTTCAAGTAGGCTTCATCCCAGAGATGCAAGGCTGGTTCAACATACGCAAGTCTATAAACATAATTCACCATATAAACAGAACCAAAGACAAAAACCACATGATTATCTCAATTGATGCAGAGAAGGCCTTTGAAAAAATTCAACAGCCCTTTATGCTAAAAACCCTAAATAAGCTAGGTATCGATGGAACGTATCTCAAAATAATAAAAGCTATTTATGACAAACCAACAGCCAATATCATACTGAATGGGCAAAAACTGGAAGCATTCCCCTTGAAATGTGGCACCAGACAAGGATGCCCTCTCTCATCACTCCTATTCAATATAGTATTAGAAGTTCTAGCCAGAGCAATCAGGCAAGAAAAAGAAATAAAGGGTATTCAAATAGGAAAGGAGGAAGTCAAATTGTCTCTATTTGCAGACGACATGATTGTATATCTAGAAGACCCCATCGTCTCATCCTAAAATCTTAAGCTGATAAGCAATTTCAGCAAAGTCTCAAGAAAAAAATCAATGTGCAAAAAACACATGCATTCCTATACACCAATAACAGACTTAAAGAGAGCCAAATCAAGAATGAACTGCCATTCACAATTGCCACAAAGAGAATAAAATACCTAGGAATACAACTAACAAGGAACGTAAAGGACCTCTTCAAGGAGAACTACAAGCCACTGCTCAACAAAATCAGAGAGGACACAAACAGATGGAGAAACATTCCATGTTCATGGTTAGGAAGAATCAATATCATGAAAATGGCCATACTGCCCAAAGTAATTTACAGATTCAATGCTATCCCCATCAAGCTACCACCAATGACCTTCTTCACAGAACTGGAAAAAAACACCTTAAACTTCATATGGAACCAAAAGAGAGCTCACATAGCCAAGTCAATTCTAAGCAAAAAGAAAAAAGCGGGAGGCATCACACTACTGGACTTCAAACTAAACTACAAGGCTATAGTAATCAAAACAGCATGGTACTGGTACCAAAACAGAGATATAGACCAACGGAACAGAACAGAGGTCTCGGAGGCAACACAACATATCTACAACCATCTGATCTTTGACAAACCAGACAAAAACAGCAATGGGGAAAGGATCCCCTGTTTAATAAATGGTGTTGGGAAGACTGGCTAGCCATGTGCAGAAAGCAGAAACTGGACCCCTTCCTGACACCTTACACTAAAATTAACTCCAGATGGATTAAAGACTTAAGACCTAACACCATAAAAACCCTAGAAGAAAATCTAGGCAAAACCATTCAGGACATAGGTGTAGGCAAGGACTTCATGACCAAAACACCAAAAGCATTGGCAACAAAAGCCAAAATAGACAAATGGGACCTAATCAAACTCCACAGCTTCTGTACAGCAAAAGAAACAGTCATTAGAGTGAAACGACAACGAACAGAATGGGAAAAAATTTTTACAGTTTACCCATCTGACAAAGGGCTGATATCCAGAATTTACAAAGAACTAAAACAGATTTACAAGAAAAAAACAAACAAGCCCATTCAAAAGTGGGCAAAGGATATGAACAGACACTTTACAAAAGAAGACATACATGAGGCCAACAAACATATGAAAAAATGCTCATCATCACTGGTCATTAGAGAAATGCAAATCAAAACTACATTGAGATACCATTTCACGCCAGTTAGAATGGCAATCATTAAAAAATCTAGAGACAACAGATGCTGGAGAGGATGTGGAGAAATAGGAACACTTTTACACTGTTGGTGGGAGTGAAAATTAGTTTAACCATTGTGGAAGACAGTGTGGCAATTCCTCAAGGACCTAGAAATAGAAATTCCATTTGACCCAGCAATCCCATTACTGGGTATATATCCAAAGGATTATAAATTGTTCTACTATAAGGACACGTGCACACGAATGTTCATTGCAGCATTGTTTACAATAGCAAAGACCTGGAACCAACCCAAATGCCCATGGATGATAGACTGGACAGGGAAAATGTGGCACATATACACCATGGAATATTATGCAGCCATCAAAAACGATGAGTTTGTGTCCTTTGTAGGGACATGGATGAACCTGGAAACCATCATTGTCAGCAAACTGACAGAAGAGCAGAAGATCAAACACCGCATGTTCTCACTCATAGGCAGGTGTTGAACAATGAGAACACATGGACACAGGGAGGGGAGCACTACACACTGGGTCTGTTGGGGGGTAATAGGGGAGGGACGGTGGGGAGTGGGGAGTTATGGAGAGATAGCAAGGGGAGAGATGCCAGGTGTAGGTGATGGGGAGGAAGGCAGCAAATCACACTGCCATGTGTGTACCTATGCAACAATCTTGCATGTTATTCACATGTACCCCAAAACCTAAAATGCAATAAAATAAATTTTAAAAACGTTTTTTTACTACACATTAATTTTCTTGCTAGAAAGCAGAAAAGCTGAGCAAAGTTAAGATTTGCAGTGTTTTTGTTTATTTTGTGTATTAAGCCATTATTGCATTGCTATAAAGAAATGCCTAAGACTGGGTAATTTAGAAAGAAAAGAGGTTTAATTGGCTCACAGTTCTGTAGGCTGTACAGGAAGCATGATGTTGGTATGTGTTCGGCTTCTGGGAAGGCCTTGGGAAACTTTCAATCATGGTGGAAGGCAAAGAGGGAACAGGCACATCATTTGCCTTGGTCAAGAGCAAGAGAAGAGAGTGGGGTGGTGCCACATACTTTTAAACAACCAGACCTTGTGAAAATTCACTTACTATCATGAGAATAGCACTGACAGGATGGTGCTAAACCATTCATGAGAAATCCACACCCATGATCAAATCACCTCCTGCCAGGCCCCACCTTGAATTTCGGGGATTATGGTTCAACATGCAATTTGGTGGGGACACAGATCCAAATTATGTCATTTTGTTTCTGTTTTCTTAACATGGATGCACAGTATATCCTTTCTCCTAATTGGCTTCAGAGAATGTGGGGCATTATATATATTTATGTATTATGTAGTTCTATGTAATTGCTTGTCTTGCTTTTTGACATAACACTGTGGTTAATTAGTACATGGCCCAGTCATTATTTCTTTCTTAATGAGATATTTTAAAAATATACAGTAAAGGAAGAAAATTGAATACTTACTCTCTAATTCTCATTTTCAAGACTTCAGCAAGCCAGATATATGCTATTTCCAAGTAAAAACTGTAAGAATAAAAAAAATACATAGTTATTTAATTCAGATCAACACCCTAGGTATAAATATAAATCCTTAGAAAATATCTCTCAGGATACTTTTCAAGAGCAGATTAGTGAGGAAAAAAATCTTTCCATTTAATGGATGACCTTTTCAGCTTCATTAAATAAATATATGTGTTTTTATGTTCTATTCTGAATGTAGTACTAGCAGCCATGAGGATGGCACATGTAATTTACCTCCTGCTTTCTTCCTACTTCATCTCTCATCACTACCTTCACATGCATTTCCATGCCGCACCTAACCTTACAGTTTGCATTTCTAGCACCATGCTCTCTCATACCTCTGGTTCTTTTGTGCGTATTTTGACCTCTCTCTGAAGCCCCTACTTTCTTTTTACCATTTGCACCGTGCATTTGACACCTTTTTTCCATTCCAGCCACTCCCATTTATCTTTAAAAACTTAACTCATTTGTCACTTCCCCTGAGCCATCTTTCTTGATGCTTTTATGTGAGTTAGATGCCTCCTGTGAGCCTAAGTATGATAATCATTGGCTTCTTTGTCTTAGATGGGTGGCCTCTATCTACAGGGATAGGATTCTTCACCACTTGAATCCTCAAGATTAAACAGCAAACATACAAACAAACAGAAACCTGACACACAGTAAACACTGCATAAACACTCATGGAAAGAATGAATAAATATCCATACAAAGCTCATAATGTAAGGAGAAAAACAACTTGGAAACTAGTCAAATACTGGTATAAGGAATTATATAATTATGGATCCGAATGAGAGCTTTAGATTTCAGACAAGGAAGAAAACATCTCAAGTTAAAGTAATCGGGGAAACAGTGGCATCTGGATTGAACCTTGAATGGTTTGGGTGCATATGTTGGAGGAAAAGCAGAACAATAAATCATGTTTTCATTTGAAATATTATTGTTTCGGTAGGAACGTATTAACAGAGGGCAGAAGACAGCTGAAACTGATGCTTACTGTGGTCGTTACTCCCTGAAAAACCCAGCTGTTCTTTTTGACTCAGCAGATGTTAAACCAAACAGACTACCATATGGAGACATTTTATTGTTTCCTTATAATCAGGTAAGCTCAATGAAATGATATGCTAATTGAATCTGGACAATACCTTGGTAACAAAATTTCATGAAATTTTAAGACGGAAAAATGCTTGCCATGTGAATAGTATGCCATATTGTAACAGGCACTACAGTGTGAATTCTGGGTGCTTGTGGTTTCCTCTTCTGAAGATTCTTAAAATTATATATATATATATGTATATATAAACACACACATATGTATGTATATAGCACCATGTATCATGTATTATATCTCTCTTTTAATTTCAGAAAAAAATATTTGCACCCAAGGTTTAAATACTAAAATAATTAAAAATATATAAGCTCTTTCATTTTTCTTCATTAATTAGGAAGAAACAAAAATTGATAGCCATCATAGGATGATCTTGGGTATCCAGTCAGGGAGAAGTGAAACAATATTTTGAGCAAAGGAGATGGCAGTTTTACTAAGGGTATTTAAGACTGTTAATCATAAATTCACCCTTTCTCCTATTTTAAAATTCTTAAATTGTGGCACATATACTAAAGTTCAAATTTCTTAATATATATGGCATGCCGAAGTACTTGGGGGACCATTAAAATTGGTATTTAATTACTATTTTACAGTGACACTCATTCTCTATCTCTAAATGTTCAATGATATTTACATCCCATTTAATCTGCCTGAATGTTTACCTCTCTTCTTTTCTATGTGCACTGGACTTTTTACTGAATAGCTTAGAGTTAGTACATAACTCCTCTCCACAGGGAGTGAATTGTTTCCAGTTTTAAAGGAAACTATACCTAAAAAAAAAAAAAACATAGAGAATTAATCATTAATTGTAAGGTCACTTCAGCATCACTTTGTCTATAAATTTTTTCCCAGTTCTTCTTCTGCAGCTAACTGGCTGAAATTAATCATTTCTTTCTCTGTGTTCTGGTAAATTTTATGTGGAAAATGCTCAATAAATATTTATTTAATTTGAATTTATCTGAATTGTTACAAAACAATGTAATGGTAATATATTGTTACCAATGTTTTTTGTATTTTTATATAGTTATGTTTAGCATACAAAGGATTCCTGGCAAATTATATTGGTCTAAAATTCCAGTACCAAGACAGTAGTAGCAAGATTATTAGAAGCACTGATGTACAATTCACATATAACTTTGCTTATGGAAACAAGTAAGTTACCTATGAATTTGAAAACTTAAGTTATACCACAGTAGATAAACTACAAAGGTAAGACAAATCCATTTCTTGGGGTTTTATGTTTTTGTTTTGATCTGTTTGAGGAGATGGGGCAAATCATACACATAATGGATTTAACTGTAGTTTTCATATCCTATGCATATACATCCAACAGAAATAGTCGTGTTATAAAGAAATATATAGATCATGAAAATAAATTGTCATAATCACCCATAACCATAAAAAGACAAAACAATGGTACACGTTAGAATTTAAATTATATTTTACTAAATTTAATAATATTCCTAGTTACTGCTAGAAGGTAGAAGGAGACAGGCTTATCAAAGTATTGTCATTATACTTTGATCACTAGAAAAAAAAAAGTGAGTAAAGATATTTTGAAATAATGCTTGCTGTGCCAAAAGTTAGACACATAGAAATGCAAATAGAGAAACATGAAGAAATTAAATGAACCTAGAAAAAGCTATTTAGTGACTACAACTGTCATGCCCTTAAGCACAATTTAGTTCTATATACTTATTTTTATGGTTTTATTAATTTTTATATCTTCTGGAATGTATGTTTATACACAGTATATGCAAAAATTTCATTTATAATGCAAATAATAGTGAAGACATACACAGAGACATACACTTTTCTATTTTATAAAGTACTCCCCATAAATTGTTATTTATTAAAGTATGATTTATATAAAGTAAAATTCACTCTTTTTAAGTGCACAGTTTAGTGAGTTTTAACACATGTATACAGTCATGTAACCATCACTCCACTAAAGACATAGAACATTTCCTTTCTACAATTTTAGAAGTTTTTCTTTCATATAAAATTTTTCTCATAAAAATAACCATGATATGATTTCCATACCTTGAAAAGATTTCTCTTTTTTTGCTTTTTTCTGTTATAGCTACATCACAATCTTTATTTTACATAGGTCTAAACAGTTTACATGCTACTTTAATACATGTCACGTAAGTTTCCATCATTTTATAAGTTATGGAGAGCACTATTCTATTATAATAAGATATGGAGAGCACTATTTTCTTCTCATGATAGAAGACGACTCTGTGACTCAGAACTGCCACGTGTGGAACAAGTATGAGACAGAACCAGTGTCTCCTCTTGACACCCAGACAGAGAGTGAGAAAAGGATCCAAAGTTGGAAATAAAACTAAATGTTGACCATAAACAAAACAAAAACAAGAAATAAAAACAGGCAAGATGTTAATGGAGAGGAGAGTAGTAAGATGGGAAAAAAGGTTAGTCTTGATGGAGGAAGAAATCTCTTGATGCAGAAGCTGCTGTTCAAATCTGCAATTTCAGTTGTCCTGTTTTCTACATCATCCCAACGCTATTTAGTTTTGAGAAAGGGTCTGTTTCTGTCACCCAGGCTGGAGTGCTTTGGGACCATCACAGCTCACTACAGCCTACCTTCTGGGCTCAAGTGATTCTCCCATTCCAACCTCCCTCCCAAGTAGCTGGGACTACAGTTGTGCACCACCCCACCCAGCTGATTTTTTGTTTTTGTAGAGATTGGGTCTTGCCATGTTGCCACAGCTGGTCTTGAACTCGTAGGCTAAAGCGATTCCCCCACCTAGACCTCCCAACATGCTGGGATTGCAGGCATGAGCCACCATGCCTGGCCCCCAACATTATTTTCAAAATGCATCAGCCAGTTCCCAATTCATAACTTTAGAAATTCATATACTCTAAAAATTGTTGACATATGTTGGACTGGAAGGGAAACCTTGTTTGCTAATGGTTTTAAACGCTATTTTGGAGGACAAGAAGTATGCAATGGGAGACAGCCATGGTGAAGGCCTGGAGGTGCTCCAGCAAAGCTAGGTCCCCAAGCTCTATCAGGAGGAAATCAGTTGTGTTCATGGGGACAGTGGCAGGAACAGTGACAAAAGATGGGACTAGGCAAACGGGTGGTACCATATCAGAGCTATCCTTCCTGTGGAACTGGAATGACCTTATGTTAAAAAAAATGAGGGGACTGGGCAACATGGCAAAACCCCATATCTACAAAAAATACAAAAATCAGCTGGGCATGGTAGTGCACATCTGTAGTCCCAACTACTCAGGAGGCTGAAATGGAGGATTGCTTGAATCTGGGAGGTCCAGACTGCAGTGAGCCAAGATTGTGCTGCTGCACTCCAGCCTGGGTGACAGAATGAGATCTTGTCTCAAATAAAGGTGTGTGTGTGTGTGTAGAGGAAGTCATAATCTTTCATTTTCAATATAAAACATCAACATCATATTTGAAGTATACATCTCTGGCATCATATCCTGAGCATATGGACCTAATTCCCTTCAGATACTCTGATCAATCAATGGATAAAGTGAAGGCAACTGTGGACCAAGTTCACATACAGGTGTCAGAATCTCTTTAGCCATGAGAAAGGAATCCACAGTCCAACAGATAATTTGTTGGAAGGAAAATCTTTAATAAGGGCATTAATCTTTTCAAAGAATTCTTCAGGAAACACAAAAGTCCTGCTTCAGATATCCCTTAAGTTCTTGAAATAAGCACCAAAAAGATAATGATGGATGTTTTGTCCCAAGTTTGAGATCTCCACATGTTTCCACAGAATGTAGAGAAAGAAAAATTCTTGTTACACAAAGACTAAATTCATTAGACACTGAAGTTTGGTAGAAGCTGAAGTGGACTTCAAAGAAGAGAAAGAGAATGATGCCTGAGCTCTATATATGCTGTGGATGGTGTTTGCACAGAATCATATGATTTTGATAATAATTAACAACATTAATTTTAACAATATTCTTCTAATTCATGAGCACTGGGTATATTTCCATTTATTTGTGTTGAGAGAGATATATTAGTATTGAAAAAGATGTTGAGTTCCCCAAGGCACAAATATATGCCTTTGAGATCATGACACAGTTGAGTCTGCTGTATAAAATGGGACTGAAGCTAGCTCCTGGAATGAATGAAATGAGTGGGAAGAATTCTGCCATTCCACAGAGGAATTACTGACTCAGAAGAGGACATCCTTTGTTGGCAGTCACGTAGGCAGATGCAATGTCAGGAGTCAAGCCAGCCTGCCCCTGTTAGGTGGCAAGGAGCATGAACAGTCCGTCGGCAGAATGGTTACATACCACTGCTTCATGCCCAGTTTGCTTCATATCATGGATAATCCCATAGTCCATCATTATAAATCAGAAATCCTTCTTGAAGGGACATCTGAAGGTACATTTTGCTACAACAAGAAGGAGTCTTTGAATTGAACAGTGAAATCACAATTTTACTTTTGAGGCCCATCACCCTTACATTATGCCCTCCTCCACTGCTACAGAATTTTGAAACATTTATGGATCGTCATTCTTCATCAGTCAAGTCATCACTTACCATATTATTAAATAGGCCTCTCTTATTAGCCTATAATTTGGGATGGCTGAAGGGCGATGGGGATCATAAATGGGTACAAAAAATAGCTAGAAAGAATGAATAAGACCTAGTATTTGATAGCACAACAGGGTGGCTAAAGTCAATAATAACTTAATAGTACATTTAAAAATAACTAAAAGTATAATTTGATTGTTTATAACACAAAGGATAAAGGCTTGAGGGGATAGATATCCCATTTTACATGATGTGATTATTATGCATTGCATGGCTGTATCAAAACATCTCATGTACCCCACAAATACATATACCTACTATGTACCCACAAAAAAGAAAACTAAATTTTTTTAAAAAATTAAAAAATTTATCTGCTGTGCAGTAATTTTAAGATGCATTACATTTGATAATATTCATGGATTTTCTTTACCTTTAATGTTACAAGACCTTTAAGCAAGAATATCATGATTGTTAAAAATAACAGCGTTCCCTTAATAAAACGATTACCAGTCAAGACAAAATAAATTTATCTGCTTCTAACAGGTATTTCTAGACCTCCTTTAATATAGGTCAGACAGTCCACCTAGATGAAGTAGAAGTATTAGTATTTGTTTTCAGTACAGTGTTAGTGTTAAAAGTGCCATTTCCCACCCCCCAAAATGGTTCTACAACTTTCCAAAAAGTGGTTTATATTTGTAAATCAAGTTTAAAAATCTTAAAACAGCCTGCCTTTCTTTTCAAAAAATGGAATTATCTCATCACAAAGGCACAGTGTGCAGTTCAGTTTTGCTCTCATTTGCAGTCTCCTTTTCCCTTATAAAGGGTCCTGTTCAACATGCCAAATTTTCTAAGTTGTGGTTTTTAAAATTTTAGAATCGTGTAATTCGTTGTACAATTCTACATTGAGGCCCTAAGTACTTTTTAAAATTTAAAGTGCACTTTAGCTTAATGACATTTGCATACAATTTTCTGAAACTGATATGTGTAGTCTAGTCTTTAATGAATGAGAGGTGGATCCCATGATGAGTTTATGAACCATGAAGAAAATGAGACCATAAGGTGCCCAAACAAACTAGTCAGTTAATAACTACAGTGGTAGCTGATGAAAGATTATTGTTAAACTATACTTAATTATTTGGATGGCAGTATTTATATCTGTTACAAACTCATAGCTTTAATGCTTAATTGTAATTTATGGGATTCAAATACAGTTAACATTTAATAGAAAATCTTAATCTAAGTTATACATTTAAAAGGTATCATGCAACCATTTATATCTACAAATAATACCCTTCTAGCACTTAGAACAATGGACAATTCTACTCCAGGGAACTTTCCTGGAAGTGTTATCAAGTTCGTTTTGCTTCTTAGCAGTGGACTGAATTTACTGTTCTATGCCTAGTATTGTTCACTAAAATTGATGACTTCATTCTTGGGTCTTGTTTTGATAATGTGCTCTACACCAATGTGTGTGCTTCTTTTTGTCCTTACTTGTTGTTATACAATGTTATTTTACATTCCTGTGGCTCCTGCCAAGGCTTCGAATAAAAGAAAGTCTAATTTGTATACAATGCTAAATCTTTTACTGCCAAGTTTCTGCCTGCTGTGCCTTGTTATGGCCGCTTTTTGGTGCTAATAAAGCTCCCTTGTGGTCTTGTGGGAAAAAAATATTTTTCTCTATAAAATTGTAATGCTTTTAAAAGTATGTTTGCTTAAACATTATCACTGATCTATACAAAAAATTAATCAACTGTATTTCAGCTGGACTTACACTTGCATAGACCTTCTGGATCTCATAAGAACAAAATACACTGGGACAAATATTTGTCTTCAAAGGATTAGTTTACAGAAAGCATCAGAATCACAGTCCTTCTATGTGGATGTAGTGTACATTGGACACACATCTACAATCTCAACATTGGATGGTATGTTGTATCATTTTATCTCTACTGTAATCTAAATATGGTAAAATCTTACCATGGAAATTATTTTTATATTCTGTAGTATGGGTAGAAACATTAATCTCTAAATATTAATGTCATTTTTTATCTCAATAATATAATTTTATTTTTTAATGAATAGGGCAAGGTGATTATTCTAAGGATAAATGAATCCTTAATGTAAACTTTCTTACAATATCATGAATTTGCTTCATAGTCCAGGATTTTGTTTATGGATCAATATACTATGGCAAACGTTTTCATTTTGCTTTGTTTTATTTTTGAGAAACCAACTACCATGAGAGATCTATTCCCAAAATGCAACTATTGACAGTGACATCTGTCTACTAAGATTGACTTGAAACTTTTCATAGACTTGAGAGTGATAATAAATAATACAACAAATGAAATCTTCATTTCAGTAGTGTTAGTATTGTGTTTCTAGTCATGTTAATAGACATGACATTTATGAGATATAATAATAAAAATTAAACTCTACAATCCTAACTCCAAATAGTCACTTTAAAAGTGGCTTTTCCCATTTTTGAGAGCAACATTAGAATCCTTTTCTTTGGAACTGCTTTCAAGTGCAAGGTAGTGAGTTATTTTTTCTGACACAAGAACAGAAAACCAAACACTGCATGTTCTCACTTAGTGGGTGTTGAACAGCGAGAACACAGGGACACAGGGAGGGGAACATCACACATCAGGGTCTGTTGGGGGGTGGGGCCTAGGGGAGGAATAGCATTAGGAGAAATACCTAATGTAGATTACAGGGTGATGGATGCAGCAAACCACCATGGCACGTGTATACCTATGAAACAAACCTGCACGTTCTGCACATGTACCCCAGAACTTAAAGTATAACAAAAAATATAAATGTTACTACTTTATTGTCACTCCTTTTGAATCTGCTGTCACCAGACCTACATTATAATTGGTGGAACACATAGATAGATGGATTGTGCTGGGATAAATGTTGTCATTCATTAAACAATATTCACTTAGCACCTACTATGTGTCAGGCATTGTGTCACGTACTAAGGAAAGAGCAATGAAGAAGCCAATCTTTGTCCTGCCCTCATGAAGCACACATCCTAGTGTGCACCACATTTCGGGGACCTCGAACACATTTCGGGGACCTCGAACAGAACAGAGCTAACTGGCCCACAGAAGGCTAGAGGAAGCCCAGATTGGTGTCTTTTAAATATTTGATTTTTACTTGATAGGGTTTATATTTCAAAAGACATAAAGCTTTTTCATATAAAAGTGAAAGTTTAGCAAGTTTCGCAGACCACTTGCCTTCAGGTCTTCTTTCTAATACTTGATTTTAAATATTTTATTCCATGACAATGTTGATATTATTTGATGATTTTCTTTTTAGCAACAGAAGCAATGCAATTTTATCTCCCATCTATTAGGTTGACTTCTAAATTACTTTTACACCAACCTAATATTTTTGTTTATTTATATTCTTTAGAAATGCCCAAGAGAAGACTTCCTGCATTAGCAAATAAAGGAATATTTTTAGAGCACTTTCAGGTGAATTGGACCAAAATAAATGGACCAACCATGACACACCAATATTTTGTTACCATGACTTCATATAATTGCAGTTACAATATACCCATGATGGCTGTGAGTTTTGGGCAGGTAAGCCTAGAATTTTGCACTAATTTGGATGTAGTGAATTTTCTTTTTATTTTTTTTTTAAATAGCCAACATACAGATAGAATATCTTTAACAGAAAAATATAACTAACTATACCAAGATTATATGATTTGGAGCATTAAATTGGCTTTAAGTGTTAAAAAAATTCTTCAAGAAATATGTCTATGGGAAGGAAAGCAGGGAAAAATACCCTTAAAAAACAAGACAGATATAGAGTTTTTTCTGTGGGCTTAAAAGAAAAAGTTATGGACTCTTCCAATAAAGATCCTTAAACAGAAATTATTGAAAGAAAAGTTGAGATTCTGTTATGCTTTTAAATTGTTTCTGTTATAAACACCATTTATTTTTGCTTGTATGAAAATTTATACAAGGGAAGAAAGCAGTGTTTTTTCATAATTCTAAAAGGATCTAAACAATTTTTGTACAGTTATGATAATACTAGTATTAAATATTATAAATATGAAAAATTTAAAAATTAAATTTCTATAAAAATATTCAATGAGTTAATATAATTTCCTGCCACAAACAAAAAACAAGTATAATAAGCTCAAGATTAAAGGTTAAATAATCATTAATCATTGTAATTAGATTAGAGCCTCACAGAAAACTTTTTGCAAAGTAAACAATTTTATGATTAAAATTACTGAAAAACTATAAAAACTCCAAAAAAATTGCCTTTATCTCACCCTGGGCCAATATTTTAATCTCTTAAAAATTAACATTTCACGAATGCTTTCCGGTCTTTTAACTCTATTAGAAAATGTAACAACTAACACAGGGCTTTGTATTCTCAAAACATCTGTGTCAAAATTCTCCCATTTTTCAAGATTCCTCAATAAACTAATAGATAATTGTAACCTCTATCTTTAGTTATTTATCAAAGGTTACATTCAAGAATACGGGACTTAGATTTTTGTGACCTTTTAAAAAAAATTCAAGTGACAAATACATGTAATGCACATATGTTAAATGCATAGATCAATAAATTGTTTTAAGAACTTTCACTTTGAAATAATTGTAGACTCACATGCAGTTGTAAGAAATAACACAGAACTATTTTTGTATCCTTCATGCATTTTCCTCCAATGATAATTTTTTTGTATAACATAGCATTATATCATAACCAGGAAATTGTCATGATAAAGCCCACTGACCTTATTCAGATTTTTCCAGGATTGTGTGTGTGTGTGTGTGTGTGTGTGTGTGTGTGTGTGTGTGTGGTTCTTGTACAATTTTATCACAGGTGTAGCTTCATCTGACCATGACCAGAACAGTTCTATTACGAGCATCTCTTGTGCTACCTTTTTGTAGCCATGCTGTCACAGTCACCTGCCTCTTTCCCTTCCTCCTGCACTCACTTATATGTGGCAACCACTAATTCATTCTCTCAATAATTTTGTCATTTCAATAATGCTACAAAAATGGAATCAGATGTTATATAATGATACAAATACATAGCTTTTGGAGACTGGCTTTTTTCACACAGTATAATTCCCTTGAGATTCATTTAAGTTGTATTGATCAATTTGTTCATTTTGATTGCTAAGTATATTTAATGTTATGGATGTACCAGTTTGTTTACTCACCTGTTGAACAGTTGAGTTGTTTCTTGGTTTTAGCTATTTTGAATTAAACTGCTATGAACATTCATCTGTAGGCTTTAGCATGACATAAGTTTCCATTTTTTCTGGCTTGAATTCCCAACAGTGGAATTACCGGGTTGTATGGTAAGAATATGTATAGTTTTTAAAGAAACTACCATACTTTTTCCAAAGTGGTTGTACCATTTTAGATTCCCACCAGCAGTGTACAATCCAGTTTCTATACAGTCTTGCCAGTGTTTGGTGATGTCCCTATTTTTAATTTTAGGCATTCTGGTAGGGTGTGTAGCGATGGCTCGTTTTCCTTTTAATTGATGTTTCCTAATAGCTAATGATGTTGAACATCTTTTTATGAACTTATTTGCCACCTACATATCTTCTACTGTGAAATGTCTAATAAAAGTCTTTTGTCAGATACGTGGTTTGCAAATATTTTCTCCGAGACTGTACCTCGCCTTTTCATCTTCTTAAGTTCTTTGACAGAACAAAGTTTTAAAAATTTTATAAAACCCAATTTATCATTTTTTTCTTTTATGAATGGTGCGTTTGGTTTCAAGTCTAAGAACTTACTTAGCTCTAGGTCCTGATGATTTTTCATTTTTTCTAAAAACCCTATACATTTACATTTTATATTTAAGGCTGGGATCTATTTTGAGTTAATTTTTATATAAGATGTGATTTTTGGTTGAGGTTCATTTGTTTGCCTATGCCTCCAATTGTTTCAGCACCATTTATTGAAAGGCTATCTTTCTTCCATTTAATGACACTTGAACCTTTGTCAAAAATCATATTTGTGTGGGCATATTTCTGAGTTTTCTATTCTTCCCATTGGTCTGTCCCTCCACCAATACCACACCTTCTTGATTATTGCATCTGTATAGTTAGGCTTAACATTGAGCAGAATGATTCTTCTCACTTTAGTTTTTTTGTGCATTGTTTTAGCTATTCTACGTCCTGTGCCTTCCCAAATAAATATTAAAATAAGATTCCTTATGCCTACAAAAAAACCTTGCTGATATTTTGACAAGAATTACATTAAATCTATAGACTGTTTTGAAGAGAATTCACACCATTATTATATTGAGTCTTCCAAACTATGAACACAATATGTCTCTCCATTTATTTATCTTCTTTGTGCTGTGCTTTATGAGCATATTTAGATCTTCGTTCATTACATTTATCAGAATTTCGCAATTTTCAGATCAGGTCTATTACATGTTTTGTGAGATTTATGTATGTGTTTCATTTTCTTTGAGCAGTTGTACATGGTCTTGTGTTTTAAATTTTGAAATGTAATTTATTTTTGTGTGTTTATCTTGTATCTTATAAACTTGCTGAATTCAACATTTTACAAAGTAGATATACTCATGTAATCACTACCCAGATCAAGACAATCATTAGCTCCCCAAGCACCTTCCTTGAACCTATCTCCTTTCTTGAACTCACTCCTTATTCCAATAACCACTATTTTGACATCACTACCATTAATTATTTTTTATTGCTCTTAAACTTCATATCAGTAGAATCATATAGTGTGTACTCCTTGGATCTAGCTTCTTTCATTCAATTTTGTGAGATTCACATTGCATATACTGTAGTTTCATTCTTTTTCATTGCCGTGTATTTTTTCATAGTGTAAATATACCATAATGTATCCATTCTATTGAACAACTTTTGCATTATTTCCAGCTTGGGACTATTACGAATATAGCTGCTATGAACATTCTTGCTTATGTCTTTTGGCACTGTTTATTCATTTCTGAGGGCTAGAAGTCTTATCATTTTAAATTTTATAGTGGTAACAGATAACTACAAGGGATCAGAAACAGGAGAATATAATTTTCATTATTAGGATGGCAGTCTATGAATTTCTATAACATGTGCTGCTTCTGTCAATTGATTAGCAATGAACATTAAAGAAGTATTTTTTTTTTAGCCTGGATCAGACACTGTATTGATCATATACTTTCTTAAATTGTTGGTTAAGTTTTCAAGACTCCATGTAGCAGTTTTTGAAAAATTGTTTTAGTTTTTAAATAGCCAAGACCACATCTCATGCTTCTTTGCCTCTCTGCAGTGATTAGCACTGTACCTTGAACAGAGTGCCTGCTCAATAAATATTTGTTCCTTGAGTGATGGAGGGTGTATTCTGAATTAATGAGGTATTACTGCAGTTCCAGTTGATTGCTACACAGATTACTGAGTTGACTTTGGCCTCATTATTGCAGTTATATAGGTATGGCTTGTGTTGATTTATGTGACACTCCTTAATGTTCTGAAGAATCTTGAATACATGAGGCTCATTTATGTCATGTCACAGGATTGTACCATGATGAAATAGAAATCATGTAAGCCATTGTTAAGTTTAATCATTTTCTCAATATTTATTTTTGGAAATTAGATAATCACACATGAGACAGAGAATAAGATTGTCTACAGAGGAAATAATTGGCCAGGCGAGTCAAAAATTCATATTCAAAGAATTCAAGCTGCATCTCCACCTCTAAGTGGAAGCTTTGACATTCAAGCTTATGGACGTATTCTCAAAGGTATATGAAAAAAGTTTAAAATATTGGTGTATACATACATGTATAATGTTATAAAGTATTAAATATTATTTTACTTGAGAATTACTACTTATTCATACATGCAAATATATTATTTATTTGATATATAAATAATATGTGATATATTAAAGTCACACATGCATCTATGTTAATACATGCCATATTAGGGTCAATTAATAGCCAATCATAATGTTGTTTCAAATTCTTCTTTTTAATAAATTAGGAAAAAAATTCACCTATCCAAAGCTATTTATTTTTATTCTTTTGGCTTAAAAATATTATTTTTAAAAGTCTACAAAATTTATAACAATTTTTATAGCCACCTTTTAAAGTCAGTTGAAATTATGACTTTCATAAGTCAAAACTTTCTATAGTATCTACATTTTTAAAAATAAGCATTCATTACTTACTGTGGTAGCCACAAACAATAATAATACTATTAAAATATTACAAAAATTGAGAATTGGAATATGATTTTAAAAGGTATCTATAATTTAATTATCTGAATCTGTGCTGTCCAGTATGACATCCATGAGTCATATGTGGCTACTAAGCACTTAAAATGTGACTAGTGCCACATGTCAAAATATAACATTTGAATATATGGGATTATATGCCATTTATTATTAAAATATCTTACCTAGTTTTGTTTTCCTTCTAAAATATAGCTACCAGAAAACATACAATTATATATGTGGTTCACACAATTTATCAGTTGGACAGTGCTAATCTAGACAACCATAATAAACATTTTGCTGTATTCCTTTCTAGTAGTACTTCTCTTACATTTTATGCATTTGAGAGTATGTCAGTAATTTGAAGCTATTCAGGGCAAATGGCATTTTTAGGTATTCTTCACTGCTTTATCCACTATACCTGTTATATTCCCAAATGTTTGTTTCTCTTTTATATTCATGACTTACAGGTTATCAGTATCTTCAAAGACATACACATTAAGTCGATTAATTTAATTAAAATAGACTTTTAAAATGAAAGTATTTTTATATTAAAAGATTATTTTAACACTCAGTATACTCTTTGACACTAAAACTATTTTATTTTTAATATCAAAATGAATTGATGTGAAAACATCAACTGATATTTGTTATTTGTGAACTGATATTAAAAATATTTGATCCAAGGCCACAGTTTGAGGTACATTACTCATATAATATTTAAAAATAATTATTTATTATTATTTTGAAATTGATAGATAAAATTGTATTTTTTTTCCAGTAAATATCTAAATTCTTGGCATAGTAGAATGCAAATTTTATTTTTACTACATTGGAGGGGGACATAGAGTTTACAAGTGATAATACATAGAACACATTTCATGTACTTTTTTTTTTTGAACTTAACATATTTTATTTTTGTTATTCTTAATTGATCTAACAGATAACAATGTATTTAAAAGAATAAGAGAAACAATATATTGGGCGATTGAGCTTATGAACAAGTGAAAAGAATTATAGCAATATTATATAGCATAGGAGGGAGAAATTAGGAGCACTTTGTTATAAGGTACTTGTGTTAGAGGCATTCGAATCAAAGTGATTCCATCTTGAGTGAGGGCTAGGAAAGTGACGCTGGGACTTGCTGGGCTGCATCCCCAGAAAGTTAGGTATTCCTAGCCTCTAGATGTTATGGTTAAGGGAACAGGGAACAAATTAATAATGTTTACTAAACAGACCCAGACTTGGGAGTGTCCAGATACCCTGATATCTTGAGAACAAAGGCATTTCTAATTTTGCTTTAAAGATAATAGTATTGATTCTTGCAAAATATAGTAACTAAGAAAATTAATCCTTTCTCACAAACCAGTGTAGCAGAGTACATTTCCCCATGATCTTTTTAAATCCTATATGCACAAGCATTGTACCTAAGATGTTCATGTACTTTAAAAAGGAAATTCGTTTGTGAATTTATTTCATTTTATTATTTTTTGAGACGCAGCCTCACTCTCACCAAGGCTGGAGTGTGGTGGCATGATCTTGGACACTGCAACCTTCACTTCCTTTGGGTTCAAGCGATTCTCTTGCCTCAGCCTCCCAAGTAGCTTGGATTACAGGTGTGTACCACCACACCAAGCTAATTTTTGTATTTTAGATGTTGGCAAGGCTGATTTCCAATGAACTCCTGACCTCAGGTGATGCTCCCGCCTCGGCCTCCCAAAGTGCTAGGATTGCAGACATGAGCCACTGTGTCTGGCCGGTTTGTAAATTATGACTCCTGCTGTTTGCCACCCCTCTGTGAGTGCAGGCCTCCCTGCCGATGTGTCAGCTGCAGATCTACAGTTTGCTCTACAGAGTCTGGAGGGAATGGGAAGAGTCTCAGTTACACGAGAGGGAACCTGTGCTGGCTACACGTGGAACATCAAGTGGAGAAGCACCTGTGGAAAGCAGAATCTTCTACAGGTTCCCTCATTTGGCTTGGCTTCTCTTTTCTTCTACATGTTGTTCGCTTATTTGTGCCCTGCCTTATTCCGAAAAGAACTGGAAGCTATGCATATTTTAAAAATGCAAACTATAGACTAAAATTTCTTTAAAAGTAAATTAAGGAGAAGGTTTTTCTAAATTAAATTGAACCAGTGTTCTCTTTCATGGAGAATAGCTGCTGGTACTTTCCTCCTTATCCCATTTAGAAAAAGTCCAGGAATGTGTGTCTTAGAATCCCCTTGACAGGGGCAGGTGGAGCACAGTCAGGGCCTGTCTCAGAACTAAATTGAACTAAATCCAGATGTATGCTAAGGGGGTACCAAAGAGAATCAGCCTCACTATCGTTCTACCACGAGAGCTGTATTTTGGGGCCTTGGATGCTTTTGTGGTTACAAAGATGACCTTTTCAAGTTCATAAGGGAGTAAAAACTTAGGCAGTCATCTAATTACCTTTCTTTAGGTAGAGGGAGGAAGAGAAAGGGGGAAAGGAGTCAGCCCCAGAGTATGTGAAGGAGAGGAATCTGGGGATTCAGATTGTCAAATATTAAAAAGATGATGCTTTGGCCAGGTGCAGTGGCTCACACCTGTAATCCTAGCACTTTGGGAGGCCAAGGCGGGTGGATCACTTGAGGTCAAGAGTTTAAGACCAGCTGAGAAACATGGTGAAAACCTGTCTCTACTAAAAATACAAAATTAACTAGACTAGGGGTGCATGCCTGTAATCCTAGCTACTTTGGAGGTTGAGGTGGGATAATCGCTTGAACCTGGAAGGCAGAGTTACAGTGAGCCAAGATTGTGTCATTGCACTCCAGCCTGGGCAACAAGAGCAAAATTCTGCCTCAAAAAAAAACAAAAACAAAAAACAAAACAAAACAGAAAAAACAGATAATGCTTTCTAATGATGAGAGTTCGAGGAAAGTCTCTCCTATGTAATGTTGCTGAGAACAAAAATTAGAACAACTTTTTGGGAAGATAACTTAGTAGTATCTTAATGCAGATACCTTATGATTCAGCAATATCATTTATATAACTCTTACCTACTGAAATAATAAGATAAATGTGAAATGATATAGGCACAAAGGTAGTCACTGCAGCATTATTTGTAAGAGTAAAAACCTAGAAATCTAAATCCCCATAAATAGCAGAAGGATAGTTTATATGATGTAACTTTCACACTGAACACTATGCAGCCATGTGTAGACCCACATATATTCACCTGGAAAGAAATTCATCACATAAGGTAGAAAAAAAAAATTCAGAACTCTACTCATGAAACCATTTGGGGAAGGAGAGAAAGTGGAGAAGATAAGGAAGTGGGGGCAAAAACAAGTATGTAAACATAGAACACAAGTCTGTATGTATGTGCAAAATAGTAACTGTCAAAAGGATGTGGGGGTTATTTTAGAAAAACACATGGCTGGGAACTGAATTAGAAAATTCCACAATCAAGATAGCTCCAGTGACTGGCCTCCCTTGGTGCCTCTGCTCGTGTCTGTCATCTACTGTCTTCCACCTTTTCTAATCAGTCTCCTCTGCTTAATCATTATTTCTGTTCAATATCATTTGGCTCACACATGGGCCAGCATGGAGACTCCTGTCTCTTTGTTAGCTCCTGAATGCATCAGAAGGTTGTCATATGTGCAGAAGAATTTTGTAAAGAACAAATTGTATATATTGATTTGACCTGGTTTTATTTTTACCATTGGAAGAACATATAATTCCAAACTTAGGTGAAAAACCAGAGTAAAAGTAAAAAATGATACAAGGAAAAGTTGACCCTCAGATAGAAAGAGAACTCAAATTTTCAATTATTTAACAATTATTTATCAGTTATATTCAGAAAAAGCATAGGACATTTCGAGAAAATCAAATTTAGTAGATTCATTTTGTTTAGATTTATTTTTTTAATTAATTCAAGTTAATTTTAGTTTTAATTCAAGTTGTAATTGATGCAATGTATGATATTGCAATGGTCAATGTTTTTTTCTTGGATAGGTTATGTTCATTTTTGAAGAGGCTTCTTTTTTTTTTTTAAACTGACTACAATGGTTTTGAATTTTATTTTACATCCTTGACTTTTATTCACCTTCACCCACGCTGAAATTTAAAATGAAAAACTAGTGTGGCCATATTTGTTATAACCTTTCTAGTAAAATAATTGTGTGTAAAAATAGATTAATGATTCCAACATTATTGGAGAAAAGGCTAATATGACAGTTACAAGGATAAAGGAAGGTGGCTTATTCAGACAACACATACTTGGAGACCTGCTTCGTACACCCAGTCAACAGCCACAGGTATTTTTGAAACTTTTCTCATGATGCTTAATGTAATTTTAATAGTATAAGTAGTTTGTAATATGTTAAAGACCTGGTAAAACAGGAGGATTGACTTCTGTATTTCATGTGAACGTTTGTCTTAACATCGATCAACTTGATACTATGTTATGACTTTTGGGAAAATGATCTTCCTTATGATAAAATAGTAGATTTTTTAGCTCAACTCTGCCAGAAATTGAAAATATAGTCTTTCATTTAATCTTTACAGCAGCTCTGTAAAAATGAAGCAATTACAGTGTAAAGAAATTAGGTGACTTTCCCAAGGGCAAGAATGAATGAAATATCAAAGTAGAAAAAATACAGACTAATTTTAGTAAACAAGCAAACCAACAAAATTCCATCACTTTTGTTAAATCCTATTAATATTCTACTGCTGCCCCTTTGCCCCTGTTCTCTAGCTCCTTGTTTCTTTATTTGAAGGTTGAAGTCTATGTCAATGGAATTCCAGCTAAATGTTCAGGTGACTGTGGATTTACATGGGATTCTGCCATTACTCCCCTCGTCTTGGGTACAAGCCCTTCTCAAGGTAACTTTCTGATATTTAACCTATGCTAGGGTGTGAAAGATAACTAGCAAAATGGAAACTCTGTTAATGACTTTTAAAACTATGTGTGTACTAGTGTCACCAGCTAAAGCAAGCAAACAGTTCTACATTGTGAAAATTAAAAACCCATCAGAGAAAAAAGCTATGGAAAGGGCACTAATTATTCATTTTTGAAAAATAATATTTCCTTTGAAGTTGAAATCTTGCCTTTGGAGTAGAGGATTCACTAATACTAAACTTCTCTAGTTTTATCCGTTAGCATCAGTCTCTAAAATTTTACTTGGATATTAAGGCACTTTTGTTCAATTCTACTAGCTAGGGTATTAAGTGGAGTCTTTGTATTATATGAGACCACTTCCTCTAGGAGAGTTAGTATTAAGAGGCTAGTAACAAGACGTCTGTTGTTTAATAAAATAAAATAATCATGTCCTAGATTTGAGAATAAGAGATATAAAAATTATTGCCAGGAACCCAATCTAAGGAACACATTATACCATTTCTTCATAGTGTGTTATTGCTTCAAAAATATGGTTATGCTTTGTGTCTGAGCAACAAATAATTGAAATAAAACAGGAATAAGGATAGTAAGGGATGGCTTTTTTTCAATCAGAACAATACATTCAGATGCTATAATTACATGTTTAGTCTTGATGGATGGTAGGAAAATTCATCAGCTAATTTTATATTGGTACTACCCAAAAAATCATTAAAATTTTAAAAATATTGCATTTTTGTGTTGAAAGAATATATTTTTCAGACTTTTTAGAACAGTGATGATTTGGGATAATTCATGTTACATGGGGTTAATACTCTTAAGAATAAGGATTTGATGAACTTTAATTTGGTTATAGTCTTTTGGTATGCTTATGTTTATATCCATTCTTGCATTTTGTAATGATTTCCCATGTTTACATGCACTTTCTGAAAAATTATTTCTTACTCAACATAATCTGAATTGCCTTTTGCCACATTCTGATCATCTTTAAAATTGTGAAAATGTAAGCATAAAGAAAACTATAAAAATACATATACTCTTCACTGAAAATTAGCAGCTGTTAACATTTTGTCATATTTACTTCTAATCATCAATTTAAGAAAGAAATATTATAGGAACAGCTAAAATTCTCTTTAAGTATCATTCCTAGACCTAGTCCACTATGTAACTTTCAAGGGACAATCACAGTAATTAATTATTGTATGTGTATTTTTCCATGACATTTTAAATACCTTTTTTATATAATACACACACACACACACACACACACACACACACACACACATACACATACACACACACAACACTCTTCACCAGTTTTATAAGCTTACAAATATTAGAATGTAAATATTATTTTACATCCTAAAGTGTCCTAGGCACTTTAGGATGTATATCATCCTAAATAGAGGAATCTTGTTTTCTTTTCAAATGGGCAATGTCCAGACCACTAATTGTGTGGTATATCCTTTCCTCATGAATTTGCAATGGCAAGTCTGTCACATACTAAGTTACCATATAGAGATGTCTATTTAATTTTTTTGTTATAAGAATAATTTGTTTCCTTATCTTATATCATACTTTCAGTCAGATAATTCTTTCCACTAGTCTCTTGTCAATGCATAGATTCAACATATAAACAGATGTAGAGTAATTCAATGGAAATAAAATACCATTGACAAATAAATATGGATCTTTCTCCCTGCTTGCCTATTAGACTTATTGTTTATATCTTTTGAAGATAGGCTTATTTTTCTCTGAAAAATATCTGATTTCATATCAGATTTTATTTTTCTAACTTTAATATTGTTATTTAAATTGATCATTTTTAGGGTCCTATGAAGAAGGCACAATTCTAACCATAGTGGGTTCCGGATTTTCTCCTAGTTCAGCCGTAACAGTCTCAGTTGGACCAGTAGGTTGCTATTTGCTTTCTGTGGATGGTAGGTCCTTTTAAAAACTATTAAGTCTAATTGTTCTTCTCTAAAATAAAGTGGAATCAAAGAGCAGTGTTACAATTATCTTGATTATGTACAAGTATCATGATCCAGCATTACGATTATAATGATCCTTATAAGACCACGAAATTGACAACCTGGTCTATATAATGCCTTATCTTTTAAATCTTTGATTATGACCACAGACTATTTCACCGTTGAACAGTGTCTTTATCCTATAAACAGTTAAATTGTTTCCTGTTTTTCCCCTGCACTTGGAGGTTACATGAAATCTTTCTTGCATTGGTGTCTTTGGGACACAAAAATGTATGAAATCCTTCTCTAGTGTTCCATGGTCCTATCTGCCCATGTTTTGACAATACTATGCAGGAAGAATATGTAGTCATCTCCTGACTTCTAGTTCCACAGAACCTTTCTCCATTAACGTAGAATTTAAAGATCATTCACATTTTTTTTTACCTCTTGAAATAGTGAAGGCCATAGTTATTTATTTCCCTAAAAGTTGTCTTTCATAATTCCAGAAGATTTTTCTTAACTTAAAAATCAATTGAAATGACGTAAGTAAATTCATTTACCAAATCCTTCCTGTTGTTTTTAATTTAGATCTTTTATGCATTGTTAAGCTCTAATAGTCAATACGACAGCTGTACTATCAGTGTTCTAAAGAAAGTAAGGAAATGTTTTCATTTAAGTTTTGTTTGTTTGTTTGTTTGTTTTTTGATATGGAATCTCACTCTGTCCCTTAGGCTGGAGTACAGTGGCGTGACCTCAGCTCACTGCAACCTCCACTTCCCAGTTTCAAGTGGTTCTCCTGCCTTAGCCTCCCAAGTAGCTGGGATTATAGGTGCCTGCCTCAACGCCTGGCTATTTTTTGTACTTTTAGTAGAGACAGGGTTTTGCCATGTTGGCCAGGCTGGTCTTGAACTTCCAGGTGATCCACCCACCTCGACCTCCCAAAGGGCTGGGATTAATGACGTGAGCCATTGTGCCTGGCTTTCATTTAGTTTTTGATCATCTTTCTTGATAAAACCTAGTATTTTTCACAATTTTGGAAATAATGTATTAGACCAAAAATTTCAGAATTATTAATATAAATGAGTTTATAAACTGGTTTTTAAAAATGTTATGACAGTTGCCTGTTTGGGTTACAGCAGCATCAGAAGCAGATTTGCTTTCATTACCAGTTTACCTGTTTTCTAGGAGTGTCTGATTCATAGCCTTGAGTAGTTTGTAAGGATTGTTCCTCCCAAGATTTCCCCACCCATTAATATATGCTTCATTTTCTTTGGATATATTTCTTGGATCTAAAAATGAAGGCCAATGTTAGTATTTACAAGTATAACATTTATCATAAAACCATTTGATTTACCATTTTCTTCATCTTTTTTTTTTTCCACAAGAAAAGGAGATTAAGTGCCAGATTCTGAATGGAAGTGCTGGACATGCCCCAGTTGCGGTGTCCATAGTTGATGTTGGACTAGCACAGAATGTAGGGGGCGAAGAGTTCTACTTTGTTTATCAGAGTCAGATCTCGCATATCTGGCCTGATTCTGGAAGCATAGCAGGTAATGGTTAATAGTTTAAACAGAGAGAAAATTGCACATTTCCATCCCTTCCCTGTGCTGTTTGTATTACAGGGTGAGGGGGAGGAGCCCAAAGCTTCCTCCTATAGAACAAAGGAGAGTCTCCTTTGAGAAGGCACAGAGATTAAATGATTGACTAATTCTTTTGTTTCTTACAAAGTATAAGTTGGGGTGCTGCTTATACTTACATCTTAAGTTATTGAATTAATATCATCAATTATTACATGTTTCTATAACAAGCGCATCAATTATGTCAAGATAAGATTTATTAGTTATTATTCCGCTTACCAGCTGCTTCATTTGTAACCACAGTCTCAATGGAGCTACTTGACCCAGAAAAAGTTCTGGGAACAAACTGGGGAAAGGAGGGCTAACACAGAGGATAGAAAGAACATAACACATTTTTCCTGTCCTGCTTCATTTCCTTTATATGTTTGTTTTTCTGTTAGGCATGGTTTAGGTTTTTGTGCTTTGGTTTTGATCTTTTTGGTAGTTTTATTTTACTTTATTTCATTGCTTATTTTTAAAATTTAGTTTTCCTTTTACTTAGAGGTATTAAAATTTGAGATTTGATGAGAGTCTTAATTCACTGTACTCTTCCATCCACAGAATGGTTGAGTGGATAGAAGCAGCATAATTTTTCATAGGATGAAGGCACTGTGAAAAATAGCAGATGCCGCTTCCAGTGCCCCAAAGCACATGTGTGTTGCAAATCTATGTTATTTCATTAAATCACTTAGGCCAGCTCCTTTATGGTTCCAAGCATCAGCGCCCAGGCTCAGGTGTGTGGTGGTGATTGTACTCATCTCAAGTCTGATCCTTGATCTATTTGCCAGTCCGTCTCTTGGATAATTAGACAATTCTCAAAAGATGAGTTAGCTGTTACTAACATATCTTTTTGTTACAGTCAAACTGGTTTTGCTGTTGTTTTTTGCTTTTCTTATGAAGGTGGTACGCTACTGACTCTATCTGGATTTGGCTTTAATGAAAATTCAAAGGTATTAGTTGGAAATGAAACCTGCAATGTGATTGAAGGGGATTTGAATAGGATAACCTGCAGGACACCAAAAGTAAGGCCTCTGATTTCAGTCATTTTTCCTCCTAAGTCTGAAATCTTATAAATTAGGAACCATCTTAGTGGAGGGGGGGCAGAAAGGGGGGACAAGTTGTGTATTTACTTAGGAACTGCAGGGTTTCTATGATGCTCTTTAAAATTTATTTCTTCCACATCTTTCTGCTAAGATTCAAAGACAAAATATTATCTCCACATTGAAGATACTTAAAATCATGAAGAAAAGAGACACATAAGCTAATATTAATGTATTTCATTTGAATTAATAGAAGTTACAAAGTAAACATAAAACACAGTGGAGAGAGGGTGTCAAAACAGTTTCACAGGAAAGTTGATGTCCCATTGGAAGTTGAGGATGAATAAGAGTTACCATGTAAATCGGAGGCTGAAAAAATAAATGAGTACTCAAAAAATTTCAGGAAACTAAATCTAAAAATTAATGGTTTTCAAATAGGAATACATTTTGAAATGTGTTAAAGTTTCAGTTTAAATGTGTTAAATTTTCAGTTTCACACAAAAACTGAAGTTCTCCATGGAATGTTGCATCTTAGAACCAATTATTATTCTTTATTTTTAAAACATAATTTTAAAATTTAAATTAAGACTTCAGTTCCCTTATTATATGTCAAAGCATAATGAATCCAGTCACTATTTTAAAAATATATAGCAGAATAAATGAGGATATTATGTATTTGCAAACTGCAGGAAAAAAATCTTTTTTTTTTTTTTTGACTGAATGATGGGGATGAGAATTAAGGGGATATGGTAAGCTAAAACTTACTTTGTTTACATTATGCCATTCAGTTAAACACTGTATGTACATTAAATAAATACTAGATGTGAATAAATGCTTTTCCTAATTGGGAAATGCATAGATGCTATATCTGCAGAAGCATCAGATAGTTTTCTTAGGGGGTGTAAGTGCTTAGTCTTGGATTCTGGAAAGAGATCTTCAAAAGATATAATAATGTGATTTGTCAGAGAAGAGAAATAAGAACTATACTCGTCTATTTTAAAAGCAAAAAGTCAAACTTCAGTATCTTATGCTTTATCAGAGAATCACTTGTTCAGAATATCTCAACAATATTGATTGTGAAGCCATCAGAAATCCAATAATATGGATGCATTTAAATTGATCATAAAACTGCTATGTCATGTAACTTTATTTTGAGAACTCAAGCATGTAACCTATATTTGACACCACAACTTTCTAAATATATGAAAACTGAATCTGATTCATGACTTTGAAATAAAACATCTTCAGAAGTTTATCCTGAATAATTCTATTTCTTTTCCACCCTTGCATTTCTGTATCTCAACAGTTAATATTTTCTAATTTTTTCCTCTTATTTTAGAAAACTGAGGGTACAGTTGATATTTCAGTTACTACCAATGGATTTCAAGCCACAGCAAGGGATGCTTTTAGTTATAATTGTTTACAGACACCAATTATAACTGATTTTAGTCCAAAAGTACGAACAATATTAGGTAAGAAATTCTTCAATAACATCAGCCATTTGACATATGTATAGAAAACATTTCTGAAAAGGCTTTTGAAGCATAGTTTCTTCTGCAGTTTTGTTTCCTAAAGTGAAACCAGTTATAGTTTTATGTGTGTACGTTTTACCATAATCTAGTTATTATTTTACATTGAATATGTGCAATGAGGAAAGAAACAGTAAATTTTTTAGAAAAGGACTTTGCCATCTCTTTTTACTTTTGAGCAATTGAACATACATTTCACACCTTTGTGGCTGTTCCCAACTCTTTCGTTGTTTTTCCTTGTGCCTCTGAAAGTGTTAGGCTTTCCTAAATCCAATGAAAGATGAGAGATGAACTGATTTATTTAATATGCAAATTTCACACTTGATAACAAGTTGAACTTTTTGCATCATTTTTTAAATTTAAAATACTAGGAGAAGTTAATTTAACAATTAATGGCTATAATTTTGGAAATGAACTGACACAAAACATGGTGGTATATGTTGGAGGAAAAACCTGCCAGCTTCTTCACTGGAACTTCACAGATATTAGATGCCTTTTGCCCAAGTTGCCTCCTGGAAAACATGATATCTATGTAGAAGTCAGAAACTGGGGTTTTGCATCAACAAGGTATGATTGTGAACATAAACTTGATAGAATTGTAGGACACATGTGGCTGATGAAATTGGGATAGGAAAATAAGTAGGCATTAACCTTTAGACGTTAATTGCTCTCTTTACCTTTTTACATCTTCTTTTGCAAATGATGCTCAGAATATCTCATACAAGTGCAATATGACACATATTTTTGAGACTAATACCATTCAGATCAGGTTGTAAAATTCTCTGTACAACTAGACTTATTTATATGTCACATGATTTTAATTCATTCAGGAAATGTTTATCAAGTAGTTTCTCAGTGCTGCTGGCTGGATTTACAGTGGATTAGAGCGGCATTTTCACAGCATTAATGGGTGCTCACAATTTTCTTGGAGAGACAGAGTTCAAACAGAGGACTACATCAAAAGTTTAATTGTAAATATTGAAAAATGCTAGGAGTAAGAGGTTTCAGGTGCAGTAAGAGTCTATAATAGAGAGAGCTAACATATCCTGAGCAACAGGGAAGGGTTCTGAAGGAGAGGATGAAGGGAGTCTTTCCCCAAATCAATTTTCTTTAAGTACTGAGTATTTTTTTCCCTGAAACTATTTGTTAACTGGTAAAATTTTAGTTTTAGTATGAGGAAGTTATTGGTTAAGAATAATTAGAAAAGGAAGATGCTGAAAATTTATGGATACAAAAAGGCCAATAAAGCTAATGTCAGAGTAGAAAGATGATTGCAGCAAAATCTTGCAATAAGAAAATGAAGATGAGCAACATTAAACGTAAACCTCAGCACTATATCCATCCCTTCCTGGTTTCACAGGGCAGAGCTCACATGAGTTCTGTATTGGCTTGTGCTTTAGTTTGAAAATATAGTCGGTGAAATTGACACCACACAAAGTTGTGTATTGATATTCAAGAAATATCATGGTTATGCTGTGGAATTAAAAGTTAACACAATGATTCACATGAATTTTTCTGCCTCTCTGCAGTTACGAGGGAAGTTGGGATGTGGAAGTCAACCTTCTACGTCATATCAGAAAAGCATTTACGTTTTGATGTCTTCCTAGCAGATACCTTGTCTGTAACAAAGCAAAATAAATTAAAAACTATTCTCACTGAAGTAGTGGGAAGGGAAACCCTGAGAAGTTTTCAACAAACATGAAATAATAACTTCAAATTAATTACACAAAATGTTGATTACTCGAATGTGTGAGATTTAATTGCTATTTGTAAAGTAGAGCAGCCTTTTTGTTTTACCCTAATGAAAATATAAAATATTTTAAGGGATTTGATGTATTTCTTGTGACCTCAGTTCTCAGGAGCATATTTTTCCATAATATAGTAGGATCTTTCATCTCAAATTCTTCTACCACTAGAATTTTCAGAAATGTAATTTTCATGGTTAGGGAAAAATATTGAATATGCCATCCAAACAAATTGAGATTGTGATAACTGCCATAATTAATAGTTTATTATTAATAATTTATTATTATTGCCATAATTTAATTGTGATAATTAAATATCCAATTATTTCCTCTTTCTGAAGAAATCATATCCTGGCAAGAATTTAGCAAGATAAACCAATAAAAAGCTCATTAAATAGTCTATCCAATTTTTTTTTTCAGAGACAAATTAAATTCTTCGATACAGTATGTTTTGGAAGTGACCAGCATGTTTCCACAAAGAGGCTCCTTGTTCGGTGGAACTGAAATCACCATAAAGGGTTTTGGATTCAGCACAATATCAGCTGAAAATACCGTGCTGTTAGGTAAGAGCTTTATTCATAGGAAAACGATTATCATTTTTCTCAGTTTAAAGGATGTACTACAGGTGCTAATAATTACTGTCTGTTTAAGTATATGCAACATATAGAGTGAAGGAGTTGTTCTGAAAATGATTAATACTCACATGATTACTATCAGAAAAGAAGTACCAAAGATCCTAATACATAAGGCAGAGCTTTTTAAGGGCCTTGGCTGTTGATGAATTATACTTCATCCTATAATTCACAAAAAAATTGACAAAATGTTTGCTTTTTAAAAATATCCAGTATTTATTCTTTCTAGGGTCCATCCCTTGCAATGTTACATCATCATCAGAAAATGTCATAAAATGTATTCTTCATTCAACTGGAAATATATTTAGGATTACCAACAATGGGAAAGATTCAGGTATCAACCATTTATATATTATAAAAAATTTGAAGCACTTAAACCTGAAATTAATTTGATTCTTCTTTATTTCATACTTCAATTTATTGAGAGACTAAGTATTGTTATTTATTTTATAATTTGTCAGCAGTATCTTCTTGACATAGAGGGTCACATATAGAATGAATTAGTGGTATACTTGAGTCTAGAAGGCTGTACTTTATATTTCCAAGTTCAGGAATTGCCATTTGGTTTTGCTGTAGTACAGAACCTCCCAAATTGTTGTAGTTTATTATCGGTCATGGATTTCCAAATGAATATTCCAAATGAAATTGATCATAGCTTTAAAAAATATTCTATAATATTTCTAAGCAAATTATTTATTGTCTTTTCAATTTTTTTCAAATTATCTGTTGATCATCACTTTTGGAATTTGTGACTTAATTTTTCCTTATCATCTTATTACCTTTCCATTATTTCTATTTGTTTTTTTAAGTGCTTAAATTATGTACATAATAAAGTTTGAATGTTGATTTAAAAGTTTTCACTAGTGATTGTACATAAATTGCAATGTTGTCAAAGATAATTATTAAGAAATTCTCTTTTTCTTTTTAAAATATGACTCAATTCTTGCTCCCAGTGCATGGATTAGGTTATGCCTGGTCACCATCAGTCCTAAATGTGTCTGTGGGGGACACAGTGGCATGGCATTGGCAAACACATCCCTTTCTTAGAGGGATAGGATATAGGGTTTTTTCTGTCTCCAGTCCTGGAAGTGTAATTTATGACGGCAAAGGATTCACAAATGGAAGACAAAAATCTACATCAGGTATGTTTCTGCTTATTGATTTTGCATCATGCTACTTTTTCCTAGATGTAATAAAATGACATTTTGTTTAGATTTAATACAGTAGTTTTACATAAATAATATACACAAATGCATAAGGTGGCTTGGCATTTTGTTGCTGCAGTAAACATGTTACTAATGAGTGTAAGCAAGTTATTTTATACATATTCAAATGAATTCCAATATTAGAAATGTCTTTTATTGATTCTGTGATAACCAATTGAAAAACATATTGAAAAAGCAAAATGTAATAAAATAGGAATATATGTTCGAATCAAATAAATCTGGTAGCAGTGATGAACTCTGAGTGACTGAAATCAATTTAAAATCAGTGTTTCTTATAGGACAGCTCAGTATAAAATGTATCTTTTAGATTGCCTGTTTTGTTCTGTATATGTAAGAGTTTGAACTTTTCACTCATGAAAAAAATTGTTTTCTTCCATTTCATGTTGAATTTTTCTTTAAATTTTGGTATGTTATGCCAGACTTGTCATAGTTTTCTAGAAAATCAATGCTGGATCTTGTTTTCATGGAATGTAATTTCGTTACACACGATAGCTTTTAATAGCCAGCGAGTTTTCTTACTACATTCTGTTGACATTTCATACACATGAAAAATAAGAAACTGTCATCTGCATGTGCATTTAAATGATCATTTCAAATTGTTTTCACTCTCTTTTCAAAGATGCATTAATTGCTTATATTTATTATGTACAATCTCATTTTATGGCAGGTTCATTTTCTTACCAATTTACTTCACCTGGAATCCATTATTATAGCAGCGGGTTTGTTGATGAGGCTCACTCCATTTTTCTCCAAGGAGTCATTAATGTTTTACAAGCTGAAACCAGGCACATTCCCCTGCACCTGTTTGTGGGTAGCTCTGAAGCCACATATGCTCGTGGTAAGATAAAGATGGAAACTCTATTACACAGGTGACCCAGGGTATAAGTGATATATCTGGAGTAGGCAGCAGATGACTGAGTCTAACTGTGCTTCTATCTTACTAGCCACATGACCCTGAATAGGTTTGGGCTTCCCTGAGGCAGGAATTTATTCTCTAAAACAAGGATTATGTTAATATCTTCCTATCAGCCTCTCTCCCAGAATCCTTGTGTGCTTCAAATGAGATGTAATATTAAAAAGTTCTGACATTCTCTATGTGCTTGGACATATATTAAAATGTAAGATGATGTTATTATTTCCCCATGGGATCTGGCCTTGGACAAACAGATAAATAAATCAATTTTATATTCACTTTTCTCTCTTTACTGTGACATCTTTGTCTAGGTCTTTAATATTTGTGCTGTCTAAGATCCATTTGTCATTTTGTTTTTCAAAAAAGATTTACCAAAATTTAAACCATCATCATCAAAATAAAGAATAACGCAGTTTGAAAACGGTTCTTGTTTTAGAATTATCCATGACTTATCTTTTGTCTAAAGGAGGACTTGAGAATTTGCACTTGGGAAGCTCTGTGACAGGCTGCCTAGCAACAGAACCCCTGTGTGGCCTGAACAATACCAAGGTTAAAAATTCAGAAAGATTGCTATTTGAGGTTTCAAGTTGTTTTTCACCATCTATAAGCAACATTACTCCATCCAGCGGAACAGTAAATGAACTAATAACAATTATTGGACATGGCTTTAGTAATCTCCCATGTGCTAATAAGGTAAGAATATAAACATCTCTTTTGTACTTCTATTATATGTTCCCAATAAAAGTAATTTGACAAAAACCTTGTAATTTAATTTTTGCCAGCTTTATTGAAATGTTATCACATACCATACAATTCACCCATTTAAAGTGTGCAATTCATAAGCTTTTAGCACAGGCACAGAGCTGGCATTCATCACACAATCAATTTTAGAACATTTTCATTACCCCAAAAAGAAACCCTAAAGTCCTTAGATACACACCTAACCCCTTCATCTATCCCAGCCCAAGGTGATCTCTAATCTACTTTCCATCTCTATAGATTTGGCTATTCTGAACATTTCTTTTAAATAGAATCATACAATATGTGGTTCATTTTGACCAACTTTATTTTTCCATCAGCATAATGTTTTCAAAGTTCACGTAAGTACCGTATGTCAGTATTTCATTTCTTTTTATGACCTCATAATAGTCTATTGTATGTTAAATGACATTTTATTTATCCATTCATCAGTTGATGCACATTTGGGTTGTTTTCACCTTTTGGCTATTATGAATAATGTAGCAATGCACGTTTATGTACAAATCATAATTTAATCCAAGAGATGCCTTAATCAGCTCCTCCCAAATAAAATTTATGAATAAAAGATATTTATTTGCACATGATTAGCTTTTTAAATTTATAGTTGTTGCTAATATAAAATTTGTTTATACTGGAGATATGTACTGACTTGTTTTTTATTTTATATTCATTTTACTTACAGGTTACAATTGGTAGCTACCCCTGTATCATAGAAGAAAGTAGTGACAATTCAATTACGTGTCATATTGACCCTCAAAACTCAATGGATGTTGGTATCAGGGAAATTGTCACTTTAACTGTCTACAACCTGGGCACTGCTATCAATACATTGTCCAACGAATTTGATAGGCGATTTGTACTTTTGCCAAACATTGACCTAGTGTTGCCAAATGTAGGATCGACTACAGGAATGACAAGAGTGACCATAAAAGGCTCTGGATTTGCAGTTTCTTCTACAGGCGTAGAAGTCCTTATGGGTCATTTCCCATGTAAAGTTCTATCTGTGAATTATAGAGCCATTGAATGTGAAACATCCCCTGCTGTCCAACAACTTGTGGATGTATATCTTCTAATACATGGAGTGCCTGCCCAGTGCCAGGGAAACTGTACCTTTTCATATTTAGAAAGCATCACTCCTTATATAACAGGAATCTCCCCAAACTCTATCATAGAATCTGTAAAAGTTATTATTGAAGGAGAAGGTTTTGGAACTGTTTTGGATGACATTGCTGTTTTCATTGGAAATCAACAGTTCAGAGTAATAGATGTTAATGAAAACAACATCACTGCTCTTGTGACTTCTCTCCCAGTTGGACGTCATTCTCTTAGTGTTGTGGTGGGAAGTAAAGGCTTGGCTCTGGGAAACCTGTCTGTCAGCAGCCCTCCAGTAGCATCTGTCTCACCAACTTCTGGAAGCACTGGTGGTGGAACAACATTGGTGATCACAGGAAATGGCTTCTATCCAGGCAATACCACAGTCACTATTGGGGATGACCCTTGTCAGATTATTTCCATCGACCCCAATGAAGTCTACTGCCACACTCCACCTGGGACTGCTGGAATGGTCGGTGTGAAAATCTTTGTTAATACAATCTCTTATCCACCTTTGCTTTTTACATATGCCCTGGAAGATACTCCATTTCTCAGAGGAATTGTCCCAAGTAGAGGTACTCCAATATCTGCCTTATTATTTTGATATTATATTATCAATAATATTTATTAGTATAGAATTGGAATGATATTTGTAAATAATCATTAAGGTGTGTTTATAGACAATCCTACTTACAATTAATACATGGGATTTAAGTTCTGTGTAGTCTCTATTGTATGATTATTTTTCACATATTTATGGGACAACAATTTTAGCCAAATTTCAACTTGTACTTAGGAACAAAATTCCCATTACATTGACCTATATTTCAAACTAGGAAAAAATAAGTGAAGATAGACCAAAACTGGTAATTAATTCATGTTATTGATATTGATTTGCACTAGAAATACCAGTTAAAAGTCAAAAGTTACAACCTTACTTACATTGAAAGTGTTTCAGAGTATCTTATTTCCATGAAACTACAATTCAGTATTAACTTATTAATATGCTAGAATTCTTTTTAAGGAGATCATTGGCACATTCAATGGAGAAAATATTATAAAATAATATTTTCTTAATTACTTAGCATGACTCATTTTTTAAACTTAATAGGTTGATATATCTTCTTGTTCCTTTGTCATTATGCTATGCTACTTCTGATCATCTTTAAGCTATTAAAATTCTTATTATTTACTGAATTCTGGAGAGGAAGCTGTAGTGTGATAGTTGAGAGCTTGGCTCTCAAATGGTTCAAATTTTGCTTCCTTTAATTTCCAGTGATGAAATTTTAGACAGATATTTTTTTAAACATCAATTTCCTTTTTTATGCAGGTATACACATTATAAAGTTAAAGAAGTTCATTCATATAATATAACTTAGAATAGTACATTTAATAAATAACTCATTAAATGTTAACCTTTTAGAAAAGTCTTTTTTAGGTTACATCACAGGGAAATATATCGGGTTTGGGGTAAGTAGTATTTAATGCCTTCAAGGAGTTTCCTGTAGAAATTTTCTTTTAATATATCACATTTTCTCAGTTTGAAAGAAACATGAACAATAGCAATGGCATATTCCTTTTCATATATGGTTGTAATTATTGCAAATAATGGCATATGTTTCTTATTTCCAAGGACTATGTCTCTTCCCATCTCTGTCTTTGAATGTTTCTTTCAAAACAATGTATTCGAAGGTATAGGAGACTTGTAGACGTGTGAGAACTGGGTGATAGAGCACACTGAGAAAAACACTTTTCCATCTGAAAGGCAAAATTTCAAGCAAAATTAAATGTTAAGACTCATAAAACTTTCTTTAGATTGTATCTTAAAACTATTCCTAACATTAAATATCTCTTTAGTATATGTCATGTTAAAATAATTATTTATATTTAAGCCATCCTCACTATGGTCAATTATATGGTAATTACCACTTGAATAAAAAGTAAACTACTACTTGAGGGCACTGCGTTTGCAAAAAGTTATATTGACTAATTTTCATTTAAAATTTAGATATATGGCTATTCATTTGAACAACCTATGAAAAATGCCATATGTTTAATGCCCTCAATGTACATTTGTCAAAAGAAGGAAGCAAGAGGACAGCCAGAATCTAATTCTTTGTTCTATGTGCATATATTCAAGGCATTAACATCAACATTCACCTATATGTCTTTAAATTAATTCCTTTTTTCTGTATTTACCATCTTACACCTATTTACATATTATAATGTTTACCAAGTCACACCTATCAAAAATGTTTGAATTAAGAAAAATGTAGTCCCCCCTAAAAAGAGTTGCTAATATCAGAAAGAAAGGTACCAAAAATAAAGAATACTAAGCCTCATCCTTAAAATATTCTCTAACCCACCCTGCTCAGACATTAATACTTCCTAACTCTACCTCTCTTCTCTGTTAGTGTGAATTAGTAACTTACAACTCAGTAGAATGGATAGAAGGGCTGGAAAAATTATAAACATTGAGATAAATCACTTATATTTAATATACAGTAGACTAGTGTATATCGTAGTCAAAATGTATTGTATGACACAGCATGTATTGTTAACATTTATAGTAGTTTTAAAACATTGGGCATTCTTTTATTTATAAAAGTAAAGAGGTATATCTTTAAATGCATAAGTATTCACATTTCAATATATTTAGATTGTATGCTTTTTTTTTAAGGTCCACCGGGAACTGAAATTGAGATTACTGGATCCAACTTTGGTATTGAGATCTTGGACATCTCAGTAATGATAAATAACATTCAGTGTAATGTAACTATGGCCAATGATAGTGTGTTGCAGTGCATCGTGGGAGATCATGCTGGGGGCACATTTCCTGTTATGATGCATCATAAGACAAAAGGCTCTGCCATCTCCACAGTTGTGTTTGAGTACCCGCTTAATATTCAAAATATTAATCCAAGCCAAGGTAGTTATAAATATGTGGGAATCTGCCTATATTTTGTTTCAGTAAACACTTATTTAGAAAGTAATATGTTCCTCAAACATATAAAATTTCTAGTTCTTATAGCACAATACAAATATTTTTCTTTATTCAGCAAATAAATAAGCATGTAATTGTATAATTATTTCAAAATACTAACTTTAAAATATAATACCTTATATTTCTTAGTGATATATGATTAATTTATTTAAAACTTAATCCTACTTAAAATGACAGTTATATATGGAAATTTTTCTTAAATCATGTTTAGACATCACTGGTATGTAATTACTTCTACATAAATTAGTATATTTTACATTTAAAAACTTTTTTGTTAAAAAAACAAAGTATAAATGAACCAATATACTTGTAATTAAAATAGTAATTGCATAGATATATTTTGCCTACTCTGAAATCCTTTGTGACATCTCTTTTAAAAAAGATTTTAGTTCCTAGAAATAGTTCAAATAAATTACCAGATATGACATTTACTCAGTGAAGATTTTAAAACACTACAATCAAAAGAGATTCAGTTGCATTAATAGAATAATGTGCTATAATTTCAGCTGTAAGAAACTTTTCATTTAACATAACTTACTTTCAGGTTTTAAAATACTTTCGGATTTTATGTACACAGAGGAGGTTTTATTTTAATTGGTTTTATTTTTCCTTTTTATTTGTCTTCACTAGGGAGCTTTGGTGGGGGTCAAACCATGACTGTGACAGGCACCGGATTTAATCCACAAAATTCAATTATATTAGTTTGTGGCTCAGAATGTGCAGTTGACAGGCTTAGATCTGATTACACAACATTATTATGTGAAATTCCATCTAATAATGGTAAGTTGTCAGAAAAATAATGGCAGTCTTTGTGAACTAGTTGATTTTATAAAGATCAATTAATTTCTTTTTTCAAGTTGGATTCCTTGGAGTAATCAAATTACTTTATGACTGTCCTGATTTTAAGCAATTTCTTTAGAACATTTTCTAGATTTACATGTCTTTTCAGACTCATATATTATAGATGGAATTGTTTATAACAAATTGCAGTTTTTCAGTTTATGGTATAAACTGATCGTTCTTAGTTTATGGAGCATCCCAAATGGAGAACACATTTTTAGTTCCCATTAGATTATTAGGCTTCTGTTAAAGGTAGGAATTCCATTAATGGCTTGACCGTCAACCCTGTAGTGCATTGCTAAACTCAAACCTGACCTGTGTCTTTGGACAAGTTATTTAACCTCTCTGCACCTCAGTTTTTTCAACCGAGTAAGTAAGATGAATCACAGTAGTCTACTGGGTTATTGTCAGGTTTAATAAGTTAATGTACATAAAGTGGATGAAATGATGTCTGGAACCATATGTAACTTGTGATTATTCTTACTCTTATTTGGTTCTAAGGAGTCCCTGAATCTCAATTTTGTTACTTACTGTGTAACCCTGGCTAAGTAACTTAACTTCTCTCTGCTTCAGTTTCTCCATGTATTACATGCAGATACTATTAACTCTGATTCAGTGGATTTTTGTGAAGATTAAATATTTGGTACTTTAGACAACAAATCTTAATTATTACTTAAAAAAATTTAAGAAGATATTTAAACAATGTGAATATTCTAGAATAAAGGATATGTTTTATGTGGATACATTTTTTTAAATGTTAAAATTTATGAAGCTTTTCTAAATGTTGTTGCTTCTTTCTCTGACATCCTTAACAAAGAATATTGAAAATGCAATATTTTTATGACTGAGCTTACTTATCATTTCAACACCAGAGTTTAAATCCTGATTTTAAAAAATACATGTAGCAATGCTGTCAGGACTTGTCAAGGTTTTAGGTTGTTTGTCTTAACACTATCTCTGCATCTTCTCTTTATGTTTTTGCATCAGGTTTCTGTAGTCCTTGTCTCTGACCTTGCCTTCAGCTGTCACTCCTTGCTGTTGTCAGTATGCCTGCTTTGAAGCAGTTCTTCCCTCCTTCCTGTTCTAATTTACAAATTTGGATCCTCTAGAATTGGAAAACTAAGCAGGCAGGTTTGTAGAATATTCTACAGAAAGCTTCTCCCAGGGAGGGTCCAAGGGCTTTTTCCTCTGCTGATAATGATCATGAACTTTGTAATGTTTTTGGCTATTGCTAGAGGCCACTGCTCTTCACATGTAGTGTAGCTATATTGGAAAAGAAAGATGACTGTGTGAAAAGAAAGATGTTATTGGAAATGTTTGGAAGTTTTGGAAATGAATCAGAGCCTGATGCCAGAACTGCATTCAGTTTGATCCACCTCTTATAGGCAGGGGTGCTGAGCAAGCCTGTGAAGTGAGTGTGGTTAATGGGAAAGATTTGTCACAGTCTACGACTCCATTTACGTACTCAGTGTTCCTGACTCCACTCATCACTGCAGTATCTCCCAAGAGAGGCAGTACGGCAGGAGGCACCAGACTGACAGTCATGGGGTCAGGATTCAGGTACTGTCTCCATACACACATCATTGTTGTGCATTTCCAGACTCAAGCCATTACGCCTGCTTTCTCTTGTGCCTGGACACTGCTGAAATATAGTATGTAATGCATACCTATATGCTTGTAACTTAAGCTTAAGGCAAAAATAGTAATAATTACTAACATTTATTGAGTTTTTTATTTTGTGGCAAGCACCTGCCTACCCACAAAGAAGTCCTGCCTTACTTCCTGAGATACTTTTACCTCGTTTTATGGTTAGAAGACTGTGATTAAACCGGTTAGATAACTTGCCCCAAATCCTAGTATGTAGCATCACAAATATAAATCACCTTGTTATACTTTCCCCAACATCTTATCTCCAGCCATGGTCTACTTCACTTGGTCAAAGAAACATCTTTCCCTACAGCAGGTCTATTCCACTGTAATTGGCCAAGTTCCTTTTTCTTAAACATACTCATTATTTGACTTAAATTTGTGTACTGCACTGTCCTCATTATTCAAGTGGGGAAGGCTGAAGTCAAAACACCAGATCATATACACCATAGAGGCTCATTGTAACTCCTCAAGCAGTTATGATAACCTTGAACTTGCATTTTTACCTGCAGGGTAGGTTCTAAAGTCCACAAACATGATGAAAATGTCACATGGACAAGCGATCCTTGAAAATCTCTTTTAAAAGTACCTGTTGGGAGACCAGCATAGAATCACTGAACAACAACAACAAAAATCACTGTTTTTTTTTCTTTAACACTGGAACACCTGCTAGTTACAGTCCTATTTTCTGGACTCTTAAACTCTACTTTTTTTTTCAATAAATATTTTGAAGTCTTAATACTGAAAAAAAGTGACAATCTGCACTTTGGTGGCTGGTAGGATCAGGTTATTATTTTTGCAATAATACGTGAGAATAAAAGGGTTTGACAACATGATGTAGAAATCTGAGAAAAACATACATGTTTTGCTTTCCCTTTTTCTTTACAGTGAAAATATAGAGGATGTTCATATCACCATAGCTGAAGCCAAATGCGCTGTTCAGTGTTCCAACAAGACACACATCATCTGCATGACAAATGCCCATCCTCTCTCAGGGTGGGCTCCAGTTCACGTCCACATCAGAGGTGTTGGCATGGCCAAACTGGTAATAGTGCTGTTGGTTATAGAAATCACAGCAATAGAAAACTAGCATCATTGGAGGTGGGCTAATTGGTAATGGATGTTTCACTTTAATGTCTCCAAAAAAATAACCGAGCTGTGACTATAATACATTTAAAGTAGCTTACATTTTTTGTTGCTTTTTACTAAAATTTTCATTATTTTAGATTTTTGATTTTTCTGAGTTGTGGGATAATTGGTAATAGATTTTTAAAATTTGATTATTATTGTGACATAAACCAAGAGGCAATTATAATACATTTTAAGTAGGTTAGATTTTATTATTAATAAAATGTTTGTTGTTTATACATTTTTTCTTTTTGAAAAATTGAATGAAAAACTTTGGTTAAAATCCCTAAATTGTAAGGTCTCTTATGTTCTATTGCAGGATAATGCTGACTTTCTTTATGTTGATGCTTGGTCCTCCAATATCTCATGGGGGGGAAGATCTCCTCCGGAAGAAGGGTCTCTTGTTGTTATTACCAAAGGACAGACAATTCTGCTCGATCAAAGCACCCCTATTTTGAAAATGTTGCTTATTCAGGGTAAATTTCTGAATATCTCTTCATTAGACTCTGCCTGAGAAATATTTCTGTGAAACTGATTTAATCAAAATCCACAATTACAAATATCCATAGTTGCATCATCGTTTTAACACACGGTATAGTTCTGGGCTTTCCAAATTGAGTATTACAATCCATTTGTGGTTATGATATTATTTAATGTGTTGCAGCCAGCATTTTAAAAATGAAATAGGAAAGTATCAGAATAGATTGCATGCATATGGGTAAGGACCTTTTAAAGCTAAATGTTGTTTTATGAAACTTTTGGTTCAATAACAATGTCAGGGAGTATGAGCATGCCCACCCACTTTCACTGATCACAACAATTAAAGGTATTTTCCACTTAGCAAAACGCTGATGTAGTGGGTCCCAGGGGTTAAAAAGTCTTAGAGATTTGTTCAATCCTATCCTAAATGATCCCTTCGACTCCCTTTGGAAGACAGGTGATTTTTACCATTGCCTGTGAAACTGTTTCAGTTGTTACCTGGGCTTATCTCTGCTGCTATAGTCTATTTTTCACTATAGAAAACTAAACAACCACAATTGTGATAATTGGATGTAAAAGAACCATTAACTGGTAAGAGTAGACTGCTTGAGGATTTAGTGCACAAACTTTGCCATAACAGGTCTAGCCTCCAAAGACTCCTGCATTGTATTGTACTATTTTTAACTTCTGGGATAATAGAAAAGTTTCAGGTTTTTGAAGTTATTAAATATTGGACCTCTGGACAAATAAAGTTTTACTACTTACAAATTTATGCTACTCTCATAAAAATGTATGCAGGTATGATCTTTAATAATGCTAATCAGGCTATAGCTGTTAACAGTGCAAATTAATGGGTAGAAGTTCAGAGCTAATGTTGACATTGTAATGGTTTTTATAAACATGCTTTTCTTTCATTGCTTTTGTTCTTAATTTACATTTTGAGGTGCTATGTTTGTAGAACTAACTTGCATAGCTGAGCTATTAAGCAGCATCTAAAATAAGCAATGGTCAAGGGAAAATAATCTTCCCTGGGATTTGATTTTCCATAAACTCCCATAGTTTTGTCTGGAGTTTTTATGCTTTTATGTTCCCAAAGAACTGAACTGAAGTTACATGCATATCAGTAACAAGACATGAATGAGGAATTAAATTTTAATTTAATGTATAATTTAATAATTATGTTAAATTATAATTAATAATTTAATAGGTAACTTTTGACAAAATTTGTCCTTGTGATATATTTCAAAATTATATGATTCATAGGTGGAACTCTAATATTTGATGAAGCTGACATTGAACTCCAGGCAGAAAATATTCTAATTACAGATGGAGGCATTCTTCAGGTATTCAAAAGAGCATAATACATGTTCATTTCTAACCTCTCTCCATTTATTTTTTAAATACTATGTGTAAAACAGATAATTATACCAACATCTCCTAAGTTTATCTTTGTTTAGGTCTCTGTTATTAGTAAAAATCCTTTTTGTGGGGAGAAGTTTCTCAGAATGTTGTGTTTTTAATGGGAAGATAGTAGTGTATTCCCATAACGCATAATGTAAAACAGAACAGGAAAGAATTAACTCTGAGATGTGGCTAAAGTCAGTCAGTATACCTTTCAAAGATCTGGCATAGTGTATTTGACTGACTAGAAAATTAAAGGTTTATCTTTCAGAAGAAAGATGTGAACAACTTAGCAATTAATTCTCAAAAAAGAAGAAAGGATAGAACTACTTTTGTGTGAGTAGAATTGTGGATTTGTGGTTTTAATTTTCTGAATGGCATTTGTGATATCTCTTGCAGATTGGGACGGAGACATCCCCATTCCAACACAAGGCTGTCATTACCTTGCATGGGCACCTGCGATCTCCTGAGCTCCCTGTCTATGGTGCCAAAACACTGGCTGTGCGAGAGGGAATCCTGGATCTCCACGGTACTGTGGCTGAGTGGCTAAGGGATTTGGTAGAGGAAGACTCACCAGATACCAGGGATAATTGTCCTGATAAGATTCTGCAAGTGAAAGTGTGTCAGCCTTCTCATATCTTTAGATATCCCCTCTTTACTCCTTCCTTCTTCCCTACATCCAAGCCAGGACAGCCCTGACATCAAAACTCAGAACCAGGCTGAGCGAGGTGGCTCACACCTGTAATCCCAGCACTTTGGGAGGCTGAAGTGGGTGGATCACCTGAGGTCAGGAGTTTGATACCAGCCTGGACAACATAGTGAAACCCTGTCTCTACTAAAAATACAAAAATTAGCCAGACATGGTGGTGCACACCTGTAAGCCCAGCTACTCAGGAGGTTAAGGAGAATCGCTTGAACGCAGGAGGCAGAGGCTGCAGTGAGCCAAGACTGTGCCACTAACTCAGGCTGGGCGATACAGAAAGATTCTGTCTCAAAAAAATAAAAAAATAAATTAAAAAAAAAAGGTCACGCTTGGGAAAGCCTTTCTGGGTCTTTTCTACATTCTTTCTCTTCCCTTTTTCCATGAGCTTCCAAGCTCCTCTAGTTTCATTTTAACTAACCATAGTACCTGTCTGTTGCATATACTATATACATGTGATTGCTTGTTTATTTATCTATATAAGAAGACTAAGTCTAGAAGCAGAAGAATGTAATTTCTTATATTTGCATCTGAAAGTGGAGTGTCTCTAAAATATAACAATAGATTTATAGTTGTGGATTTCTATGGCTATATCTCAGAACATTGTTAGCAAGTGATCATGTTTGAGGCACCAGGGCAACATACTATTTAAAGGAAGCATGGTGTGAATCCTTTTTATATTGAAGTTTTCCACATTGCAATAATCTATGGCTTTTATAAATTTAGAATACCATAAACCTAATATCTTATTATCATAAAAGTGCTACATGGGGCTAAATATATATACTATGTAATTTCTTAGAAAAGTCTACATTTGATTCTAGATTATTAGTTTAACCAATTCCTACCAATAATGACAAAGATAATAGACTTCTACTCATTTCGTCAATATTATCACACCCCATTTACGTTGTGTCCCTGTAAAAAAGATGGTCATAAATAGGGCATATCATTGCAGAAGAATATTTTTGGACAATTTTTATAGTCTTACACATGTTATTACAAACTAAGTGTTACTTTTATAAAGCACGCATTCCATATATTTCTTTTTGAAGAAATGTCTGAAATGCTCAGGTAAAATGAAACTTCCCAACATTGATTCAATTTAGGAAAAGATCAAAATGCTTAAAGTTCTCAATAACCAATCAAACACATCTGAAGAAATACTCAGTGTGTATGTTGACTCTAGGTGTGCCTGTTCCTGTGATCTGGACTCGCCTGGCTCATACTGCAAAGGCAGGGGAAAGAATTTTAATTTTACAAGAAGCAGTAACATGGAAACCAGGAGATAACATTGTAATTGCAAGCACAGGACACAGGTATGATGTCTTCAGGCTTAATGATTTTTATTTAGAAAAGAAATGTTTAAATTGTGTAAAGAAAGACAATTCAGATGATGCATGACTATTTGGTTTAAATTTGAAATCTGTAATAAAGAAACATTAAAAGCCAAATACAAATTTGCCAAGTGTTAACATTAGGTTGATCACAATTATATTGCATTATAATTGATAGATTTATGATAAGAAAAAATATAAATTTGAATCTAGGAAATAAATATGTTCTAGTAAAATTTATGTTTTACATGGTTTGGCTCCCATGTAAGATTCTATTTGAAAAAATAAGTGTTTGACTACTAAAAGTCATAGGGTTTTAAATAAATACCTTAATGAATACAAAAATGTAAATGAGCTTCTTAGTTTGAAGTCACCAAAGAACATGTTTGAAAGAAGCTAGTAAACTGTCTTATCTTACAGCCTTAGCGGTGGTTCCCATTGAGCAAAATTGTTAATACTGACTAAATAAAAGAGAAGAAATAATTATGCAAAAAGTGATGAGTCACATAACCTTTTAGGTGCCTGTTATTTTGAAACTGAAATTGCTTATTATCCTTAATTTCTGTTTAATTACATATTTTAGCAAATAAGACATAAAGGAAAGAAAATTAACATAACACCACCAAATATAACAGGGATAGGGGAAATAGGAGCCTTATTTTTGCTTTATTGTTCAAATTATAGATAATATAATCAGTAGATAACATAATATCAATTGTAAAATTGAATATGGTTGTGATTATCAGGAAACAAACAGTAATTTATGATAAGAAACAGCTAAATTGTGTTAAGGCCATGATTCAACTTAAATTTAAAATTTGAATTTGCCATATTCCAAGCTAAAAATAGACTTGCAGTTATTAGGAAGAGTTAAATATACACTGAGCTTTAGTCCTTATTTTTTTCTGCCCTTGGAAGAAATTTTAATTATATAATGGCAAAATAAAAAAGCAGAAAAGTGATAGGGCTTACTAACGAATAGATAATCTTCCATTTATGGTTTTTTTGTATCAGATGTAGGTTTAGGGTTTAGCATGGGGCCGTTTGGTTTTGAGAAACAAGAATTAAGGAGTTCCCACCAAATGTAATTGTTCACTATGTCATTGATAAATCCTGTTTGAGAGTTTGCAAAGCCAGTGATTAAGAAAATGCGTTTGCCTATGTCCAGCTCCCGGCAATACCACTTATCAGTTCTGTAGTTGTATTACTTTACCTCTCTGTGCTTCAGTAAAATTGGAATGCAATTAGGAAGGATTACATTAGTTAATATGTATAAAGGAGAAAAAGTAGAACTTGGCTCAAACTAAGTGCTTATTACGCTTAGTATTGTTATATTACAACAAAGGAAGGAAAGATGTGTTTAGGTACATATAACATATAAAAATGCTTTTCAGAACTACTTTCTCATGTACCCCAAAACCTAAAATGCAATAAAATAAATAAATGGGAAAAAAAAAACTACTTTCTAAAGAAATTGTTGCATCGTTTGAATCGAAGAAAATTCAATAGGCTAACCTAAAGCCTTTTTGCATGTCACCTGTGAGATTTTGTACCATTGGTTCACCTTTATCTCTAAGCATCCTTAATCTCCACCTCTCCCTGCCCCCTCCCCAACAATTCCTTCCCTGCGTCTTTTGGAATGATTCTTGTCCCCATACACCCCCATGTTGATAAACTTTCTTCTCCTGTCTCCTGTAGCATCTTTTTTTATCCTTTATGTTAAAGTTGTAAACTGCTTAAATATTATATGCTCATTTTTTCTACTTTATGTGACCATCCTTTGTTTCCTTTCTTTAGATCCCTACATTCTAGTTTTCTTCTTCGAAAAGCTTTTTCAGTGACCTTCTAATTATCGTCATTCTTTGTTCCCTTTGTATCACCAAGTTCTTTGGGTCTGCCCTTGACATGCTCTCTCATCAGCTTTCTCTGCTCTCAGTTTGATTTAGATTCTCAGTCTCTCACACCTGGAATATCACATCATCTTCCTATTTGGGCTTCATTCCACTTTCTTCCCTGCATTAATTAATTCTGCATTAATTTGTTCAATCCGTCACAACCTGTTATTGAGTTGTGACAGGTGCTGCACTAAGTGCTCAGCATATAAAATAATTGCAATGGGTCTCATGCCTAGAAGAGCAGACAAGTCAGTGGAAGGGACAGAAAGGTAGATACCTCATAGGACTGCAGTGTGGTTGCTCTGAGCACTAACAGGGCTTTATGCAGAGTGTATTGAGAATGCAGAAGTAGGTTTGGGAAAGTTGAGAGAACTGCTTAGAATCGATTTCATACGTGGCACTGTCATTTGAACTGGCATTTAAAGGAGGAAAAGGATTTGCTGAGGGAGAGAAAGGTCAAAAGAAAATGTTGGGAAAACACAGAGGTAACTCCCTTAGGCTTACCTTTGTTAACAGCACCATTCACACTTTGGTAGATAATATACAATCAAGCATTGACACACTTGTCTTTTTAAAATCAGGGAAACTTTCTACTTGGTATCCCCAGTGCTTAGTTCTATGCCTAAAATGCAGGTTAGACCCTCAATAAATGTTTGTTGAATGACTAAATGCATGAATATGTACATTATAGAACTGACAAATCCCTTCTGCTGTGGCTGAAATTTGGGATATATCTGGAGGAATGGTAAAAATGAGACCTCCTAAACTTCAACTAAATCATTTTTTTCCCTGTTCAGGAACTTTCAGTGACTTCCCTTTGTAAGGGTTCTCAACTTGTACATGGCTGACATTTCAGACCAGATAGTCTTTGTTATCTTGGGGAAATCCTGTGTATTATGGAATCTGAAACACCCCTGGCCTCTACCTACTAGATGTCAGTAGCATCCCCCAATTATGACAACCAAAAATGTCTTCAGGCATTGCTAAAAGTTCCCTGGGAGGAATAAAAGCATCCTCAATTGAGAATGACTGAGTATAATCCTCCAAGTTATAAATGAATAGTTTTCCAAATACTTTTTGTAAGTTAATGCAGTTCTAGAAGCAAATGTAGAACTTGAAAAATATTTAATTGAATTGAATGTATATGTAAAATTTAATCAAGCAAGAATAAAATAATTTATTGAATATATTTGTAAAATTTAAGCAAGAATAAAATAATTTATTCTAATTTCTATTCAGAATATTATATGGCATAAAATAGTTTCTTATTTTGCAAAGAAGTTTTTAAAATGAATAAAACAAATATACCAAAACAATATATTATGTCAATATATATTAATTTTGAAAATTTTTTGTTAAAATTTTTGCAGACACAGTCAAGGAGAGAATGAGAAAAGGACTATAGCATCTGTATCTGCTGATGGCATAACCGTAACACTAAGTAATCCACTAAATTACACACACTTAGGAATTACTGTCACACTCCCTGATGGAACTCTGTTTGAAGCAAGAGCAGAAGTTGGAATTCTTACAAGAAATATTTTAATAAGAGGATCTGATAATGTTGAGTGGAATAACAAAATTCCAGCATGTCCTGATGGATTTGACACAGGTAATTTTAGCAGCTCTCATTTAGTTGGTATAATTATGCCATATATTTTAAAAAACTAATTGGTTTATATTGAAATACATTATTTAAATGTATTTCATTATAAATATCATTAAATATAATTTAATGATATAAATCTTATACCATTAAATATCTTATAAATATAATTAAATGTGGAAATCTGGAAATGCTGATAGTATTTGTAACATGAAGATATTTGAATATATTTAAGAAAAATGGTTAATGCTGACACTGTAATGGGAGAAACAAGTGTACTTGGATTCTGTTGATAAATTCTCTTCCTATACTTAGGATTCATTATTATGTTTAGATTGGACCTTGATGATTAGTTTTACATATTCTCAGCAAGAAACTGCATTATTTAGATTTACTCAAAAAATATGGAGAATTATATTTGATAGTGATATAAAGATTCTGTTTAGCAAATCTTTGATTCATCAAGCCTTTTTCAATTTTCCAGAATTTGCAGTTTATCAGAACAGTGTGAGAGTGGATTTATTATGGAGTGATATTTAATTAATTCCTAGACAGATGATGGATGGACAGAAAAATTAATAAATGGAATGATAGGGGGAAAAATCTATATAGATCTGAGCCAGTGGGGGTAGGCTCAGTCAGAGTTTTTCAGCATCAGCACTGTTGGTATTTTGGCCCAGATAATTCTTTGCTGTGTGACACTGTCCTGTGCATCATGGGATGTTTAACAGTAACTTGGCATCTACCAACTAAATTCTAGTAGTCTCTTCCAACAACTGTGACAACCAAAAGTGTTTCCAAACATTGCAAAAAAATTCCCTGGGGCAAAATTGGCCTCAGTTAAGAGCCACTGGACTAGGTTATACTCTATTATAAACAAGCCCAAAATTTAAAATATAAAATATTTCTCATTCATGCTACATGTGTCCCATGTGGGTCAACAGGAGGGTTCTTCTCATTATAATTGCTTTGGGATCCAGGCTTACGAAGGATCTATCTCAGCATGGGCTTCTGTGATCTCTGAGGCAGGAGATGAGCTTGCTGGAGAGTAAAGCACTAGCAACTAGTTGCTTTGGTCTTGAAGTGACAGGTGTCTCTTCTACTCAAGGGTCATTGGTCAGAACTGATTCCATGGCTATGCCTAACTAACTTGAAGAGAGTGAGTTAATGTAAACCCCTGTACACCCAGAAGTAGAAGGGAAATGGATACTGGTGAACCTTAATGATGTTTATCACAGCTCTCAGATCTATAGCAGGAAGCATAATGCATCTTACAAGTCTCTGTTAAATATTTTATGTAATCATTAATATCATTGCAAACCTATTAGTAGTTGAATAATAACTGATACAGCTTAAGTAATACCCTTTCCTTAAAGGGAAGCATAAGACAGACTCATGGAATTTGATGTCAAATGAGCTATGTTCTCATTCCAGTTTATCTGCATCAAGTCTCACAATGTACATGAAACTTAGTTTCATCCTGTTTAGGTTAAGAATATTTTCTGTTCTATTTACTATAGTATTAAGAAGTCAGTAACATAATGCATACTCTCATGTTCTACAAATATAAAATTGCATTGATTATGTTAATCCTCAAATCTCGGGGAAGGCTTCAGAAATAATAAAACTAAATACCATTATCAATATTCCCTTGACCATTCAAATATTTTTTTAGTATATTCTCTGAAAAATACTCTATAAGTACTTTAGGAAATGCAAAGTTGAACAAGACAATGTACCTACCTATCTTACAATCTAAAAGAGGTAATGATATGAATGCAAATAATTATGTTCTAGGATGAGGTTGAGATGACATGTGAATCAAATGACACAGTTATGAGAAAAAATCTTCAATGTAAGAGGGTTGTGAGATTTTTTTGATGATGATGATGCGTTAAACACTGTTTTAAAGGAGAATTTGCTACACAAACCTGCCTCCAAGGAAAGTTTGGAGAAGAAATAGGAAGTGACCAGTTTGGAGGCTGCATTATGTTTCATGCTCCTGTACCTGGTGCTAACATGGTAACTGGGAGAATAGAATACGTAGAGGTGAGAGACATTATTGCTAAATCACAGGGGTTTGCTCACGGTTATCCATACGAGAAATGTGTATTGAGCTCCCGCTCTTTGTCAATGCTACTTATAATCTGGTAGGGGAGACAGATATCTAAGTAAACAATTTTAATACATTCATTTGATCATGCCAAAATTTTGTTTCTCAAATTTTCTCACACCCCCAAATCAAATTCATCAGTGATTCTATCTTTTCTACCCACAAAATGCTATATCCAGAATCCAGTCTATTTTCATACCTCCACCTGACCCTGGCCCAAGCCACCTGGACTGCTGTGATTTTCTTCTATCTGGTCTTCCTGCTACCACCTTGCTCTAATAGAGTCTCCACACTGCAACCAAAATAAAATTTTAAAACCATAAATCAGATCTTGTTATACCCCTCTTCAAAGTCCTTCAATGGCTTCATAGTATACCTAAAATAACAAGTACAAGTCCACCCCATAGAAACCATGTGATCTGACTCGAGATGCCCTCTGATTTATCTCCTATGACCCTAAGTCTTGCTCATGCCATGCTAGTCACAGAGGCTTCCTTATGTGTCTATGTCAAGCACATTCCTATCTCAGGTCCTTTGTACTTGGTTTTCATTCTACTTGGAATCCTCCTCCACCAAATACTTGTATGGCTCACACTCTTATTTCAGTCAGATCTTTTGACAAGTGCACATGTGTGCACATACACGAGCACACACACAGATACACTGGCATCCTCTGTATTAAATTATTAAATCACAGACCATTTGAAAGAATGTTCAGCAAAGTGATTGATAAGAACTCCAGCTCTAGAGTTAGACCAACTTGGGTTTAAATGGAACTTTGTAACCATAAACAAGATACTCAGCCTTTCTAAACTTTCATTTATTCATCTGTAAAATGAAGTCAATGGTAAGTGGCTACTTTAGGGGATTATGGCAAAGATTAGGATCATGCATGTAAAAAAGCACAATATCTGGCATACAGAAAACATTAAATAAATGTTTCTTATTATTACATAAGAATCAAAGTAAAAGAGAAAAAGAAGTCTTTTAAGAGGTTTTATTTTCTAAAACACAAAAGTTTACTAATAAACCAAGGCAAAAAGCAGAAGAGTCAAAGATGCCTTTTTTCATTCTTTTATTCATTTTATAATAAGTCTGGTGTGTTATACATTGTATAAAACAAGGTCAGTTGGGGGTTGAATTACATTTTCAAGTGATAAACATAAACAATTGGAAAGAAATAAACAGTAATAATTATATACAATTTGAGATTTTTTTGAAACAAGAAATTATGAGCTCAATATCTGAGTTATTACTAAATAGCTGTGCTTTCTGGGTTTAACAGGTATTCCACGCTGGCCAGGCTTTCCGATTGGGGCGATATCCAATACATTGGCACCTGCTTGGGGATTTACACTTTAAGTCTTATGTAAGAGGCTGTGCAATTCACCAGGCCTATAACAGAGCTGTTACTATCCATAACACACACCATCTTTTGGTTGAGAGAAATATTATATATGATATCAGGGGAGGAGCATTTTTTATAGAAGATGGTATTGAACATGGCAATATCTTCCAGTATAACTTGGCAATATTTGTACAGCAAAGTACCAGTCTTCTGAATGATGATGTGACTCCAGCTGCATTTTGGGTCACCAACCCGAACAATACCATACGACACAATGCTGTTGCTGGTGGCACTCACTTTGGTTTTTGGTACCGGATGAACAACCACCCTGATGGGCCATCCTATGACAGAAACATTTGTCAAAAAAGAGTTCCCCTTGGAGAATTTTTTAACAATACTGTCCATTCTCAAGGTTGGTTTGGAATGTGGATTTTTGAGGAATATTTCCCCATGCAAACAGGATCTTGTACATCCACAGTTCCTCTGCCTGCAAGATTTAATTCATTTACTGCTTGGAATTGTCAAAAAGGAGCTGAATGGGTCAATGGAGGTGCCCTTCAGTTCCATAACTTTGTGATGGTGAATAACTATGAGGCTGGAATCGAGACTAAGAGGATCCTGGCTCCTTATGTTGGAGGATGGGGTGAAACCAATGGAGCAATGATTAAAAATGCAAAAATAGTTGGCCATCTTGATGAACTGGGAACGGGGTCTGCATTTTGCACTAGAAAAGGCCTGGTTCTCCCATTCAGTGAAGGCTTGACTGTATCTTCTGTGCACTTTATAAACTTTGAACATCCCAACTGTGTAGCTTTGGGAGTAACATCCATCTCTGGAGTTTGTAATGACAGATGTGGCGGTTGGAGTGCAAAGTTTGTTGACATCCAATATTTTCACACACCAAACAAGGCTGGCTTTCGCTGGGAACATGAAATGGTATTGATCGATGTTGATGGCTCACTTACAGGTAATGTTATTTTTAAATTTGTGCTAAAAATCCATTGGAAATATGTTTGCGTTAGCGCAGAGTTGAATTGTTAAAGCAGACTTATGTGCATATAGATCTTACACAATACCAAACTTGACTAATAATTTAAATGACAGAGGCAAGCACTAGGCACAGATGAGGTTCTTTTCTGGAAGAGCCCAACCTGTCAGAGACAGCCTCCAAATATGTACTTTTTCTCCTGCATTAGCACATTGATTTTAAATTAACAGAAAATTTGGGGCAATATTCATGAAAACATTGATCACAAAAGGAAGCCATTTCAGTTTTAGAATGCCTCCATATTATACTCAGTTAATTGCACAGATAAGAAACTGCTTATATGACTACCCTAATTCTCCAGTCAGTTATGCTCTGGAAACATATAAATTGCAGATTTATTTACAAAAGCACTGTAGACAGACTCAATCTATCCTTGTGAAAATACTTTTAAGAGAATAAATAAGTCACAAACCTGCTATGAACCCTTTTCTCCCAATCTAAATTCTAAATTTGTAATTTAATCAAAGAATACCAAAAAAGAACAAAATTCAATATACATTGGAGGTTAATTTTTTTTTAGCATTTCAAGTTCAGAGTATGTCACATTTTCAAAGTTCATAAATATTCATGATTTCTAGAATTTAGCGTCTTTACAATTTGTAAATTATAAAAATCTGTCTAAATAAGATAGCAAGGATATGTGCCTCATCCTTTTGAGTCAATTGACAGGTAAACCTATAGATAGTTGTGATTTGCTTTTGAAAGACTCTGAAGGATGAAAAAAAGATTCATCTCAAAATTCAAACACAAAACTTGAATTTTCAACCACAGTTGTTAACTTCTGTCTCAAGTATAATTGTGGCTTTGAAGAGGGAGAACGTTTGGATGCTTTTGATATATAAAGCTTTGTGTAATGTTTATTGATTTACTTAATTCAGTTTAGGTTTTTAATATTAATTGGTAGTCTACTAGTTTCGAGTAAAGGCTTTATGGTCATAACACCTGGATTTAAATTCTTTGTGTCCTTGAATAGGCTACTCATCCCACTTCCTCTCTCCAACTTTGACTCTCATGGGTACTTCAGACCCTGTGTTTCCGCTAAATCCACAATAAGGTACTGACCAAAGAACCACTAGAAAGCTTCTGTATGAGATCCCCTTGCTCCAGGCAAACAAACAAACAAAAAATTACCCAGACCTTTAGATTTTATTAATGGTACTATGGGTCACAATTCCGAATATTGTAGACCCTTTTATGTCTCCTAATGTGAAATAAAAACCTATTTTGTTTGTTTGTTTCCCAGGGCACAAAGGACATACCGTCATTCCACACAGCTCATTGCTAGACCCTTCTCATTGTACTCAGGAAGCTGAGTGGAGCATTGGGTTCCCTGGATCAGTCTGTGATGCTTCAGTCAGCTTTCACCGTTTAGCATTCAACAAGCCTTCTCCAGTATCTCTGCTTGAAAAGGATGTGGTTCTTTCAGACTCTTTTGGTAAGTGGAATATATTAGTTTAAACCACTAATTTAAATATATATTCCTAAAGTTTTGTCATGATCTTTTTGCATTGTTACTTGGTTGTTCAACCATTGCAAAAAGTATAGTATTTAGAATCCAAGCAGGAAACAAATAATACTCTCAGAGTAGGTGTTTGAGGAGCATCTACAAATGCAGAGGCCAGCACAATATACTGCTGATCAAGGAACCTCCAGACAATATTATGACAGAGAACAGGAAAGTTGGCATAGTCCTTGGAGCAAGTAAAAATGTAGTGTTCCTGCCACTCAAGGCAAATGTTTTTGATTATCCTTGCTGATTGAGATGGGATGAGGGAACATTTACTAGGTTAATAGCTGTATACCAGGTACCAGGGATTGTGGATTTACTGATTTGTTCCAGTAAAGGTACAATACCTGGAACAACAAATATGTTTGAGGTCATTACCTGACTATGTTGCATTAATTTACTGTCATTGTTCATAATTCATCTGGCATTTGGACTAGCCAAACAAGCAAGCCAAGTTGGGATGTGGTGAAAATCCTGATCCTCACATTTCTTAAATCTTCGATCATGGCACTAATCTCTGCATTTCCTTCTCTCAAGGATTTAAACTTGCTTTTATTTGATTAAGGGGATGGCAAACATGGTTCCTAGAGTATCCACTTAATTCCTCTTACTGTATTTGGCCCTATTCCATTAGCTGGGGAACCAGTGTGGGAATTCTGCCAATTACTAAGTCTATCTAGTCTCACTCTACCTGACCTAACCTATCCTGACTGGCTCCTATCTATATCTTTCTTTATCATTCCATCCATCATCTCTCTAGAAATTATTAGTTTTCATATATCTATTTATAATGAATCTACTGAATATATACTGTTCTGATGGACTGTGTATTCTGAAAAATGGAAAAAGCATTGATAAAGATTTGCTAAACAAAATCTTTATATCATCAAATATGGTTTTTTTTTTTTTACATTTTCTGGATAAATCTAAATGATGCAGCTTCTTGACAACAAATTGGAAAATTGAAATAATCAAGGTCTAAACACATGATAAGGAATCATTAGTATAGAAAAAGAGTTTAATAACAGAATCTGAGTGCACTTATTTTTCCTCTTACAGCATCAATATTTACCATTTCTCATCAGTATTGCAATACTTTCATGTTACTTTAAAATGCTATCAATATTTTTGAATTTCCCCATTATATTTACAAAGTAGAGACTTGCCATTTAAAAATTTTAAATGATGTATCTCAATATAAACCAATTAAGATTTGAACATGTGTAGCATAATTATACCAGCTACATGATAGCTGCTAAAATTACCTATGTCAAATCCATCAGAACATGCTGGAATTTTGTATTACACTGCATGTTGTCAGCTTCTCTCATGAAAACATTTCTTAGAAGAATTTCAGCTTCTGCCCTTGTTTCAAACTGAGCCAGTCTTTTAGATTTTATATATGATTCAGGAAGTTGGGTATTTCTGAATTTATGACATTATAGCTTTCTTGTCAAGTCTGTCTGTGCCCTTTGGTCTATTCCCTTCAAGAATTAAGATTTTTTTTTTAATTTAGTCACTAAGCTGTGAATACCTAGAGGGCAAGATCTACAAATTTATCTTTCTGATACCACAAGATTCCACACAGAATGTTGTAAATATAAAGTACTCAGCAAGTGTTGAATTAAATGGAATTAGTTGTGATATGCAGACCAGATTGCAAATACTCAGACCATATTTTATATATCTGTTTCCACTATACATTCTGGAAATGAAGAAATAACCATAAGATGTACCCATGACTCTACTGGACTCACTGTGAGATTAAGTGAAGACTCATCCATCACTTGCCACTTGATAAGCCCCCACTCTGGCTGGTGGGCCACGTTAGCATGTTGGTATTGGTGACTTCGAGAATTATTAGCATCAGTTTAGAGCCAGGATATAAGAATATGGAAGGTCTGGTTATTTTTATTTCCTTAGTATAATTGGTCACAGATTTCTTTCACTCAGTGGTGGGGCTTTTGGTCTGTGAATTGGCTTGGATCTAGAAAATAGAGAGTGAATTTCCACTTAGTTAGTCTTCTGAGTTAGACTTCTGTTGTCTAAGACCTCTATTAGTTTTCTTCCTGTATGCACACCAAATATCACCTTAGTGTACTACTTATCTAATCTGTGGAATCTCAAGATCAATCAGCTATCACAGATTCCTGCAGGTCAGAACACTCTGATTAATCCTCTGCCCAGATGTTATTGTGCCAATTAGACCTACCTTTATATCTAATGGTTAAGCACTGACTCCTGCCACTTTTAGATTCCATTATTCTTACTGGGATCAGAAAAGCCAATTCCATGGCAGCATCCCCTATCAGCATTTTCAGCATCGAAAGAACAGCCACCATCAAACTTTTCAAAGGGCTAGTAAAGGGGGAAAATGCTATTTCCATTGCTAGCCTTGAAAAGATGAGGGGAAGGAACACTTATGTGGACCCAGAGACAGAGCTGTATGAAGAAGGCTGCCTGAAGAAGCTGTGCCCCTTGGTTGAGAGACACAAGGGCCCACCAAGATCCCCCTACATTCCCTAAGGGTGAGAGTCAGGGGAATAAATACTTCTCTTTCACCTTTCTCCTTCCCTGTCTTCTCCTTACTGTCTAAGCCCAACTAGAAGCCAGGAGGCAAAGGAACAGGGTCGAGAGGGTGGAAAGTGTGTCTACAGGAGAAAACATAAGTGTGCAGCACCACTTCCATCATTCATTATGATGATACAAGTTATTACATGTAATTTTAAAACATTCTTTCTAGGTTTTTTTCCCCTGTAAATTAAAAAGGTCATGTACCTGCTATCTGAGTAATAGCTATACCCACTGTCACAGTGTCTTAATAATATAAACCCAGAAACCACTACTTTCATTCTGATAAATAGATGTCCAGAATGAAATGATGTTACTTAAACTTTTAAAGTCTGTGGTACAATACGATATTTTAAGCAAAATATCTATGAATATTTCTTCCAAATAAAAACTGAAACAAAAGTAACCAAAACATCAAAAGCAAATGAAGTTATTTTATCCAATAAAATTATATTTTAGTATTTCCCATTACTATGTCATAGAATAGTTTCCCATTTAATCATTCTTTCACATGCTTTATGGTATACCTGTGAGTGAACTGAACATTATTAAAACATGATTTAAGGTATACATTTATGGAAAAGCAGAGATGTGCAACCTTACTAAGTAAATTACTTTAAATATACAACATGATAAAGTACATATTCTTTTAACTATTGATTTTTAAGAACTAATATTCAAATATCTAAGTCTCTAAGCTTTCTTTTTGTGGTCATTTTTAGTGGTGGTGAGAATTTTAGAAAGGAGCTTTTGTTTGCTTTGTTTAGATTCTGGTTTTTTGATTTAGGAGTCTGGTATTTCTGAATTTGTGACATTTTAGCTTTCTTGTCAAGTCTATCTGTGCCCTTTGGTCCATTCCCTTCAAGAGTTAAGATTTTTTATTTAGTTACTAAAATGTAAATACCTAGAGGGCAAGATCTACAAACTTATCATTCTGACACCACAACATTCAACACAGAACACTGCAAATAGTAACTACTCAGCAAGTGTTGACTTGAGTAGAATTAGTTGCAATACTCAGACCAGATTGCAAAGTAGAGAAAACACTATGCCAGGCATTTTACTTCTGGTCGTGAAAAAAAGGATCAACTTTATAGTAAAGTACATTTGGCTACTTTTATTTCCATTAAAGTCAAATAAAATTATTTACTTCTAAAAATTAAAAACAGAAAAAGAGGCCGGGCGCGGTGGCTCAAGCCTGTAATCCCAGCACTTTGGGAGGCCGAGGCGGGTGGATCACAAGGTCTAGAGATCGAGACCATCCTGGTCAACACGGTGAAACCCCGTCTCTACTAAAACTACAAAAAATTAGCTGGGCATGGTGGCGCGTGCCTGTAGTCCCAGCTACTCAGGAGGCTGAGGCAGGAGAATTGCCTGAACCCAGGAGGCGGAGGTTGCGGTGAGCCGAGATCGTGCCATTGCACTCCAGCCTGGGTAACAAGAGCAAAACTCTGTCTCAAAATAAATAAATAAATAAATAAAAATAAAAACAGAAAAAGATAACTTGTCTTGATATCTTTGCTAAGTAAAACAAAGGTTTAAAAAGTACACTAGATTAGTGGGAAGTAACGGTTTGCTATAACTTTACATTTGTCCTTATATATCTTTATTAAAGCATCTCATGCATGATGGTATATCTTTATGTAAATATATGTATAAAGTTACAACAGATGGCAAATTAATTTAAGACACTTGCTCTTAATGATCCTATTTTTAAAAAATATCAACTTCAAAGAGTTTATATTTCTGTCCAAGACACTTAAAACCAACATACTTGAAATGAATGCAGCTTAAAAAATTAGGAAAAACACAACTTAGAAAAATGGAAATTACTTTTACTTATGAAACTGAATTATTAAGGAATGTCAGGTTAGAGTGTAATCCCAAGCATCAGAAAACTTTAGTGGAGGCTGGATGCGGTGGCTCATGCCTGTAATCCTAGCACTTTGGGAGGCTAAGGTGGGCAGATCCCTTGAGGTCAGGAGTTTGAAACCAGCCTGACCAACATGGTGAAACCCAGTCTATACTAAAAATACTAGAAAAATTAGCCAGCCATGGTGGCACATGCCTGTAATCCCATCTACTTGGGGGGCTGAGGCTGGAGAATTGCTTAAATTCAGGAGGTGGAAGTTGCAGTAAGCCGAGATCATGCCACTGCACCCCAGCCTGAGTGACAGAGCGAGACTCCATCTCAAAAAACAATAAAAAATAAAAAAATAAAACTTCAGTGGAGTTTAGTTCTGCAAATCCAGGAGCAAATTCTAGAGGTTTTGGATGATTTTAATCAGCTCTTATATGTTAACCATTGCTTCACAACAGACCATCTAAAAACTCAATATCACAAGCCTAAAATCATTTCTTCTTATGTGTCCAGGGGCTGGGTTGATTGAAAAGCTGGGCTCACCTGGGAGGTTCTACTTCAATATAAGGCTTTGCTTCTTACCACGGGCTAAGCTCAGGTAACTCCACAAGTGTTTGTTTCAGATGTCAGGCAAAGGGAGAACAATTACCTGAGGGAGGCATTTTTCTTTGTGACGACAGAGACTCAAGAAGTCAAGCCTCACTGAGCAAGCACTTTTCAAGCATTTGCTAGTGTCAGTTCTGCTAATGTCCTGTTGGCCAACATCAATGAAGCAAGAAATAGCACTTTGCCCTCAAGGAAAAGAGAAGAGTGGATATTTGCTGAACAATAATCCAGATAGTCACAGTTCTTTTCATACTTTTCAGGATTTTTTGGTAGTGTAAGTTCTGAGTGCCTCTGCTCATGAAGCTTTTAAAATTAATACTAACTCATAAAGCACAGACATTTATGAATTTGTTCTCCTATGACATTAGAATTGTGTTTCGCCTTATTCTCAAAAGTAAATGAATGACAGTTATTTTATAATCTTGCTTCTGACTTCTGCCTCCTAAATTTTTAAAATAAGAGGTTGTTAATTAAACATAAAATCCAATCTGAGATGAAAAGTAAAGCAAGGGGGAGAAAAATAGGGGCAAATAATGAAAGACCTTTTCTTTATATTGTAAGAGAACTTTTCAAATCTTCTGTTAAAGTTATCAGGCAGTCTCTTGTGACCAAAGCATTACTAAATTATATAGTTTTTCCAATAACAGGAAGTTCAAGTTCAAGGTTTGTATTCCTAAAATGTATATATCTTTGTCAGTGTTAAGTGATAGGTCTAGTTGTAGCCTTGTTCTTCAAGAACTTTCAATCAAAACTCCACTAAACTCAAACAAAATTATTTTCTACTAAAAATTAATATGTGTTACACTGGTTTTAATTAGTTCCAAAGATATAGGAAGCTCCAATAAATAATCAGAGCTTACATTTTTATATATTCTATATCAAGAATTCTGAATAACTAAGTTCTTAAAGAATAAAAATAAAATTATGTTTATATCAATATTTAAATAATTATTTTAATATATTTAGGCATTTTTATTTTAGCAGTTGTAATTTCATGATGTTTCAAATGTACCTTTCCCTAAGGAGTATAGGCTCCATCTCAATTCGAAATTCCAAGTTTGAAAGGATTTTACTTTCCAGTTGAATGCAATATTAATCATTTCAAGTCTTTAGTTAAACAAAGACATTTAGAACATAAGTAATGAAATGCCATATTAATCTCTTTAAAGACTTCCATAGACTAAACCAATATTTTGCTAAACCAACTAAAGTAAACCAACATTTGCACTTGTTTATAAATGGAGGAGTTTATTAGAGGTAGAGATTACTATTATTTGCTTATTCTATGTTGTATAGGCACAAGCATTATTCCATTTCAGAAGAAACGACTGACTCATATGTCTGGATGGATGGCTCTGATTCCAAATGCAAATCACATTAACTGGTATTTTAAAGGTGTGGATCACATAACCAACATATCGTATACATCAACATTCTATGGATTTAAGGTAAAAATCCTCATACTTATTCACACACATTGTCAGGCCAGAAGGATCTTTCCTCACAAATTGATCTATTAAAATCCTGCACATTCTTTATGACCCACTCTGAATCTAAGAAGTAAGCCAAAAAAACCCTCATTTGAGAATCAGAAGTAAGCAATCTTTCTGCCACATTGCTGTAGTACTAAGCTTATGCTCCTGTCATTACTATCATGATAATAACTTTCCTTTATTGAGTGTTTATGATATCTCAGGTTAGCAGTTAAAGAATTTATTTTTTATATTATGATATATATCAGACATACAGAAAAATATTTTTTAAAAAGACCAGTATCTAACTCTATCTAAATCTAACATTCTGTGAATATTTACTTCCTGATTTATAAAAGAAATAAAATATTATAGATAAAGTGAAATCCCTCTGTATTACTCTCATCTCATTCCCCATTCTCCATCTCTAATGGTAACCAGTATACTGAATTGGGTGTTTTCCATCTCATACATGTTCTTCCACTTATAGTACACATTTGTGCAGCATTATTTTAAATATTTTAAACATTATGGAAATAAAATATTGTCTACAATTTTGTCTATTTTTAAAAAGAAATAAAATATTTTCTAAATATAAGCATATATACACACACACATATACATATGTGTACATGCATATATATATATATATATATATATAGTATACATGTGTATACTTAATGTATGTATACACCCAGGAGAGAGAGAGAGATCCTTTCATTGCCTTAGTGACAGAACTAGCATTATTGTCATAGACGTGGAAAATGTTAACAAAATGGAAATGCAAGACAAAAAACAAACTAAAGCCAAAACTTTTAAATCTTAATATAGGGGCTAATTATTAAATGTCATTAAAATTAATGTACTATATGAAGAGTATTAACATACAAGTCACATTTTTCTACCAACATTTTAGGATGAAGACTATGTAATTATATCACATAACTTTACTCAAAATCCTGATATGTTTAATATTATTGATATGAGGAATGGTTCTTCAAATCCATTGAATTGGAATACTAGCAAGAATGGAGACTGGCACCTTGAAGCAAACACTAGTACTCTATATTACTTGGGTATGTATTGTTAGGCAGAAGTGATATTTTATCTAATGCTTTGTCTAAAGGATGAGAAAAATTGCTTAATAAGCAAATGTATTGTATAATACCTAATATATACAGGATCCAATAAATGTTTGCTGAATAGAAAAACTGGAGACAAAATTTATTCTCGAAAAGGTTTTGAGTTGAAATAAGAACTTTCCTTCCAAGTTAGAGGTGACACCAACATGCTTACACATTGACAGTTTTATATCATGGACTTAGAGAAAATGAATACAGTGGAAGTTGGCATATGTTTTGTTTCCATTTTTATTATTTATTTGGAAAATTTAAATATTTTAAAATAAAATTAAATTATAAAAGCATTCATTCTTATAATGATATTTTGACTATGTATGTCTTTATAAAAGATACTGTTTCAGAATTTCTCCACACCTCTACCATACATATGAATTATAATTCAAGTTACTACCTAAAGAAGATTTTTTCAAAATGCCATAATTTTGTTTACATTCAAGTAACAATTTGGTCACAATATTCATTTAAACCACTTTTACTTCATTTTCAGTGTCAGGAAGAAATGACCTTCAACAGAGTCAGCCCATTTCTGGGAACCTGGATCCTGATGTGAAAGACGTTGTTATTAATTTCCAAGCTTACTGTTGTATTCTCCAGGATTGCTTTCCTGTACATCCCCCATCAAGAAAACCAATGCCCAAGAAGCGACCAGCCACATATAAGTACATAGGTCTTTTGTAGTTAATATCCTTCAATACCTCTTGACATAATCCTTTTCACCTGTCACTCCTGTGTGAAACAATGCCTTACTCCTGCACAATGTCTTGTAGCTTGCAAAATACTTTCACATTCACTGCTGTGCTTGAGCCTTACAAAAACCCAACTAAGAAAATGAAAAATTCTTACAAAAATTATGTGTGAAAGTTACTGGTAACTTCACAGTTGCAGAATGTTAGATTTAGATTTAGATTATTAAACCTGGCCCAACTTTCTTATTATATAGATGAGAAAGCTGACACCCAGTGAACATAGGTGCATTACTTGAGATTGCAGAGCTCACTGATGGCATATCCAATACAGCACTAGAAACTTGGTCTCCTCGTGAATCCAATGCTTTCTTAGCAGGTGCTGTCTCTAGAATAACTGTCACAGTCAAATCTTATAATATAACTTAGTTAATTTTCTTTCATATATATTTTAATTCTTCTAGTTAAAATGATATTTCTCTCTTTATAACTTAATGTAGCTCTTTACTTTTATTTCTCATGTGAAGCATTACTTTCTAACTTGTATTAGAGTAATTACCAGACATTATGGTACTAGTACATTTGTTACTAATTTTTAAGACCCTTAAAGCCACGATCCTGATTTGATTATATTTGCAAATGTTATGGACAATAATACTGATAAAAAATGATGACGATGCTAAAAACTAGCATTTAGTGGGCACTGAATAGCCCACTACTGTGTAATAGTAAAAGTCAATGATATTTATTAGGTGAATTGCATTTCAAAATAAATAGATACTGTAGTGGCCATTTGCCAAAAGAACAAAAATTGAATTTGTTTATTTATTCAACCATTAAAAAATATTTACTGAGTATCCACTATGTGCCAGGAATTTTGGATTCAATTATGAACAACATAGATGTGATCTCTGATCTCACTACACTCATATTCAATACAAAGAGACAGATGACAAAACAAGCAAATAAACAAAAAAGTAAACAAGATAAAGTACGTAAGTGTGAGTTGCGATAAATGTTATAAAAAGAATGAATATGGGGCTAGGACAGAGACCAATATGGCAGGGACAGTATTTGGGTGGGGTGGTTAGGAACACCCACAGGGAGGGATTATTCCAACTGCAATCCAAAGGATGAGGACGAGCTCGCTGAGTGAAGGGTGGGAGAGACCTAGGGAGCAACTTGTCCAGGTGCCCTGACATAGAAAGGGTGTGGCATGTCCAAGAACGGATAGAGAATCATTAAGGCTGGCCCTACTGAGCAGGAAAGAATGGCCTGGATATGGTTTTGGAAACAGACCACTTAGGCTATGCAGGTAGTAGTAAGAAATATGGAAACTTTTGAATGATTTTAAGCTGAGAAGCAACATGCTCTAAATTATATTTCAGTAAGACACCGCTTAGTATTCTGCAGAGTATGTATTACAGAAGGATAGTGGAGAAAGCAGGGGCTCCTAAAAAGGCCCTAGAGAACTAAGACATATAAACCATAAGGTTTTTGGCCAAAAAGCCCTTATGCATTCTAAGGTAAATGTAATTATTAAATATTTAACATTTATTATGACTACTATAACATATTTAGATTGGTCTAGGCCAGAATATGGTAAAGGTAAACTATGATAAACTACACGTATATTCCATGATACAGTTTTTCTTTCTTCCCATGGTATGAATTTTCCTCACTGGAAATAGTTATAATTGGATTGATAATTTGTATTATTCAACTAGGTATGAATATACAAAACAAAACAGAATCTTGACCCAGAAGTTCTACCTCAGGATTAAAACAGAAAGTTCAAGCTAAGTAAATCAAATGCTTAGTTTAAGAGGTCGTTGTTGATCATAACAATGGGAAATAATAAGAAGGGGAATGCATAACATGATTACTGATAGTGATAGTAATGGTAAGGATAAGAATGAAGGGTTATGATTGTTGAGAAAAGCTAGATACAATCAATTACCGAATGTGTGCAATGCTGGTCACATTATTTAGTTAGGTAGACAGAACCCTTTACAAACTCTTCATGGAAATTGTTTTGAGTACAAGTAAACCTTTAACCACTAAACTCTTTTTAAAACTCATTAAGATTATATTTTACAGCAGGATTTTTTATCAACAGTTTCCTTAGTAATATAAATGTTTAATAAGAATTAAACAAAGTGTATATTGGCCCATCTGTAGAATTTCAGGATTACTATCACAGAATGTTTAAATTTTTTACTGGATATGGAAAGCAGCCTGATTGTGAATGTTTTCCAGTGGGAAAATATCACCAATTGTATGATAATATCTTTTATAAAAACTTGCATCAAAAGGTGGTTTCTAGAAGGCATAGTGACGACAACTGAAGACCATTTGTCCTCCCAAGCACTTTACAAAATTATTTCAATTTAACCTAGCCTTCACTTTGGATACAGACCTGCCACCCCCATCCACAGCCCAGAGCTTAACCACATTGGTGCATCCTTGTTAATTCAGAGACAATTCTTCTACTCCTTTCTTCACAAAATCCAACCAGCTATATCCTCTACCTCTATTCCCCATGAAATAGTGCCATGTGTCAAGGTATTTAAAAGGATGAAGGATGCATTTCTTTTTTCTTCTCCATCATGTAAATCTTATAGGGAAATGGAATGGGTTTACATTTTAGACAAAATTAGGGTTTATCACAACAAGTAGTAATTCATGGAAGTATTTATCTTCTCTTTTCAGTTTATGGTCAAATGATTCTTTTTGGCAATCATCACGAGAAAATAATTATACTGTACCTCACCCAGGGGCAAATGTGATTATACCTGAAGGTAAATACATAAACACAAATGAATTGAATGCTTGCTTTTATGTAATATTAACACTATGGCAGGATAGATGTTACAGTAGTTAGGTTTCCACTTTAATGCAGCACACCTTGGGGAAAGAGCAAATGTGAAGTAGACTCTATTAATGCATTCCAGATACTAAACCTGGCCTTCTGGGGTTTATGTGGATTTAAACCTACTAACAAGAGCAGATTTTCTGGGAGGTATTATATGAAAAGACAGGTCATAAACTTACTCAAAACCAGGACTCACTGATAAGCTTGTCAATATTTTGCTATAGGCTGTAATCTATGCATTATGTTTTATTTCTTAAAGTATTGTTTTATAGGAATATGGATTGTAGCTGACATAGATATGCCATCAATGGAAAGACTCATTATTTGGGGGGTTCTAGAACTGGAAGATAGATATAACGTAGGAGCTGCAGAATCTTCTTACAGAGAAGTTGTTTTGAATGCTACCTACATATCACTGCAGGTAAGAGTGAGGGCCTTGTAGTTTATATCTTTATTAATCAAATTCTAAAATGTATATTTACTCAAATAATAAGAAGGAATTGGTGTGGATAAAAAACACAGCTGGCTCTCTAGCCCATTAAATGAGAGTCTCAAGTAAGTCCAATATATTTCTGATCTCCTTTAAATTATGGACTAAACATTTCTTAGGAATAGTTGTCTTGGGACTCTTGAGTCTGCGGTTAGCCCAGTTTCAATTCTGTACAGAATATCTGTGTCATTATGAGGTCAGCCTAAGCCAATGGCTTGTTCCAACAAAGAGTCCTAGGAATGCTGGAAAAATTAAAAGAATTTAAGCCTTTTGTTTTTTAAAGAAAACAAACAGTATTAAAAAAAACAAATGGACATAGATGGAATTATGATAGCAAGAGAAGATGAATAAAAATGTTGCTATTGTTTGGAACAATCCTCACATTCTCTTTTTAACCCCAAATGGTCTTGAACCTGTACCAGCTTAATCAGCTCGATTGTTTTGTTAGTCTTATAATATTGTTCATGAAAAAGAATAGCTTAGCCAAAAAGCTATTAAGCACCATTAAAAGAATATGTAATTAGAAGCTTTTCTTTGAGGAAAGAACTAAAGTCCAGAAACTTGGTTATTTATATTTTAAAAGTGCATCATATTTTGATTAGAGGTATGGTTTAAGGTAAATTAAAGTTACAACTGAATCTTTACCTCATTGTTTTTTAGTTGGGTAACCATGAGTAAGCATTTGACCTCTTTCACCATTAGTTTTCTCACCTGTGAAATAAGGATAATAATATTAATTCATGAATTTAGTGTAAAGAAAGGTTAAGTGCTATACTGTATGTGAGGCCTTACACATTATGCCTGATATGGAGACAACAAGCATTTAATAATGGCTATTCACATTAACAATGATGGCTTATAAATGGCATAGATTGGATGTAAGTGTGAAGAGCATATTTTACCTATAGGATATTACATTCAAATACAGTATGGTCTGTACCACTAATTTAGGTCTTATGAAATTTCAGTTTTAGGTCTAGTTCTGTCAGTAAGCAGATATTGAATTTGACCTTTGAAAAATCATTTAAACTACCTATCCAAAAGTAAAATTAAAGTCACTTCCAGTTATAATGCTGTTCTTATATAACAAAACTCATTCCTTTTTACTAGGGGAGTCTTCCAGTGACTTCTTAATTCCTTTTTTATGGGTGGAATTTTTGTCCTGGTTAATTTTTAAGTATTAACAATTTTCTGCTTCATTTCAGGGAGGTAGATTAATTGGTGGCTGGGAAGATAACCCTTTTAAAGGAGACTTAAAGATTGTTCTTAGAGGAAATCATACTACCCAAGACTGGGCTCTTCCAGAAGGACCAAATCAAGGGTCAAAGGTCTTAGGTGTGTATCTCCAGATAACAAAAGTGTCACATCTGTTTTGAGAATCTACTTTAAAATATATGGCACTAAAGTATCTATCAGTTCATAATGGAAAGTACTTTATCATAATGATAAGTACTTCTGATACAAAAGTATCAGAAGCTTTTACAGAAATTTATTTATATTAAAGGGTTAAAGAAGTAGCAGAGATTTTTAGAATTAAATCACATTTAACCAGATAAAAACATACATATATCTATTTTAAACCAAAATGTAATTTATTACAAAACTAACTTTAACAAATCTCTTTATATGTATATTATTTTTTCAATCTGGTTTTCTTCATACAGTTTTCTTTAAGCAATACTTTTCACATTTTAGTACTTTTCCCTAAAGGGTAACTTCCTTACACGTTATTCCATTTATATTACTAATAAATCATCTGTGGATCAGTTGACAATTACCCAATCACAGCTACTGCTGAGATTTAATTTCCCAGTTGCATTGGTGTACTATGCATATTCTTATTTGAGCCCAGAAAGCAAATGACTTTAAAGAGTTTAACCTGATCACAATTAAGAAATGATTTTATTCATGCTATTGCATATTTATTTAGGAGACACACATAAGTATGTTCTACCATTGTTTTACTGTACAGTTTCTAAAACTGATACCAAGTAAATAAGTATCTAAAAAAAAATTCTTGAGATCGAATTAACTCACCATTCACAAATGTCCTGAGGCAGACAAATTTAAGTTTAAAAAACATTATATGTTTTTGCTTCAAAAGTAACACTTTAAACAACATAGAACAATGTAAAGAGAACCTATTCGTAAAGAATATACATCTTCCTACTTCTATCTCCCTTAAGGACACTAGCATTAGTTTAAAAGTTTTTTGTGACTTCCTGTTTTTTATCTATGCCTATATTCATATTACACATACTGATTTGTGGTGATAGTATTGTTCCTTTCATAAAACATGGTCAAACTAAGTATATTATTATGTGATTTTCTTTTCTCAGTGAACATATTATGAAAATCTTTCCTGATCAAAAGTTACAGATAAATCTCTTTTATAGCCTATTACTCTATAGTATTAGTATATTAAACTTTATTCCATCCTTTTCTTATTCATGTACATTTGGATTAATTCCAGTTTCCTCATGTTTCTAAATATTGCTGTGGTAAGCATCTTCATTCATGTACCCTTGTATGCTGGCTTTAATTATGAACCAGATTTCTAGAAGTGGGTTAAAGAGTCAAAGTCTTCTTACATGGTTCCAAGCAGAGAACACCAATTTTTCTAAAATGTTTAATCACATAATAAAATATATCAGTGAACATTTTCATCTTATACTAGCACCCAGCTCAGACGGTGTAGTGAATAGCAGTGTGCTTTTCTTTTTTAGGGGTGTTTGGTGAGCTGGATCTTCATGGAATTCCACGTTCAATATATAAAACTAAGCTCTCAGAAACTGCAGATGCAGGTTCTAAAATCCTGTCTCTGATGGATGCTGTGGATTGGCAGGTAAAGAAAGTAATTATGTGATAAAAAATGAATATACACAGTGGGTCGGCTGAAAAAAGTTTGTTTTATTCTTATGGGCATTCATGTGATTAACCAGATGAAAAATGTGTATTTTGTAATAAGCTTGCAAAAACTGACTGGATAGGAGGCATGTAAAAATTGTGGCTTCAATTGTCCTTCAGAATAATTGGAGAACATTGTGTGTGTGTGTGCATATATACATATGTATGTATATTTTACGTATATATTTTATAACTAATACATATTATGTATATACATTTTATGACATGTATATGATTTTAGTCACACAATACATGACATATATATTATGTATATACAAACTAATATATATATAAGTCATAAACATGTATATACATAATGCATATTAGTCATATTTTATACCAATATATATTAGTCATAAAAATATGAACATTTTTGGATAAAATTATTATAAATTCTTGCAAAACAGAAAATGGAATTTAAAATGTTTTATTATCTTGATTACCTCTTCACTTCTAATTTATGATTTGAAAAGAAAACAAATTCTGACACCCAGTGATATCCAAATACTGCCTGTATTAAATGGGATTGTTTAATAAAGTATAAATGGTAGCAATTCTCATCTCCACTGTACTCATAGACAATGTGCAAGCCATAGAGTCCATATGTTTTACAAATACTTTTTTTAATGCCAAAAAATTAGAAAAATGGATGGATTTCTTCCCCAAGCTCCCAGATCTCAGCAAGTTCCTTTCTGGTGAGAACGAGCTTTAGAATCACAGAACAAAGAGAGCCTTAGTTTGAGCAAATCATCAAAACATATGGGTTTGCTCTCTTAGTGTAGTTTATAATTGGTAAATAGAGAGTTTATTCAGAAGTATTCTGATCTGTTTACAATATGTCTTTATTTGTTATGGTTCTGGTGTGATTACTTTTTAAAGAGAGTAATTACATGATTTCAATATCCCTATGATTTATCCAATTAATATTTTCTGCAAATTTTGTATCTGAGTAATATTGTGTCACACACTTTTCTAGGGATTTGGGATTTAGTGGTGAAGAAATTTGTCTAAGCTATCATGAAACTTGCATTAGAGTGGGAGATGCAGATACTAAATGAACAAATAAATATCTATTAATTTCAGATAATGTTCATAATGAAGGAAATAAAACAGGTAGTGTGATAGAGACTGCCACGGCAAAGGGTAGCGGATAACATTTAATATTCCAGAGAAGATATTTGTTAAGGGTACATCTGAACAGAGATTTGGATGACAAGGGGGAGCTCAATATACAAAGTTCTAGGACTTAGCCTTTTCCTTGAACTTTCCTCAGGCTTTTCTGCCTTTCAGTGCTAAACAAACAAACAAAAAAGCTAGGGAAAAAATTTCAACTCTTAATAATATTGTCCTGATCACTTTTTAATAAAAATGTGAGTATGTTTGCTTTGAATGTCTTTACTTTTTCAAAAAAGATATACTGTGATTACTAACTGACTGAATTAAAGTTGAGAAAATGCTGAGATAATTCAAAATTTAGAATTCTTAATATCAAACACAAGCATATGTTTTGTTTTGTTTTTGGCACGGAGTCTCACTCTGTCACCCAGGCTGGAGTGCAGTGGTGAGATCTCAGCTGATTGCAACCTCTGCCTCCCAGGTTCAAGCGATTCTCCTGCCTCAGCCTACTGAGTAGCTGGGACTACAGGCGCAGGCCGCCACGCCAGGCTGAGTTTTGCATTTTTAGTAGAGACGAGGTTTCACCATGTTGGTCAGGATGGTCTCAATCTCCAGACCTCGTGATACACCCGCCTCAGCCTCCCAAAGTGCTGGGATTACAAGTGTGAGCTACCGTGCCCGGCAAACATATGTATTCTTAGAGACTTCAATGTACTGTTTATTCTTTCTGATAATACCATAATTGCCATGAGATATAAATTAAATTTAAATTATTTAATTATGATATCAAGAAATATAAACCTATTTTTAAAACTGTTTTTACATTTGGCACTTGAATTTTTCTAAGGAGGGAGAAGAGATTGTGATAACAACCACAAGCTATGATTTCCATCAGACAGAAACAAGAAGTATCATTAAAATTCTCCATGATCGTAAAATTCTCATTCTTAATGATAGCCTTTCCTATACTCACTTTGGTAAGTGGCTGCTTTTTAACCACATAGATATATAACTGTCTTGAAAAGTCACATTTACTCTGTAATTATAATTCTTTGATAAAACATCTCACAAATATTTTAAGGGAGCATTTTATTCAGATTGGCAGTGATACCCAATGAACACTGCTCTTTCTGCATTGGCTACTGATAGGTCCCACTATGTGCTTTCATTCATTCAGCAAATATTCAGCAAAGACCTACTGTATGACCTTTTATAGGGTAAGGCTCAACACTTTCTGTTTAAAGTAAGCTTCTAGGTGATTCTTTATACACTGAAATTTGAGAATCCTTGATCCAAAAGCCTGTTGTCTTAATCTGTTTCGTGGATATATTCTTAAGCTGTAAAATCATTTAGACAAGCAATAATAAGAGGATAAAGCTATAATTGTTGAGGAAAGAAGGAATAAGCATGATCTGAAGATGAGTTTTCCACTTACAGGAGCAATTTTTTACTCATCTACCTCATTTCCTCATTTATTAAAATTATAATTCACTTCTCAGTTTGCCATACACCAGGGTTTTCATGTATAATTTGAAGTTATTGTATACTGCCTTCGAGATTTGTTAAGTAGTAACTTTATACTTGCTGATTATAACCATTTTGGTGTAAATAGAGAAAATATTTTTGCTTATATTTCATTTTATAAATATGAGTCTCATAATATCACATGGCCATCTATATATGTTTAAACATGTAAATCTAATAATTCATGCATTCATGTTGATTTTGGCTTATTAGAAAGTTGTTTAGCATATGAACTGCAAAGGAATTAGTAAAGACGGATGTTTCTCAGCATTGGCAATAATCTAGTTATCTTTATACTTCAGCTGAGAAATACCATGTCCCTGGAACTGGTGAGAGCTACACATTAGCAGCTGATGTTGGGATACTGAGCAGGAACATCAAAATAGTTGGTGAAGATTACCCAGGTTGGTCCCAGGACTCTTTTGGAGCACACGTCCTGGTTGGCTCATTCACTGAAAATATGATGACATTTAAAGGTTGGTATATATTCAGTTTATTTTTATAAATGAGCATAACATGTTCTCACTTATGTTTAGTCAGCTCTTACATAATTTTCACTTTTTAATAAGATTATGTGGGAACATAAAGCATTAAAAGTGATTATGTAGCCCAGGTGTTACCTTCCAAGTAAATTCTCTTAAATTACTGCTGTTAATTTTATCTTCATGGTCAAAATGAATTATCAAATTAACAATAACCTTAGGCAATAGCTAGACCAGTCTTTCACCTAACAGAGATAATTTTATAATAAGTACCACAAATCATGTGTTGGTTTTTGTTTTGTTTTAAGGAAAATTCCAAGCATACACCAAAAATAGAGAAAACGATATAATGAATCCCAATGTACTAATCACCAGCTTCAGTGATTATCAACTTTGGCCAATCTTGTTTTATCTATACCTCCATCCACTTTCTTCATGCTCCTGGATTGTATTGAAGCAAGCACATATTAAATCATCTAGAAATATTTTAGTATGCAACTCTAAGACATTTTAGAAAACATCCACAAAGACCTAAAAATGTTAATTTCTTAATAATAATTTATTATCTTCAAATGACAGTTCAAATTTCCCCAGTATCTTTGTTCACTCCCTCCCGGTTCAAATAAGGATCTAAATAAGATCCACATTGCAGCTGATTATGAATCTTAAATCTCTGATTCATTCCTCTTTCCTTGCATTTTACGTACGAAAGAAGTTGGTCCTCTAATTCTGTGGAGTTTCCAACAGTCTAGAATTTGGTGATTGTCTTCCTGAAATTTAACTTATTCCTGTCTCCCTGTATTTCCTATGCATAGGTGATTTAAAACTAGAGACTTCATCAGACTCAGGATCAATTTTTAAGCAAGAATTATGCCAGACAGGGTATCTCATGCCTGTAATCCCAGCACTTTGGGAGGCTAAGGTGGGAGGACTGCTTGAGGCCAGGAGTTTGAAATCAGCCTGGGCAATATAGTGAAATCCAGTCCCTACAAAATAAATAAATAAATAAATGAAAAAATAAAAGGGGTACAGTTGGTAGTGTATTTTTCTATTCTGATAGAAAAATACACTACCAACTGTAAATGTATGATTGTTTCTCTCATGATGTTAGCAGCTACTAATTAACATTGCTTAGATTCATTAAATAATTAAGGTTTAAAATTTCCTCCTCATTTATAATAAAGAAAATCTCCCCTAAACAACCATTTAACTGCCCTGAAAGATAGTTCATATAGGACATACAGGAAAAAAATGCTTTATTTTTCCCCATATTGATTAGGTTTCAAAATAATGTGTCGGTTCCCAAGCATCCTCCAAATGTGACAGGGAGTTTGTTGTTTTGTTGTTAGTATCATTATGTGCTCGTGGATCAAACTATTTGACATGCTCAAATCCATTGGGATCATTAATTTGATTAATACTCAGAATGCTCCATTATTGACCTTCAGAATCTTTTCATGCTGATGCCTGTCCTTTTGACATAAGTTTTCCAAGCCTCTTTACTTTCTGATATGGAAACATATATTGTAATTTTTTCTAAGACTAGAACTCAGTTGCTCCTCCTACTAATTCTGGTAATTTTTATTGGAAGATGTTATTTGGATCCCACAATCTGGGTACTAGGAGTAGAACATCCATTCTTGATTTGAGCTGTTTCTGCAGGTACTCACTTGTTCAAAATATTGGACTATTTCATTTTGCAACAGATATATTTTAGAAAATCTTTATATAGAACAAATAGCAATCTCACTATAGCCTCTACCTGTTGGTCATAATCTGCCAGGGGAAGCTTACCTGATGATGACAGTGCTGCTGCTGCTGATAATGATGGTGATGGTAAAGATGATCATGATACGAGATCACAGGCACTGTGTTAAGCATTAAATACATACTATCTCATTTCATCCTCATAATGTTATGGCATAAATATTATCCCTCTTTTAAAGATGAAAAAACAGATGATTAAAGGGTAAAGTTGCTTTGATCTTGAATACTAATTTGTGTCTTTCTCACTTCAAATTTGGTGATAAACCCTATTCCTATGACAATCTTTCCTTGCTCCTATACCTTGTTTTGTGATGTTAGTAAAGACAACACATCTATGGCTTTTGTAAACCCAGATGGTTTGTAGTAATCATGTCTTCTTTATCATTATCTTATTATTCATGCCTTCTCAACAATGTATGTAAGAATTGGCTTATGGATTTCAAGATAGGCTTTTTCCTTCTAGTACAAAATAACTTTTATCCAACATATCCTGTTAAGTATCAGTTTTTGAACAAAGAATATTCTCTTTTGTTATTTTCCAGCCATGAATTCCTGTGCCTCAGTATTTTAAAAATCTAGGTGACAGAGATATAAAAGTTCCTAACTCACAGGGTGCTTTATAAAAATTAAAACCCAATTGTCTGTTATGCATTTAGTACAGCACTTGATACAGAGCAATCTCTCATGGATCGTTATTGCTATTATTCCTAGTCTATAAAACTATCCTTTGTCACCTTGATGGGACTTATGATAAGCTGACCAGCAGATAATTGGTAATACATATTCTGAAAGAGGTTATAAAAGATAATGCTCTTAAAAGCTCTTTATGGCATCAAAATGGAAATATCAGGTAAATTATATCTATGCCTTATATCATGCATTCTCAATGGGAAAATATAACCGCCCCAGGAGGAAAGACCTAGTGCTTCGTTTGGGGGCAAAAAATATTACAATGGTTTGTGGTCCTCCAGTGAGCCACTGTATACTAACAGATATACAGTGTGTGTGTGTGTATATATATATATACACACACATATATATATGTTATAACATATATATATACACATATATATATATGTTATAACATATATATACATATATATGTTATACATATATATATGTTTTATAACATATATATGTTATAACATATATATATACGTATATATATGTTATAACATATATATATGTTATAACATATATATGTATATGTATATATATACACATATATATGTTATAAAATATATATATAATATATATATAACATATATGTTATAACATATATATTATATAACATATATATATATATGTTACTAAAATTTTTGGGGGTGGAGTGGAGGCCCTTAGGAAAAAAAAATGTTGAAAAAGGCTATTTGTGGGTACAATGAAAAGAGGTCTGAGAAATACGACCTCTTCTAGATTAAAGGAGCAAAGAAACTAATGAGTTTTCCATGAAAAATTTGATGAACTTTGTGTAGCTTTTCAAAAATGTTTTATTCTAACTGTTTTAAGAAAAACAAATTTTAAATCTTTCCCTACCTTAGGAAATGCAAGAATAAGTAATGTGGAATTTTATCACAGTGGTCAAGAAGGCTTCAGGGATAGCACAGATCCAAGATATGCTGTAACATTTCTTAACCTAGGACAGGTTTGTGCTTTTTAATTTTGTATATATTTAAAATATGCAAAATATTGTTATTTTCATTTGACTTATAAATAGCCACATCTTATATTAGCAAAATGATAATCTAATATAATAAAACTTTCTTGGCCCATTAACTTTTTAGACCATTTTTAGACCAAACAGCATTTGATTCTACCCATATTGTGTATTTATTTAAGGTCAGTAAAAACCATAGGAAAAGTAGTACGGAGGGTGAAAGAATTAAAGATCTATAATAGTGGTTTATATCTCCACTTTATTTTACAATGACCAAAAACATTTTTCCAAATGGTTTCTATTAAACAAAGAAAGTATTGCTTAAATTTCTCAAATGAAATGCATGTCTGTATATCTATGCCTCTGTCAAAAGTGGGAAAATAAATATTACAAGAGGGCTGGTGATTTAAGAAAAATGAGAGACAGCATATTTCTTAGTAGAAATAAAAAATCATCTTGTAGGTTTATATTGAAACCCCTAACCTATTCAATGACTGGTTCCTATAGACATTTGAATTGTAACCCCTTGTCTAAAGTATTATTTTTTTGTAATTAAAAAAACCCTACTCATCATAAACTATTCTGAAAAAATAATTTTTAGCACCTTAGCATTTTATAAATGAAAATAGAAATATAAATGTATAGAAAAGCACTTAAGAATTTTGAAAACTGCATTTAACATAAGCATATATATTTAATCCATCTAATAATTCATATGTATGGAAATTTCCATATTTTATATATGGATAAAAACTTATGAAAAAATCATCTTTAAGAGAAAGTGAATTGAGTATTGATTATTGGTCAAGGTTTGTTTATTGAAAATCGTTTACTTCATTTTTTTCTTTAAATATATTGTAATTTTTTTTTAAAAATGTTCACTGTATCCCAACGTTTTATAGATTCAAGAACATGGCTCATCTTATATTCAAGGCTGTGCTTTTCACCATGGCTTCTCTCCAGCAATTGGTGTATTTGGGACAGATGGATTGGACATAGATGACAACATCATTCACTTTACAGTGGGAGAAGGTAATATAATAATAAATAAATAATATTTTGGTCCAAATTATTAACTGTAAACTCTAGAGACAAGCTGCCCAATTGATCTTTCTGTGAGGATGGAAATGGTCTATATCTATGTCATCTAATATAGTAATTACTAAGTCACCTGTGTCTATTGAGCACTGAATTATGGCTAGGAGCTGAATTGTCACTGAGGAACTGAATTTTTAATTTTAATGGTATATAATTGTACTTAATTTACATTTAAATAGCCACATGTTGCTATGGCTATCACATTAGACACTATAGCCTTATAATATGGAAGAATTTTCACCAGACCACGTGCTTATATGAGTTATCTAATCACTAATTATTTAAATTTTTATGACTTTTAAAATACTCCTCATATATTAATCACAAATATTATTACAAATAAAGGCTATATACAACTTTAGGTATATCATATTGATTTTTGTCAGTGTAAAGTATAATAAACTTGTTGAATGTATACACAAGCTGTGGATGTGTTTGTAAAATAAAATCTGCAATAAACCCTGTGAATCCACATAATTAACAAGCTCACCAGAAGATTCCAATTCAGGTAGTTTATTAAAAAGGTAGAGTTCATTATCAAAGAGTTCAGAGGACTCCTTCAAAAATCTAAGATGATCATTTGTCAGGCTTAAAGTAGAAAAATAATTTTATGGAAAAATCTAAACACATTACCCGTAATAGTCATTTCAAATTGACTTATGTATTTTGGGGATTTTCTTTTTTTTTTCTTTTTTTTTTTTAACAGGCATAAGAATATGGGGGAATGCCAACCGAGTCCGAGGGAATTTGATTGCTCTTTCAGTTTGGCCAGGAACCTATCAGAACAGAAAAGATTTAAGTTCAACTCTCTGGCACGCAGCAATTGAGGTAGTGAGAACAAACTTCGAATTTTACTAAATTATAATTTATAATTAATTACATCAGTTATTAAAAGATATCGGATAAAATGCACTAACTAAAAGAGTGAATGCACTTTTAAAAAGATGATGTAATTTTCGATAGCCATTGGTATTTTTTCTTTCTGTTGATGTTCATTGGTTTAAATAGTTCTCTTACCTCCTTTCTTCTCCAACATTATTTCAAGTTCCAGCACAGAGTCTCTTTTGCTGCTACTCAACTGAGTGCTTTGGGCAGATTACTACTTAATTCTGGATTTAGTTTCCTCTCTAAAAATGAAAATAGACAATGGAGTCTCTAAAATACTTTTGTCATCTAAAATTGTCATGATTGTATATGCAAGGTTATTTTACTTATCTGATATTACTAATTGGAGCCTTCTTGTTCCCATGAAGTTTTTTCATTTACTATAGGTGTTTGTTTAGATATAGAATAAGTTTGTTCAGATATAGAGTAAGATTACAAACAAGAAAAGAGAAAGTGGAGAAGATAGGTCTCTCCTATTTTATCTTCCTATGACATAGAATCCAAAGAAACTAAAAATAGTTCTTTTTGAAAGATGCAATGAGAACTGAGTATTGCTTTCTTGCAACTACTAATTATTACCTTAAGGTAAAATTTGAAAGCTGAAATTTAGAATACATTTATGAGGTAAATATTCTCTTTTCATCTATTTATAAATATCGAGTGTCAATTCCAAATCTTTAAAATTATCTATGGCTTTTGAAAGAAAAGGTTCTTAATTAACATTATGAATTTCACGTGACTATTTTTATCAGAATTTTTAAAAATAAGTGTGTTTAATATGATTGCAATTCTTTACTGTTTTGCTGATGCCATAGGCAGGAACAAAATGTGTGCTCTATGCTTCCATTTTTTGCCACTTTGACTTGGCTTATAAAAATAAAATTGTTTAGCAATTATCTAACACTCATGCTAACCTACTTTGTGATTACAGCAAATGTTATGTAAACTAGTCAATGTCTCCACTGAATCTTATGGTCTACTCTCATTGCCTTACTTGCCTTTTTTTTTTTAAACAAATCAATCAAATTGGTAACAAAGTGTAACTAAAAAGAGCCTGTAAAAAGAGCTTGCACCTGTAATCCTAGCTCCTTGGGAGGTTAAGAGGATTGCGAAGTTTAGGAGTTTGAGACCCACCTGCGCAACATAGTGAGACCCTGTCTCAAAAAAAAAAAAAAATATATATATATATATATATATATATATGAATTTATGTATACTTTTATATAAATATATATTTTTATTAATCATATATACAAGTATAATATATAAATATATATTTATCACTTTTTGAGTGATCACAAATTCCTGAAAAAAGTGTCAACATTCTTGTTACCTTGTTATAATACTGGCATTTGTCCTGTGCCTTGTAAAGTTTAAACCACATTCAGTGGAATTCACGACTGAAATAGGAAATAATCTCTTTAATGTAGTTTTTAAATGAAGTCCAGGGTATAGTACCTAGTAATAGTTTTACACCAAGAACCTAGTATAATTTCAATACATCATTTGTAATTAAGTTTGAATGGGGTAAATTATAAATTTTTTCTCTTGAAAATATTGTTATAATTAAAGGTTTTCATAAGCATATTGTCATACGCTTACTCTCAATGTATATAAATGCTTACTAGCCTGATGCAAAGTATTTATTTATTGTTGCACTAGATAAATGGAGGGACCAATACAGTTTTGCAGAACAATGTAGTTGCTGGCTTTGCAAGAGCAGGATACCGTATTGATGGTGAACCTTGCCCAAGTAAGTCTTTTAAACTAGGAATTGCTAAAACTAGGAAATAACTTGTCCAAAATTGTTAGAAATAAATAATTATTGCTTGTTACTTCAATATGTAATATATTTTCCTTCCGGGCACTGAAATAACAAGATAAATTATTTCAAGATAACATTGGATCCAAAAAAAAAATGAATAGGTTTCTAAGGAAAACTTTATTTTCCCAAGCTTATGATCCCAAAATTCCAACAGCAACTTGAGTTCTTGGTTTTGTTGGTATTGGTATAGTAAGTGTCTCATCCCACTATCATTTTTACAAAAACAGCATTTATTATGGAGATACGTGCCAACATATGCCATTATTTTAACTTCTGGTTTAATCAAATGAATGCCCACTATTCAATATGTTAAACCTGCATGGATCAAAAAGTCAACGAACATGAACAGACACTTCTCAAATATAGATTTCTCTATATTAGGTTAGTAAAAATAAAGAACTAACTGAACATCTACTCTTTTGGCAAGGCTGTAGTGTAGGGAAAGCAAAACATTTACACATTGCTGTTTGAAGGACAGAACAATATAATCTCTACTTAGGGTAACATGACATCTACCAAAATCACACATGCATTTCCTTTGACTCAGCATTTCCACTTCTATGAATCTAGCTAGGAGTTGCCTTTACAAACTTAGAAAATTATTTATAAATAAGGTTATTCATCACAGCATTGTCTTTACCAGCAGAAAACCAAAACCACCTTGTGTCCCACAATGGTAGAATAGTTATATAAAGTGAGACAATGGAACAGTAGACCACTCTAAGGAAGAAGGCAGAAGAGCTCAATGTATTGATATGAAGAAATCTCTAGACTATTCCTAAGTGCTAACTTGAGAGTGCTAAATAGTTTATATAATGCTGTTTTAGGTATAATGCATATAAAATATGTTTTGTGGGAGAAAGGGAAGGAATAAGAATGTATATGGTATTTGTATTTACATAAGGAAACACTGAAAGTATAAAAATCATAGAAAGGAATTGGGAACAAGGGGACTCCATACTTACAATTGTATACTTTTAAAATAACCTCTATATTAAATTATTACCAGATCGAAAAAGTGAAATATATAATAAATCTGCAGACTTTACCACTCAAGAAATTTAAAGGAGGTTAAAGAAAATGGGACTTTCTCTGAGAAATGTTTGTCCTTTCCAGAGTTGATTTTAAAACAAATATCAGTATAGTTACTTTTTAACAGCTTTATTTGGTATGATTTATATAGCATAAAATTCACCTTTTGAAAAATATACTAGTTAATAAATTTATTTATTTTTAAGATTTTTTGAATCAGCGTTTTTTTCTGTCAATGCAAACATTTTTACACTTAAGTGGTTTTATTCTTGTGCAAAATACATTTTGAAGGAATAAAAACTACTTTGTCAACATAACTGATTCCTTGATACCTGCTCTTGTTAAATATTTTAGTTCCCAACAGCTTACAGTGGCTTTTCTTTGACTTAATATTTTTAAATATGTAATTTCTTTACAACTTCAACAAAGTTATCCTTATGGGTTTTTCAACATCAAAATATGATCTTTGAATATGAATATTTACTAGTATGTATAATGCTATGTAATGCATTTTTCACTATGTTGCTATTCCTAAATAATTGAGACTATTTATAAGGAGATTTTGGAGTTACAGCAACTGAAATTTGAAATATTACAAAGGAATGAAGGGTTTATGTTTCTATAATGGTACCTCAATTTATTTGACCCATCTCCCAGAAAAGAGTCTGGAAAGCTGGGGAAAGTGATATATACTGGGTTCAGGGGTGAAACCCCACTTGTTCACGCATCTATATTGTATAACTTTAAGGGAGAAAAATGTAAAAATCTTCTTATGCAGGAAAATTATCAAAACCAGGAAGATCATAAATAAAATGTAAAACCCAAAGGACTAGGAAGAAGGGAAAATCAACAGAAGATAAAAGGAAACAGATACCAGGGAACCTGAACAGGAGAGCTGGAATTAAGCACAATTTAGGAGGTGGTGCTGCTCTTTATAGGCAATACCCCAATTCATGCCTGTTTAGGGGAGGGAGTTATTAAGGTTATTGAACTGAGTTGGACATAAGTAAAACTTTCATTAAAATCTACTTTGTTCTACATATTAATAATGAGTACAGTTGCCATTTGTTGCAGGTATTTGCTAGGCACTTTATATGGGTTATTTCATTTTATTTTGAAACAATTCTGAATTAATATTGAAAACATTTTACATATGAGGAAACTAAGGTCCTAAAAGGTTAAACAACTTTCCCAAGATGATGCATACACCAACTGTTAAAATATTTAAAGAGCACCTATCTCTCTACTACCTTTTAGGTTCCAAGAAATGATGGTGAATTAGCTAGGCACAATGTCTTCGCTCATTAAGCTTACATCTTAGGAGAGAAGTGATGGATAATTAACAAATAATTAACAATAAAATATCAAGCGAAAGGAATTTTAACTGCAATATAAAGTGACGGAGCTGTTATTTTGAATCAGGTATTCAGGGAAGGTCTTTTAAGGAAGTGACATTTAGCTTGAAAATGGAATGGCCAGAAGGACACAGCAATAGAAAGATGTTCAGGGGAAGCATTTCACAGACAGAAGCCATACCACTGTGTTTCAAGTTTAGGCTTATTTATATCTAAATCCCACGCTCTTTCTAATAATGTTTACTTTAATCAGATAAAATAATGCAAGGGTGTTAACACTAAACTTTTGGAAATGAGTATACAGTTATTTCAAGTAACAGTGAAGAGACTAATTAGACAAGAGTAAATACTAAATAGAAAAGAGCAAATGCTAATAGAATAAACCGGGTGAGGTAAGGCATGCCTGTAGTCCCAGCTATTCAGGAGGCCAAGGCAGGAAGATGGCTTGAGTTTGAAACTAGTTCAAGCAACATAGTGGGACTCCATCTCGAAAACATTTAAAGAAAAATACTAAATAGATTGAACCATAAATGGCAGAGCCATAAAAATATTTGATCATATTAAACCTGATATCAGAATTATATATGTAACTTCGAAAGAGTTTTTTTAACTTTAACTGATAATGTTTATTAATACTATAGGACATGAATTGTAATATTAATTCCCTGGTTCTATCTTTCCTTCCAAGGCCAGTTTAATCCTATGGAAAAGTGGTTTGACAATGAAGCCCATGGAGGTTTATATGGGATCTATATGAACCAAGATGGCCTTCCTGGATGTTCTCTTATACAAGGATTTACCATTTGGACATGCTGGGATTATGGAATTTATTTTCAGGTAAGTATATTAAAGATGGTGATTGTTTGTTTTCTTTTATGATTGTCCTTAGTGTTATGTAACCTGCAAATTCTATTGCAGACCACAGAGAATGTGTACATTTATAATGTGACCCTGGTTGACAATGGAATGGCGATTTTTCCAATGATTTACTTGCCAGCTGCTATATCACACAAAATTTCCAATAAAAAAGTACAAATTAAGGTAAGAGATTAATACAGCCACATCACTGAGACAAAAAATAACTCAGAAAAGGGTAGAATTACTGGAGCACTAATAAGAATAATCTCCTTGACTTCTATCTCTGTTTCCCCCACATCTCCTTCCCTGCCTTGCTCCCACTGCCCTTTGCCTACAAACTGTTCATTCTTATCTTTCCTCCTCCCTTTCCTTCCCTCTTCTTGCTTGTCACTTGCAAATCTTGCAATAGGTAAATTTTCACTTCCTCTATGAAGTTTTTTTCTGAGCCCACTTAGGTGGTAATGACACTTCCTCCACTTTTTTGTTCCTACTGTTCCCTGGATCTGTTTCCATCCCAGAAACATAACATGTCATTGTATATGATTATTTACATGCCTTTCTTACCTCTCCCATTCTCAGCATCATTCCAGTTGGGGGTAGCAATCACATCTTTTTCATCTTTGTTTAATGAATGATCCACTTTTTGAATTTATAGTTTGTGTTTTCCTACAGTAGAATTCAGTATTATTCATTGTCATGTTTTCTTTTAGTAAGAGCTATTATTAATGCTATATTATTTGGCTTGTTTCTAAACAGAGCTCCTTAATTGTTGGAAGTAGCCCCGGGTTTAATTGCTCTGATATCCTAACTAATGATGATCCCAATGTTGAACTCACTGCTGCCCATCGGAGTCCTAGATCTCCATCAGGTGAAAAATTTGGAACTTTAATGTTGATGTTCATATAAGTGCATATTCAGTTTTCATTAACTTTTTTTTTTTTTTGGTAAAAGGTGGGAGAAGTGGGATTTGTTGGCCTACCTTTGCTTCAGCTCATAACATGGCACCACGAAAGCCCCATGCAGGGATCATGAGTTACAATGCCATCAGTGGCCTTTTGGACATCTCAGGCAAGTACATAGTCTTCTACAAATCTTCTCAATTAATTTCTATAAAGAATATATAGATGATAATAATATTTCATTGTTAGTAAAAAATTATTTAAGTGGATTTTGATAGGAATCTGCCTGAACATCCAGTCTACTTCTAGGCCTCTTATCAACCAGTTAAGCCACTCATCACTACCCAGGAGTCCATATTTATCCTTACCTTGGATCGGTATTCTCTCCACAAAAAGTAGATGACCCTGTGTACGACCCAAATTTCATTTTTGAGCCTTTGACCTACATTTTTCTCACAACATGTCATGGAAATTTGGGCATTTCTACTTAATGTGGGCCATCACTATTTCCAAACTTCTAAAAGTCATTCCAGCAACATATTAAAACTGGCCATACTAGTGTATAATTCCCTTGGAACAGGTCCTGTGGAAGAAGAGATTTGTCTTGTAAGGCTCTGTTGAGGTCCCTGATGATTTCAGGCAAGTATAGCAGGAAGTTACTCTTTAATAAGAAGGAAATACCATTTATAGGCATCCAGAGCATTCAGCACATTCTGAGACTTCAAGGTTCAGGTGCCTCTTCCCATATATCTCCATCTAACTTAGCATCCCACTTTGTTTCTCTCAGGGCCCTGGCTTTGATGTTGGGGATTTGGCAGGGCTCAGAACACAACCATCTCTTAAGTTGTAAAGTTCTGCTAATCTTACACTGAGATCCTGAAATTTGCTTTGAATTTGTGATTGACCACCATAGCTTTCATTTTCTTTCTTCAAAGCATCAATGAAGTAGAAGCACTAATGGAATTCTTATACAAGTGGCTTATTGAAGGTATGCTCCCAGGAGAAAGGGAGTGAGAGAAGTATTAGAATAGCGCAGAGGAAGGAGCTAAGCAAGGATATGACCTCAACTGAAGTCCAACTTCTTCTGCCTGATACTTCAGAGAGCTGTGAAGTATAAATTGTGCCAAATATTTTTCTCATATGGAGGCAAAAGGTTCTTCCATATCTCTTGTCAGTCAGGCATGGCTACTTGTGGTAGTGGAGGGGAGTACATAATCTTCCAAGTGAGGGAACTCTCAAGTGGCTCAGGGTAATTCTTTAGAGAAGATAACAGCTGGCCAGGTATGTGTGGTGGCTCATGCCTGTAATCCCAGTACTTTGGGAGGCTGAGGTGGGTGGATCACTTGAGGACAGGAATTTGAGACCAGCCTGGCCAATATGGTGAAACTCCATATCTACTGAAAAAATACAAAAATTAGCCAGGTGTGGTAGCAGGCATCTGTAATCTCAGCTACTCAGAGGCTAAGGCAGAATTGCTTGAACCCGGGAGGCAGAGGTTGTAGTAAGCCATGATCACACCACTGCAACTCCAGCCTGGTGACAGAGTAAGACTCTCTCTCAAAGAAAAAGAAACAAACAAACAAACAAAAAACAGAAGACAGCAGCTATGAGTGGTTTGCAGCCAATACTTTATAGGAGGAGGTGGGGATTGGGTGCACTGGCCCATTAAAGGAGATCTAGGCAGGGCACAAACACCATCTGCTACTATGATATTTTATTAATACTCATCCACAGGTTCATATTCCTGTATAGAGACTCTTCTTAGGAGAAAGTATAATTAAGAAGGGCCATAGATAAAACATAACCGATTTAAGAATTTTAGAGGTCACCTTTTGCTTTTTTGTTTAGAGTTATTGGGTTTTTAAGTACAATAGAGATTAAGTTTTTGGATCTAGCCAGTTTTATCTTTTAGCCACGTAATATATACAAAGAAGCCGAGAGAAAAATAGTGTTTCATTTATCTTAGCTGCATAATAAACAACCCCGACCCCCAAATTTAGAGTCTATAAACAACCATTTAGCTCATGATTCTGTAGATTGGCAATTTGGGCTTTGTTCAGCTGGGTGGTTTTTCTGCTGGTCTCACCTAGGCTTGTCTATTAGGTACCATCAGTTTACAGGATGGCTATGGGCTGGTTAATCTAGGATAGCCTTGCTTCCATCTCTGGTGGTTGGTGCCTGCTGACAGTTGGTGCTGGCCATTAGCTGGGGTGATAGGAGTGATGTTTCCCAGGCTTACTCACATGTTGGAAGTCACAGAAGCACTAAGCACTAAGGGTTTCCCTGGAGCACTAAGAAAGAGCAAGCTCCAATATGCAAGCATTCTCCAGAACTCTGTTTATGCCATGATTGGTATCGTCCCATTGGCCAAACCAAGTCACATGGCCAATCCCAGAGAAAATGTGGGAGAGCATTACCCAGTAACATGGATATTGGGAGGCAACAGGCTACCACAAAAAGTGGCAGACTTATTTACCATATCGGGTAAGAGCTCCTTGTTTTGGTAGTGACAAAAGATGTGTTTGGCAAAATGTGCATGAAATAAATCTGATTTTACCACTTTCTTTAGAGAAAATAATCACTTTTCTATTATTTATGTTTTAGGTTCAACATTTGTTGGATTTAAGAATGTTTGTTCAGGGGAAACTAATGTTATATTTATTACTAACCCTTTAAATGAGGATTTACAACATCCAATCCATGTGAAGAATATAAAACTGGTTGATACTACTGAACAATCAAAAATATTTATACATAGGCCTGATATAAGGTAAAATACATAAAATAAAATAAATAAAATAAAATAAAAATTAACTGCGAGTGGTCGTGTGTACCTGCGGTCCCAGCTACTCAGAAGGCTGAGGCAGGAGGAGTGCTTGAGCCCAGGAGGTTGAGGCTGCAGTCAGCTATTATCACACCACTGCACTCCAGCTTGGGCAACAGAGACCCTGTCTCAAAAAAAAAGTAGGTACCTCTTCAGACAAATGCAGTATTTCATAAATAGTTTGACTTCATCTGAATTTGCTTTGCTGACAGCCCAATACTTATTCCTTTAATTATTGTTGAACTTCAGTTGAACAATCAATCAACACTTTAGATAATTCAAGATGAGGCCAAAATACCATCTACATTTGAACTGCATGATAAGGTTATCTTATCCCTTATTTTTATCTATAAAAGAGTTACTAAAATATGTAGCATAATAAATACAATCCAAGTATAGTCTTATATCCATAAACAAAGGTCTATAAGAATATATACTAAACTGCAATCGGTGATGAGCCTAAAGGCTTAGAATAGGAAGGTGAAAGAGATTGGGCTTTTAATAAATCTTTAGGTTATTTTATAGTAAGCAATACTTTCATAATTTTTAAAGACAAGAAGGAAGGGAAATAATGATAAAGACTTCCCTCCCAACAACACGGATTTTATATGTCCTGTACAACAATAATCATTCACCTACTCTCTGGAGCAATGTTAGTATACTTTGAACACTGCACAAATAAGAAATCTGTCATTCAACAATAGATAGAAAACTGGAATTCTGATTTTATATCCCACAGGTATGACTTGTCCTTTTAAGCTGTTAACGAATTCATAATCATAGACCAAAACAACGCAATGAAAAAGGAGACCTCATTACAATGCTAATTACATAGGCTACTTGGTCCCGCTTTGAAACCTCTCTGAAATAAAATTCAATAGATCAATTTTTTTGATACCCTCTTAGCAAATATTCAAGTATATTCATATTGCTCTCTAGAAACAATGAACTGAATCATTCAACTTTTCTCCACAGTAAGGTCAATCCATCTGATTGTGTGGACATGGTTTGTGATGCCAAAAGGAAATCTTTTCTTAGAGACATAGATGGCTCCTTTCTGGGGAATGCTGGTTTTGTGATACCTCAAGCAGAATATGAATGGGATGGAAACAGCCAACTAGGAATTGGAGACTACAGAATCCCTAAGGTGATGCTCACATTCTTGAATGGAAGTAAGATTCCCGTCACCGAGAAAGCACCTCATAAAGGTTTGTTGGATATTATTCTGTTGTTAGGCCTTAAGCTCATGAAACAAAGTATGTGTTTGTTTTTAATGACTTATGTACTCAACCAATAACATATTTTCTACTTCTTAAACTTGCATAACAAGAAAAAGATATGAGGATTTTGTTTTTACAAACAGATTCTGTATTATTGATAAAATGTATATACGTATGTTTCTAGGAATTATTAGAGATTCAACCTGTAAGTACATTCCACAGTGGCAGAGCTATCAGTGCTTTGGGATGGAATATGCATTGATGGTTATTGAAAGTCTGGATCCTGACACAGAAACTCGAAGAATTTCCCCAGTGGCTGTAATGGGCAATGGTTATGTAGATCTCCTTAATGGTAGGTATTTAATAAGTGTAAACTAGAGTTCTTAAAAACATTTGCTTGTTATTAGATGCATGAAGCCATCTCATGGCTGACACCTGTAATCCCAGAACTTTGGGAGGCAGAGGTGGGCAGATCACCTGAGGTCGGGAGTTCACGATCAGCTTGACCAATATGGAGAAACCCCATCTCAACTAAAAATACAAAATTAGCTGGGCCTGTAATCCCAGCTACTCAAGAGGCTGAGGCAGGAGAATCGCTTGAACCCAGAAGGTGGAGGTTGCGGTGAGCCGAGATTCACCATTGCACACCAGCCTGGGCAACAAGAGTGAAACTCCATCTCATAAAAAATAAAAATAAAAAATTAAAATTAAAAAAAAATGAGCAATGTGCAGGAGAAAGACTTGATGTTGCAGTATCTCATCCAGGAAAGCAAGAACAGTTATTTAAAATTGGCCATTGGCCATTGAAATAAAAGGAAGAAGGAGGGGAAGAGGGATGGAGAGGAAAGCAAGAAGGAGACAAGATATTTGTGGAGTGATCTTCATACCTTTATTGATAAGGTGGTATAAATATTTTGAAGAAAAAAATGGGTCCAAGTATCTCCAAAACATACAATTTGCCTAATGTATATTATAAGTTGATAATGTGTTATTTGGAATACTTGACAAGCAGTATTCTCAGCATGCTCATTTTTATTCTCATGAATCTTTGGAAGACTTACCTTGCCATCAGCGTGTTTTCATGTCTGATTCCTTTGATTGTCAAGACCAATCTGGTCAAGCTCCAGAGTCAGGTTTCTTCCATTCTGGTCTTAGGAGGCTGTAGCAGAGAGGGAAGGTAATGGTCTCCATGAGGATGCAGACTAGCTTAGGACAACAATCCTTTTGGAATGACTAAGATGAATTTCTAAAAGGTACTGAAAACACAGGACAGGGATTCATTGTATATCCCTGAAATGACACCAGGGGCTCAAAACTTCATCCCTAAACAGCCTTTTATGTGCTGAAAGTGCACATAGCTTGGATTAGTTGGATTTCTGTGCCCTTGTAGTGTCATATCATGTACTAAAATATTCTAGAATTCAATAAAATAGCTATATCCAACAAAATTATAAATGCTTTAAAAACTTATGATGGGGAGGAAGGCAGCAGTTCACACTGCCATGTGTGTGCCTATGCAACAATCTTGCATGTTCTTCACATGTACCCCCAAACCTAAAATGCAATAAAATTAAAAAAAAAAAATTTGTTTATAAAAATAGAATGAACTAAATCAGGAGTATTCCAAAGTTTCATAATTTTAGGGCTCTCTTCACTTCTCCCACCACAGTGTGTGCTATGCCTGGTTTCTGTGACCTGTGGTCAACCCAATTTCAGATGCTGGTTTTTGGATTTTACAAAGCAGAGATCATGAGAACAATTTTAAAACTGTCAATGAATAATGGAGTAATTGAGGCGATGTTTTCAAATTGCTCTGTTTTATACAGTGGAGAAAGCTTTCATGGTTTTATTTTTTTATTTCTCTTTTCTGGCAAGCAATAAAAGTTTTCCATTTACAGTAGTGACAAGACATATTTCTTCAATATGAATTTAAATTTTAAAAAGTGAATATCAATTTAAAGAAGTCTTATGTAAATGATAGCAGCACAGAAAAATCATGAAGGTATTAGAAGAATCACTGAAGCTTGGGATGCACTATACTAGATGGGGAAAAAAATTCCTCAAGATAAAAGTTACAGAATACTACTGAAGTTTTCTTTTGAATATTAAGAATGACTTTTTGTCACTTTAAATATTTATGTTATATTAAATTTATGTTATATTTATGTTATATTTAAATATTTAAATATTTATGTTATACATAGATATTTCTTTATGTTTGTTTTCAAAACCCACAAAGAAGGTGTATTTAAAAGTAGGATTTATATTTTATATGCTAAGGAAAAGGTTAGGCTCTATATAGCTTTAGAAGTTTATATTGTTTTAAAATTTGATTGAAGTTTATTTATAAATATTGATAATGCTTCCATATAAGCTAGGAAATTCAGCAAACCTAATGAATAAATACATCAATAAAATTCATCATTTCATATTTCACTCAATGTTTATGTATGTATAATCTCGGCCACTTTAAAACTAAGTGAAATAGAGAAGTTTGTTATGAAAGTCATTTTAAACCTGCTCAGAAAATGTTTGGATTCAGGTAGAAAAGCATTCATTATCTCTTGGCTTTCTAGAGGGTTTGATAGAGTGTTATTTCTTAGGTGGCTTCAGTTCATTAACGAAGTCAACACTCTAATAGTACCTGTAGTCACAGTCTTCAATAAAAATTTCTTAAATTAAAATTAAAATGGAGGAAGATTAATGACTTGATTAGACAAATGTGTTTGTTGAATTTATAAATTAACTAATTTTTAAAAATGAGTGAAAAAACAAACTATGAATCAGTGGTTCAGACATTCAAATGTCCACGTTTTCCAGGTACAGAGCCTATTGTTAACAAATTAACTCTGTTGCAGCACATTTCCTAACAAAGAGCCTGAGAAACTTCATTTCCCACTCAAGCTTATATTTGGTAGAGAGGAGAAATGATCAAGCATTTTCTTCCTCACCATGTGGCCGAGGCTTGAATATTATCATTAAAGTCGAGATAGATGCAAATCAATTTCTCTCAGTGACCTTCCAGTACAAATTCTTATTAACATATTAACGTACCCTTCTTACCCTGGCCAGTGTAAAAGTAAGAATGATAGGAAGAAGTTTCTTCCCTTCCTTCCCTTTTGAGCCAAGATTTGAGAAATAGCTTAGCTAGCTGGGTAACAGTGGATAGGTAATAAGTATAAATGCTGAACTTGCATTTGAATCTGATCACTGTAATTTATTTTTAATACAATTAAGTTTCATATATTATACTAATGCATGCTACTGGAACATGTGCTTTCATTTTGCATGAATTTAGGCCCACAGGATCATGGCTGGTGTGCTGGATATACATGCCAGAGAAGACTGTCCCTGTTTCACAGTATTGTGGCCCTGAACAAATCTTATGAAATTTACTTCACTGGCACTAGTCCACAGAATCTTCGACTGATGTTGCTTAATGTTGACCATAACAAGGTAGGGCGGGATGTCTTAAGAGTTATAGCTGTTGATTATTTGCATATTATCTCTATCTGCTAAAACTAGTATCTCCTACCCTGTTCTCTCTCACATTGTCAGCCTTACAGCTCATTTCCAAGGATGCATCAGGGTATCACTGAAATTATTATTAGCCTGGACAGTTTCCATCAGCCTGAAGGTAAAAGTACCAAGCATCACCACCATCCCCTTGCCAGATGCACTTGATTCTGGTGCTCCTTACTTGAGGCATGACAGTGATGCCTATGATTTGCATGATTAGAAAGCAAACCTGAATTTTTACATAAAAATAGGGTACATCCAAAACTGATCACTTGGAATTATATACTTATTCTTCCATGCTGCTATGATACATTATATATGTTATGTATGTCTGAAGTACACTTTTGGAATTCAGAGATTGCAGTATTTTATTTTAAATATCTTCAATAATGTCAAGTCTTTGCTAGAAACTGAACTCAGCCAGGATCGTTAAATTTATATATAATGGGAAAAGAGTATGAGTTGAAGCAGCAATGTCATAATTTAGATTTTCTCTTGTCTAAGAATATGAGACTTCAAACTCCCAGGGCGTTTTAATTTGAAGAAAGGATGCTGATAGGTGAAACAGAGAAAGGAGTAAGGAAAGGAGGTGCCTGCCCCTTTCCAGGCGGCAGCAGTTCCATCCCTTCGCTCCACACAAAACGTTGGAACCACTCTTGACTCCTCTCTTTTGCTCACATTTCTCATCCAATCCATGTGCAAATTCTTTTGAGTTCCTCTTCAAAATACCAGAATCTGCCCACTTCTCACCACCTCCACTGCTACTGTCCTGGTTGAGCCTTTCCTGGACCATGGTAATTGCCTCCCAATTCCTCTCTTTATTTCCACCTATGCCCTTCTAAAGTCTATTCTCAACTTAGTAGCCAGATACCTTGAGAATATGTTAGATCACATCTCTTCCATGCCCCAAACGCTGTAACAATTTCCCTATTGGTCTCTGTCAAAGTCAGAATCCTCACCATGGCCTGCGAGGCCCTATGGGAATCTCTCCCATCCCTGAACCCTGGCTTCTTCTATTCTTCCAGCCCCACTCAGCTCCTTGCTATTCGTAAGGACACCAAACATGCTACCCCCTGGGCCTATGTTTCTGATGTTGCCTCAGCCTAAAACATTCTACTCTAAGGGGCTAAAGTTTCCATCTTCTCAGATTTCACTTTCTCAATAGGCCTCTAAGATCACCCCTCTTTGCTTGGCTCTCCCAAGTTACTTGTACCCTGATTTACCTTTTTTTTTTTCCATGGGAGTCATCACCATTTAACATGTTTTATACTTTACCTTTTATTATTTCTACTATTTTTTTAAATCTCTCCTCACTCTTGAATATAAGCTCAAAGAAGGCAGTGGCTCTTACCAGCACTTAGAATATTGGATAGCTAAAATAGGAACTCAATTTTTCTTTTTCAAAAAATTAGAAGAGAATATTCTAACTCTAAAAATGAGAATGGTGACTACAAACTAATGTGACTGTTAATATTCTGAGCCTCTGAAGACAATATCAAAAGAAGATTCCAAAACTATGTATAGCTTATTAAACTCTATTAATCCTTCCCTGTTCTTGGAAAACCAGTCTCTTTATGATCATAGCTGATAACATGAAATGTAAGCAATATAAACATGGAAAATGAATAAAATTGAATCAGAGAGGACAGTTGGTTTGACTGAGTTTTATTAGTCTTTCTACCAAATTTTTCTCAGAGATAAGCATTTTTTTCCCCTAACCTTAAGTATCTAATTTTGTGTGGTTACATTATACAGAGCACTGCTAAGTCCCCCTTTCCCTGCTCCTGGTATTGAAAGCCTGTTTTGTACTTTGTTGTCTTTTAAATGAGCCTTTTTTTAAAACTTAGAGATACTCCTCTAATAATTTCTCTGATTATACTTTTCTACTGACAATCGTCAATTAGGGGTTGATTTGTACTATCTGTATGAATGGTTGAATGTAAGCTCGTTTTAAAATTTTAGTTCATCACTTATCCCAAATCCATAAAACTTAGTTTTAATATTTTGCAGAAAGAATACATAATTGAAGGACAGTTTAAGTGCTAAATTCTAGATATTCTACTTTGTTGCTTTCTTAAAACAAAACTTCCTTTTTTCTTAAATAGGCTGTTCTAGTAGGAATTTTCTTTTCCACACTTCAACGTTTGGATGTCTATGTGAACAACTCATTGGTCTGTCCAAAAAATACAATATGGAATGCCCAGCAGAAACACTGTGAACTTAATACACTTCTGTACAAAGGTATTTTCTCAGCAAAGAGCAGTACACATGGAATGTGTACTTATTTATTATAACATTTTAAATGTCTTATTATTAATGTTGTTAATTTCTTATCTATTGATGACACAGAAGAAAATAAGTTTTTAGCCACAGTCCACCAAATACTAAGAGGTGTTTCTTTGTAACATGAGTGTCCTGAAAGATCACTCCAGATGGAACGTTCTTATCTGTGCACATGCATATATGAGTTTTTGTTTATCATGGACATTTTTTGCTTCCTAAGAAAGCTTTCATTCTACATACATTGAGATCAGTCATTCCTATGTCCAGAAGACATTTTGCTTAAAATTTTCACCTTATCTTGGCTTTACTTCTATTTCATAGAGGTTAGAGCCTAAATTAATTGGCAGTCATAAGAATTATTGCTAAGAAAGCTAGTATAACGTCAACTAAAGGCTGTGAAGTAAATATGATAAAAATTAACTCTTGATTTAAATGAAACATATGGAAGAGAATAAACTTATTCATTAACTGATATTTGTAAAACCAGGATTTATCTCTGCTTATGTAAATCTTTTTGTTGAACAGGTTCTAATGAGGCCAATAGCAAACATTCCATTTCACATGGCTACTTATCCTCATATTTTGATGTGATCCACAATCTTAGCTAACCATTATATGGCTGTGTGTAGTAGATCATAATATAAGCTAGACTTGAGAGTATGAATGGGTAATCTGTATGCTGTACCATTTATAGAATAAGTCCGATTCCTACTAATAACATGAATGCTAATAAACATGAATGTTTCCAGAGACATTACTATATGTCAGGCACTGGTATACATGCTTTATATATAACTCACTGTTACTACACCATAGTAACTCTATGAGGTAAGCACAGATGAGCAAATTGAAGCATAGGAGGTAATTTGGCAAGACAGTGGTCTTAGTTCAGTCTGTCATAACAAAATACCACAGATTGAATGGCTCAAGCAACAGAAATTTATTTTCTCTGGATCTCTGAAAGTCTGAGATCAGGGTGCCACATGGTCATGTTCTGCTGAGGGTTCTTTGCTTGGTTTGCAGATGGCCACTTTCTTCCTGTGTCCTCACGTGGCTGAGAGAGTGCAAGCAAGCTCTCTGGTGTCTCTTTTTATAAGGGCACTAATTCCATCATGAGGTCTCCCCCTTCACAATTGCATCTAAACCCTATTTCCTCCCAAAGGCTCTCATCTCCAAATATCATCATCTTGAAGGTTAGGGCTTCAACAGGTGGAATCTGGGGACACAATCCAGTCCATAGGAGTCTCAAGCTTGTATGGCACACAGCAAAGACTCAAAAGCAGTCTAGCTCTCAAACCCATGCACTTAACCATTATGCTATATTGCCTCCTTTTAAATTAAGAGAATCAGCATTACTACTTTTTATATATAAATAACTGTCATGAATAAAATGACATTTATAGCTTAATTTTAATAACATTTTCACTCTTTTCAAATAACACATATGGTACTGGGCACTATGTCATTCAGAGCCCGGAAAGTAGAAGCTACCTTCAGAGGCAGATCGTTCCATTAACACATATTGAGCCCAGATAAATGCTGAATTGTGTAATTAGTAGTGGAATAGGACATTTAGCTTCCTACCACATTTCGTTGTGAGGCTCATTAGAAAAAAGAAATTAAAATTTTAGAAAGAGGAAGGAATTTTACAGTAATGAGAAAAGCAGAGCAGATAATAATAAAACATTTTTAAAACCCCAAAATATGTATAGATCCCATAACACAGGGATATTATTTTGTTCTCCATAGGCATAACGTAATGTAAAGATTTGATTATGCAGGTGCTGAAGAGCTGGAAAACAATTCCACCACTGCCCTATTTATATTTACAGATAAATATGTGTGTTATGGTAGAAGTGGTGGTATTTTTGTGAAACAGTGTTGCTTTCAAGTGAACTTTTGCTTTGGCATTTGGAATGCAAAATAATATCTCTTTGTTATGAACCTGTACATATTCTGGAGGTTTCCCAAATGTTTTATTATCTTGGTCTCTGCTCCTTTCATTACTGTGAAATCCCTCTTCTTCCTAAAATTTTATTTTTCCTAGAGAGTCTCACAGTGAAATGTGGTAAGAAGCTGCATATCTCATTCCACCACTATTACACAATTCAGCATTTGTCTAGGCTCAATATGTGTTAGTGGATTTATTAGCTCTTAGGCATTGTTGATACTCTGCCATAAAAATGATATATATATATTCATTTATTATAATGATCTCAATCACTTTTGTAAAATTCAGTTCCCTAGCAGAATTTGTTTTGCATTAACTAAAGATTTTTCAGGCTGAAATGTAAGCCGGTTTAGATGGTATAAGATTCTTCTGAGATGTTTTAATATATACTTCATTTTTATTACACAGTTTTGACCTTAGTTAAAATAGAAACACTGAATTGTAAATGCTCTTTTAAGAGTTGGCATATAGCACTGCATAAATTAGATGGCTAGTAAAGTTAAATTTATATTTTGAAATTACCAAATGCCTTCAGTCAAGGCTTTAAAACTATGAGCATGTGAATAGTGTTTCAAGTACAGTATAGGCTCCTGGGACCATAACTCAATTTGTTTCTCATTTATACTGTGTCTATATAGCTGATTATTTTTTAAAACAAACTTAATGTGTAATGATTGTGGTATTTTTTAGAGGAGTGGCTTCAATTTCTCAAGTCAGTTCTGTAAGTGTTTTGGTTTTTAATAGGTATGCTTTCTTATGAAACAATGATAAAGTTGAATTTTTGAGGATTTTCTAAATTCAAACAAACATTAAGTAATGCATGTTGACTATGATCATATAAAACACTTAGCTGTGCTGTTCTGGCTTTTTTCCTTCATAGACCAATTCCTTCCTAACCTGGATTCCACTGTCCTTGGTGAAAACTACTTTGATAGAACCTACCAGCTGCTTTATCTTTTGGTTAAAGGAACTATACCTGTTGAAATCCACACTGCCACAGTGATATTTGTTTCTTTCCAATTACCTGCTGTAACAGAAGATGACTTTTATACCTCTCACAATCTTGTTAGAAATCTTGCCTTGTTTCTAAAGATACCAAGTGACAAAATCCGTATCAGCAAAATGATAAGAGAGAAGAGTCTGCGGAGGAAGAGATCCATGGGATTTATAATTGAAATAGAGATTGGAGACCCTCCTATTCAGTTCTTAAACAATGGCACCACAGGTATGAATAACAGGTGTTTGAGAGGGAAGAATGTAATTACCAAATCTACATCCATAAATAACCTGATCAGGTCCTGATGAGCCAGGCCTCATCAACCCCACATCCTGAACCCTCTAAGCACCTAGAGACCCTTTTTCCTTCTTTGCTCCTATAATACGAAACTCTTTTGGAATTGGAAGGAATATGAGCCTCTGTTTTGTTATTGTGGTGATTAGTATATTCAACAAAAGAATTTGACCTAATATAAAAAGATCTGGGAAGACCTACCTAAGCAAGTGACCTTATAGATAAGGGATTAAGGATGAAAATAGTCAATGAAAAGACAGAGGAAAAGGTGTTCAAGGCTATGGAAATTGCTGGTGAGAGTTTGGTGCATTTGAAGAGAGGAAACAGGTCCAATTGCTCTGGAGTAGAAGGAGCCAGGAAGGAGAAGCAGCTGGAGGTGAAGCCGAGGGGTAGACAGGTGCTAGACATGGAGAGCTTTGGAATTTAAAAGAAGGACTGTGGATGTTTTCTTAAGAAAAAAAGGAGATATTCTTGGATATTCTGAGCATTGGCGCGGTGGATTAGACTTCCCACAGTAAAGTCACAGATTCACTCTAGCAAGGGCAGATGTGCAAAAACATAATCTGTCTTTATTTCCTATGATTGAGCTAATCGTCCTCACCAGCCATCATCCCCTCCCTCTGTCCCTCACTTCCTATTTTTTATCGAAGATAAAAGATAAGCTCAATTGTCCCATCAGAGATATCTCTGCCGGCTTAAATCATTTCCTTAGGACAACTCAGTTTAGGCACTTGGGTAAATGTTCAGCTCTTCAAATTTTCTTTCTTTCCATCTGCTCCTTTCAAGTTGGGGTCTGAATACTAACGGGCTGTCCTGGCCTCTGTCCTCATGTTATGGTCTTGTCTTCACAGCCTCTGCTACAGAGTGGGTCATCTTCTCTGTTCTACATATGCATCTCTTGAGGTGCTACTGAACTTTCCTGGTCTTCTGGCAAGCAATAGCATCCCCTGCTGCTAATCTGCAATCATGCCTTTGTCTTCAGTGGTCAAGCACAAGTACTCTGACCTACCCCTCCCCAAGAATAGGAGAGGCAGTTATCTGTCAGAGGAAGATCTACCATCCAGCTAATGAAGCTTAAGCTATAAGCCCCCTCACTGATACAAGTTCTGGGAGGCGCTTTCACTTTCAGTGCCCTAGGAGAGGTCTTCATAATGTGGTCAAATCATTGAATGTTACTGTGAACACTACAAAAGTACGATTTTTCTGCATTCCTTTTCCTAAAGAGAGCCTCCAGACTTGTATATACTGCAGTTCCACTAAGTTTGGATCTACCCTATCTACCTGTGTTCAGTCACTTTATTATTATACTCCCTGGCTCTGTGTAAACCTGGGTACCAGGTGAAGCTCTCACTTTATGCCACTAGCGATCTTCACTCATTTTCCCAGGAGGTTTGTTTCTAGGCATTGACCCTATGCACCTACTACATTCTCACTCTGGAATTCTACCAGCTAAGCAGACAGAAGTTTCTTCCACTGGGGGATACGTCTGTGGGAAGGCTTGCCTGTGTGGAGGGAGGTGTTTATAAACTCTCGGTTGGAAAAGCGTAGGAAGCACAGGCTTGTGTTGCAACCAGATCTCCCATGATGTTCTCTGCCCAGAGTCATAGTTAACTTTTCTTCATCAGTTCTGTACTCACTTGGACTTACAGGCTCAGGGTTTGGACTTAGCATGACTTTGCCTGTTACTTTAGTCTAGGAGTTGTAGAGGGCCCATGGCACACATACAGATTACTCACCTACTCTTAGAAATCCCTTGTGAGCCCTTACATGTCATGAGGTCCAAAATTATCACACTAGCCACTAGATATCCAAAGAGACTGGGATTTATTTTCTACATGTGACATACATTTCCAGATATAATCCCTCCTACGCCCATACACTTAAAGCAGTTTTAGCTTGTTAGATATATCCAGACAGGTCTTTGCTATTGTAAACAGTGCTGCACGATAGACTGGATAGGGAAAATGTGGCACATATACACCATGGAATATTATGCAGCCATCAAAAACGATGAGTTTGGGTCCTTTGTAGGGACATGGATGAACCTGGAAACCATCATTCTCAGCAAATTGACAGAAGAGCAGAAGATCAAACACCGCATGTTCTCACTCATAGGCGGGTGTTGAACAATGAGAACACATGGACACAGGGAGGGGAGCACTACACACTGGGGTCAGTTGGGGGGAAATAGGGGAGGGACGGTGGGGGGTGGGAAGCTGGGGAGAGATAGCAAGGGGAGAAATGCCAGATGTAGGTGATGGGGAGGAAGGCAGCAAATCACACTGCCACGTGTGTTCCTATGCAACAATTTTGCATGTTCTTCACATGTACCCCAAAACCTAAAATGCAATAAAATAAATAAATGGGGAAAAAAAAAAGATATATCCAGACAGGTATAGAACCATTGAAGAATGTGGAAGTTAGGGATGGTGGGAGGGACAGGCTAATGGCATGTTTTCCAAACATAGACTGGGATAGGGTTTCAAGTCTGAAGGAGAACCCTACAACTTGGTGAATCACAACAAAATGTTGAGAAGTGGCAAGAAAGATGTTCATGTAGTTGTTCTCCCAGCGCCTTGTAGCTTTTATATAGTATTAGGATATCCAGAAATTCACAGATGACCTAGAAAGGGGTCACCTATATATTAAGGCATTTCTGAGCAGAGTCCTGGAGTCAGGAATAAGAGGCCTTCAAATTAAGGTCTTTGGTTTCTCGAGGCAATCAGCAGAAAGGAGTGCCATCACATGTCTAACAGTCAGCAAGAACCTGTTAGTGCAGACCGGATCAGTCCTGCCATTCTGTGCCAAAATCCAGTGAAGACAAAGTAGTAATAGTAGTGTACAGACATGAACTATTACTGCTACAGCTAGATAAACAAGCCCTCAGGCTTGGGGTGCCTTCTTGGAGAAGGCTGTTTCTGGAGGGAGTATGAGGAGAGGGAGGAATCTGAAAGACTGAGCCTTTTCCCAAAAGAGTCCGCATCATCCAAAAGTGACCTTTTAAACTGAAAAGGACTGAAATGCCTTAGGACTGCGGAGTTCACAGTGTCATGTCATACCTGCTGGCCCAAGACTTTACCTCCTTCTTCCTGATCACTCTGAGCTTTATGGCTTACCAAGAATGGAAGAAACTCAGTGATTTGAGTCCTCAAGGTATGATTCTGGATATAGAAAGTACAAGGGGTTAGCAAGGCCTGCAATACACTAAAATATTATCCTGGTTTACAGTTGTTTCTTAAAATACCAGTCTGACTCCACAGAGCCAGTTTAAAAGTGGTTTTAATAATCCTGCTGATGTGGCTTTAACTAGGATTTTAACAGCAGGGACAGAGAGTGTTAGAAATTGATAATGAATTAGATGTGGTACAGTGGAGAGTTGAAGGAGAAAGGATTTAGCAAAACTACCAGGCTTCTGAAAAAAGGAATATGATGCATCAAGGTATCACTTTTTAAGGTAAGGACCAATATAGGGGCAGAAGGTTTAAGAGGAAATCCCAGACCTGCCATGCTAGAAAAAGGGAACAGAAACTATATGTAATGTTAAAAGTAACTGAAAATTGTCAAATGTTCAAAGCAAGTAACAACTGGTTAGTAACTCAATAACTTTAGCAACTAATACATTAATACATACTCATAATATGATAGATTCTAACTATCCTTCCATTCCAAAATTAAAACTCTTATTTTTTAAAATGACACACGATAGAAATGTATGATAATGCTACATTGGTAAACAAAGATTGACTTGAGAAAGTTTTAAATTTAGAGACATATATTCTTCCACTATGTTTTCATTCATTTTTCTTGTATCTGTTTTATCTACCTTTGTTTTTCATTTAATTCAAACTTAAAATATATTCTCCTGAGTTCTTCATTTTCCTATCCTCATTAACATGACTGTTGTGTTTTGCTCAGGTAAGATTAGAAAGCCTTGGACTTCTATAATGTGTTGGAGCAATGCAAAGAAAGCTAAAGTGAAAAACTCTCATGTGTTCTCACAATTCAATACTTTTATAATCCAAATGTCATAATACTGTTTCCCCACAGGTCAGATGCAAATATCTGAACTCCAGGAAACTGCTGGTTCTCTTGGACAAGCTGTAATATTAGGAAAAATCAGTCGCATCCTTGGATTTAATATTTCTTCCATGTCTATTACTAATCCCCTCCCCAGCCCAAGTGACTCTGGCTGGATTAAGGTAAGAAAATGCAAATAGAAAAAAAAATGCGTTTTTGCTACTTAAAATATCATTACTTATTTCTTCTTTTAACTCTGTTTCTATGTCAAGACAATAATTTGGAAGGCATGTCTTTATTATTTATTGTTGACTTTTTATAGGCTCGCTAAAATGATAATAAAGTTGTCTGAACAAAGGAGCATGTCTTCCAAAAATTGTGTATTGGCTCCAAATTTGCCTTGTTTTGCATATTTATAACAATGCTTCATAAATTTAATGGAGGAAACATTGTAATAATATTAATTTTACATATAGATCATATTTAAAAATAAATAATGAATATATTACACTCAGCCTGGCTAAAATGAGTCTGCTGCCGAGTGTAGTTTATCATGCAGAAACTGGTTCATCACTTTTCCATTCACAGGTAACCGCCCAGCCAGTTGAAAGGTCTGCATTTCCTGTTCACCACGTCGCCTTAGTGTCCTCACTCTCAGTGATCACTCAGCCGGTGGCAGCACAGCCGGGACAGCCGTTTCCTCAGCAGCCTTCGGTAAAGGCAACAGATTCTGACGTAAGCCATAACTCAAAATTTTATTTAAGTGAAGGAATTAAGCTTTAAATTCTGGAGGGTGAGCCAGTTTCATTCATCCTGGTGTGCTGGCCACCTGAGAATCACATAGCCCCTTTAGAAGTTGGACTAATATCTAAATAGACCATCTTGTACTGTCTTAAAATGTTCATGTTAAATGAACTGCTGCTGCTGCTCAGATTTATGAACTCTTAGTGTAGAATAAGGAGCTTCTTCAGATTTTCAATTTATAATGACGCATTTTTGAAAATAAAGTTTTGCATATATTTTTAAAAGAGTGAAAATAAGGCAATTGTTATAATTCTCTCCTTTTTTTTTTTTTTTTTTTTTTTAATTAATTTTTTTTTTATTTTTTTTTTTTTTTTTTTAAGGGTAACTGTGTATCAGTTGGAATTACTGCACTAACTTTGAGGGCCATACTCAAGGACTGCAATAATAACCAAGTCAGTGGCCTTAGTGGAAATACAACAATTCCATTTAGCAGCTGTTGGGCCAACTACACAGACCTTACTCCCTTTAGAACAGGTGTGTGCACTATTTTGGATCTTCACATATATATCCATAAATAGAGATAATTATAATGTTCTTTTGATGAACAAAGCATTCTATAAAACTCTGGTCATTAAATTATAGAAATCAGAATGCTATATTTTGCCTTGTTTCAGAAAATATTTAATCTAGCTTAAAGTAGATTTAATGGCTGGGCCTGTAATCCTAGCCTATAATCTTACCACTTTGGGAGGCTGAGGAGGGTGGATCATGAGGTCAGGAAATCGATAACATCCTGGCCAACATGGTGAAACACAGTCTGTACTAAAAATACAAAAATACCTGCGCATGGTGGCATGTGCCTGTAGTCCCAGCTACTCAGGAGGCTGAGGCAGGAGAATTGCTTGAACCCAGGAGGCTGAGGTTGCAGTGAGCCAAGATCGCATCACTGCACTCCAGCCTGGGCACCAGAGCGAGACTCTGTCCCACCACCAAAAAAAGATTTAATATGTGAAATAAATAGAAATTAATTAAGGAAATCAAAATTATGTCATGATTTATGTTATCCATTTGTATACTTTTCTAAATTTGCTCACTAAAGATGTATTACATTTATAGTAAGAAAAAATAACATGGATTTTCTCTTTTTTCCTTCTTTTTTTTATTTTACTTTAAGTTCTGGGGTACATGTGCAGATCTTGCAGGATTGTTACATAGGTATACACAGCCATGGTGGTTTGCTGCCTCCGTCCCCCCATCACCTACATTAGGTATTTCTCCTGTTATTCCCCCCAATCTCCCTACTCCCGGCTATCCCTCCCCAAACCCCCTAACCCCCAACAGACCCCAGTGTGTGATGCTCCCCTCTGTGTGTCCATGTGTTCTCATTGTGCAACACCCACTTATGAGTAAGAACATGTGGTGTTTGGTTTTCTGTTCTTGTGTCAGTTTGCTGAGAATTATGGTTTCCAGATTCATCCATGTTCCTGCAAAGGACATGAACTCATCCTTTTTTATGACTGCATAGTATTTCATGGTGTATATATGCCACATTATCTTTATCCAGTCTATCTTTAATAGGCATTTTTGGTTTGTTTTGGCTATGCAGGCTCTCTTTTGGTTCCATGTGAAGTTTAAGATGGTTTTTTCCAGTTATGTGAAGAAGGTCAATGGTAGTTTGATGGGGCTAGCATTGAATCTACAAATTACTTTGGGCAGTATGGCCATTTTCACAGTATTGATTCTTCCTAACCATGAGTGTGGAATGTTTTTCCATCTGTTTATGTCCTCTCTAATTTCCTTGAGCAGTGGTTTGTAGTTCTCCTTGAAGAGGTCCTTCACATCCTTTGTTAGTTGTATCATAGGTATTTTATTCTCTTTGTAGCAATTGTGAATGGGAGTTTGCTCATGATTTGGCTCTCTGTTTACCTGTTACTGGTGTATAGGAATACTTGTGATTTTTGCACATTGATTTTGTATCCTAAAACTCTGCTGAAGTTGCTTATCAGCTTAACGAGATTTTGGGCTGAGATGATGGGGTCTTCTAAATATACAATCATGTCATCTGCAAATAGAGACAATTTGACTTCCCCGTTTTCCAATTGAATACCCTTTATTTCTTTTTCTTGCCTGATTCTTCTGGCTAGAACTTCCAATACTATGTTGAATAGGAATGGTGAGAATGGGCACCCTTGCCTAGTGCCAGTTTTCAAAGGGAATGCTTCCAGTTTTTGCCCATTCAGTATGATATTGGTTGAGGGTTTGTAATAAATAGATTTTATTATTTTGAGATATGTTCCATCAATACCTAGTTTGTTAAGATAAAGGACTGTTGAATTTTGTCAAAGGCCCTCTCTGCATCTATTGAGATAACCATGTTTTTTTTCTTTGGTTCTGTTTATGTGATTGATTACGTTTATAGATTTGCATATGTTGAACCAGGCTGAAGCCTACTTGATTGTGATGGATAAGCTTTTTGATGTGCTGTTGCACTTGGTTTGCCAGTATTTTATTGAAGATTTCTGCATAGATATTCATCATGGATATTGGCCTGAAATTTTCATTTTTAGTTATATCTCTGCCAGGTTTTGGTATCAGGATGATGTTGTTCTCATAAAATGAGTTTTCTTTAATTATTTGGAATAATTTCAGAAGGAATGGTACCAGCTTCTCTTTGTACATCTGCTAGAATTTAGCTGTGAACCCTTCTGGACCTGGACATTTTTTGGTTGGTAGGCTATTAATTGCTGCCTCTATTTCAGACCTGGTTATTGGTCTATTCAGGGATTCAATTTCTTCCTGGTTTAGTATTGGGAGGGTGTAAATGTCCAAGAATTTATCCATTTCTTCTAGATTTACTGGTTTATGTGCATAGAGTTGTTTGTAGTAATCTCTGATGGTAGTTTGTATTTCTGTGGAATTGGTGGTGATATCCCCTTTATCATTTTTTATTGCATCTATTTGATTCTTATCTGTTTTCTTTTTTATTAGTCTGGCTAGTGGTCTATTTTGTTGATCTTTTCAAAAAACCAGCTCCTGGATTTATTGATTTTTTTGAAGTGATTTTTGTGTCTCTATCTCCTTCATTCTGCTCTGATCTTAGTTATTTCTTGTCTTCTGCTGGCTTTTGAATTTGTTTGATCTAGCTCCTCTAGCTCTTTTAATTTTGACAATAGGGTGTTGATTTTAGATCTTTCCTCGCTTATCATATGGGCATTTAGTGCTATAAATTTCCCTCTGGACACTGCTTTAAATGTGTCCCAGAGATTCTGATGTGTTGTGGCTTTGTTCTCATTGGTTTCAAAGAACATCTTTATTTCTTCCTTCATTTCTTTATTTATCCAGTAGTCCTCCAAGAGCAGGTTGTTCAGTTGTACAATTTTGAGTGAGTTTCTTAATCCTGAGTTCTAATTTGATTGCACTATGGTCTGAGAGACTGGTTGTTATGATTTCTGTTCTTTTGCATTTGCTGAGAAGTGATTTACTTCCAATTATGTGGTCAGTTTTAGAGTAAGTGTGATGTGGTGCTCAGAAGAATGTATATTCTGCGGACTTGGGGTGGAGAGTTCTTTAGATGTCTGTTAGGCCTGCTTGGTCCAGATTTGAGTTCAAGTCCTGGATTCCTTGTTAATTTTCTGTCTGGTCAATCTGTCTAATATTGACAGTGGAGTGTTAAAGTCTCCCGCTATTATTGTGTGGGAGTCTAAATCTCTTTGTAGGTCATTAAGAACTTGCTTTATGTAACTAGGTGCTCCTGTATTGGATGTGTATATATTTAAGATAGTTAGCTCTTCTTGTTGCATTGATCCTTTTACTATTATGTCATGCCCTTGTCTCTTTTGATCTTTGTTGGTTTAAAGTCTGTTTTATCAGAGAGTAGGATTGCAACCCTTGCTTTTTTTGGCCTTCCATTTGCTTGGCAAATCTTTCTTCATCCTTTTATTTTTAGTCTGTGTGTGTCTTTGCACATGAGATGGGTCTCCTGAATACAGCACACCGATGGGGCTGGACTTTTTATCCAATTTGTCAGTCTGTGTCTTTTGATTGGGGCATTTAGCCCATGTACATTTAAGGTTAATATTGTTATATGTTAATTTGATCCTGCCATATTGATACTAGCTGGTTTCTTTGCCCATTAGTTGAAACAGTTTCTTCATTGAGTTGATGGTCTTTACCATTTGGTATGCTTTTGCAGTGGCTGATACTGGTTGTTTCTTTCTATGTTTAGTGCTTCCTTCAGGAGATCTTGCAAGGCAGGCCTGGTGGTGACAAAATCTCTCAGCAACTGCTTGTCTGTAAAGGATTTTATTCCTCCTTCACTTATGAAGCTTAGTTTGGCTGGATGTAAAATTCTGTGTTGAAAATTCTTGTCTTTAAGGATGTTGAATATTGACCCCCACTCTCTTCTGACTTGTAGGGTTTCTATCAGGAGATCCACTGTGGGTTTGATGGGATTCCCTTTGTGGGTAACCCAATATTTCTCTCTGGCTGCACTTAGCATTTTTTCCTTCATTTCAACTCTGGTGAATCTGATGATTATGTGCCTTGGAGTTGCTCTTCTTGAGGAATATCTTCGTAGTGTTCTCTGTATTTCCTGTATTTGAATGTTGCCCTGCCTTGCTAGGTTGGGGAAATTCTCCGGGATAATATCCTGAAGAGTGTTTTCCAGCTTGGATTCATTCTCCCCGTCATATTCAGGTACACCGATCAAATGTAGATTAGGTCTTTTCACATAATCCCATAGTTCTTGGAGGCTTCGTTCATTTCTTTTCACTCTTTTTTCTTTAATATTGCCTTCTCATTTTATTTCATTGAGTTGATCTTCAATCTCTGATATCCTTTCTTCTGCTTGATTGATTTGGCTATTGAAACTTGTGTATGCTTCACGAAGTTCTCATGCTGTGTTTTTCAGATCTATCAAGCTGTTTGTATTCTTCTCTAAGCTGGTTATTCGAGTTAGCATTTCATTTAACCTTTTTTCAAGGTTCTTAGTTTCTTTGCATTGGGTTAAAACATATTCCTTTAGTTCAGAGGAGTTTGTTATTACCCATCTTCTGAAGCCTGCTTCTGTCAACTCATCAAACTCATTTTCCATCCAGTTTTGTTTCCTTGCTGGTGAAGAGTTGTGATTCCTTGGAGGAAAAGAGGCATTCTGGATTTTGGTGATTTCATCCTTTTTGTGCTCGTTTCTTCCCATCTTCATGGATTTATCTACCTTTGGTCTTTGAAGTTGGTGACTTTCAGATGGCCTCTCTGAGTGGACGTCCCTTCTGTTGATATTGAAGCTGTTTCTTTCTGTTTTTAGTTTTCCTTCTAACAGTCAGGTCCATCTGCTGCAGGACTGCTGGAGGTCCACTCCAGACTCTGCTTGCCTGGGAATCACCCATGTGGGCTACAGAACAGTAAAGGCTGCTGCGTGTTCCTGCTTCTGGTATCTTCATCCCAGAAGAGTACCTGCCAGATGTCAGCCAGAGCTTTCCTTTATGAGGTGCCTCTTTGGATATATGGGGATCAGGGAGCCACTTGAGGAGGCAGTCAGCCCTTTATCGAAGCTCCAGTGCTGTGCTGGGAGCTCCGTTGTTCTGTTCAGAGCTGCTGGGCAGGGATGTTTAAGTCTGCTGCAGCAGAACTCACAAATACCTCTTTTCCCAGGTGCTCTGTCCCAGGAAGGTGGGACTTTATTTATAAGTCCCTGACGTGCTGCTGCCTTTTTTCAGAGATGCCTTGCCCAGCAAGGAGGGTGTCTAGTCACAGTCTGCCTGCAGGGGTGTTGCTGAGCTGCTGGGGCCCAACTGCTATGTAAAATTCCTTGGGGTTTTGTTTACATAGGTAAAGTTAGAACTGCCTCGGTAATGGCGGACTGCCTCAGTAATGGCAGAATGCCTTGGTAATGGAGGGTTGCCTCGGTAATGGTGGACTGCCTCGGTAATGGCGGACTGCCTCAGTAATGGCAGACGCCCTTCCCCCACAGAGCGACCATCCCCTGTCAAGCTCAAACTGCTGCGCTGGCTGTGAAACTCAAGCCAGTGCATTTCAGATTGCTGGTCTTTGTTGGGGTGGGATCCACTGAGCCAGACCACCTGACTCCCTGCTTTCAGCCCCCTCTTTTTCAGGTGAATGGGCAACTCTGTCTCCCAGGTGTTCCAGGTGGCAGTTAAAACAGCTGCCCAGATTTGTGTGGGTTTTTGTGCTGGAAACCCATGGCACCAGCTGAAACAGTCATCCTGGAAACATGCAGCACTTGTCAGCTGGCAGGTGGGAGTCTCCTGGTCTGCGGGCCATAAAGACTGCAGGAGAAGTGCAGTGTCTGATCTGGAGTGCCAGAGTAGCTGGCAAAGCCCCTGATGGCCTCTGTTGGTTAGGAGGGGGATCCTCCAGTTTGTTGCACTTCCTGTGTGAGGCATCGCCGCATCCTGCTGCAAATTGCACTCCTTGATCTACACCCAGTGTCCAACAATTCCCATAGAGATGAACCCAGTACATCAGGTGAAATACGGAGATCACTCACCTTCTGCCTTGCTGTCACTGGGAACTGTGTTCTGGAGCTGTTCCTATTTGGCCATCTTGGCCACACACCCCCTCTTTTTTTTTAACATATAAATTTTCAAATTCAATAAAAGAAAAAATAGGCTCATATAACTTTGATACCTTAAGGAGGAGTTCAGAGTTGGGCTAGAAAGTTGACTGTAGTCTTTCGGAAAGCCAAGGCAAAAAAGAAAATGAATATTATCATAATTTACAGTACCCATCAAATAAACAGACCAGTTGCTGTGGAAAATTAATAATATTCTCTGAGAACAGAACTAATGTCTCCTGTGACTTCTCAGACAAAGTGTGCACAATTAATCTGTATTAAGTGATATCGTCATCATCGGTGCAGTAAATACAGCCATGACTGCTACAATTATGTTTTTTAAATACTATCTTCATAGAGGTTGATGACACAACTCTGATTGGTAAAAACCATCATACTAGGGCCTGAATGATATATTCCCAAACAGATCTCTCTTGGTGATAAAATGTAGAGTATCTAAAGGAATGAAATGGATAAACTGCTTGCATTTGAGAAAGGCCTCCATTGTTGTTTGTTCCAACCTCAGGCCCATTTAAAGACAGTTAGGGGCCTTAACTTCTGAAAAGGCTATGTAGAGGAACCCCCATCAATTTTTTTACCCTGATTGTTTTGTTTCTCCATGCTTTGGTAGTGCCCTACACCAGATATGTCCAGTCTGCCTACTGAGCAGCAATATCTCAGCCTAATGTTTGATAATTAAATGACAATGAGTTCAGTGTTGTGCTCCTAGATAAGTATCTAGTGTTCCACTGCTTTCTGGTTAAGAGCAGAACTAACTTCTTTTAACTATCAGCCCAAATGGAATGTTTTTATGGGAAATGAGACACCTGACAAGAACCCTACTGAAAGGATGTTTGCTTACCTCCTCATGAGGGTGGACCCAATAAGTGGTCAGTGGCAAAGACCCAACCTTGTGACCAAGGTCTTCAAACTACAATGTTTCAAAAGTACCCAGGATCACTGGAGCACACACTAAAATAGGTTTTGGCATTTTACTGTGGCAACAAAATAATAATTAAAGCACTTTTCTTTTATACATTAAGTTTTCTTTCAGAATTCTTGGAGTGTCTATCTTACTGGCTATGGAAAAGCACCAGTGCTCTTTACCTGTCCGTCTGTCACTCCTTCCTTCCTTCCTCTCTCCCTCCCTCTATTCCTTCCTCCCTCCTTTCCTTTCTTCTTCCCTCCCTCCCTTCCTGGAGTGTCAATTTCTCTTGCTATGGAAAAGAACAAGTGCTCTTCACCTGTCCTTCCTTCCTTCCTTCCTTCCTTCCTTCCTTCCTTCCTCCCTCCCTCCCTCCCTTTCTCTTCCCTCCCTCCCTCCCTCCCTCCCNTTTCTCTTCCCTCCCTCCCTCCCTCTCTCCCTTCCTCTCTCCCTCCCTCCCTTCCTCCCTCTTTCCCTCCCTGCCTTTCTCTTTCCCTTCTTCCCTCCCTCCCTTCCTGGAATGTCTATCCTACTTGCTATGGAAAAGAACCAGTGCTCTTCAGCTGTCCCTCCCTCCCTCCCCACTCTTCATCCCTCCCTCCCTCCCTTCCTTCCTTCCTTTCCTCTCTCCCTCCCCACTCTGTCCTCTCTCTTACCATCTCCTTCTCCCCTCCCCACTCCCTCCCTTCCTCTCTCACTTCCCACTCTGTCCTCTCTTTTACCATTTCCTTCTCCCCTCCCCTCTTCCTCTCCCTCTCCCCTTTTCTTCATCAAGTGTGGCATCTCAGCTCCCTGGTTATGTACAATAAGGAAAGTCTCTTAAGTATAGGAATCTCTTCATTATTTTTAAATCAATTAGTCAGTTTGTAGATTAACCACAGTAAAATTATAATAACAATAAAGCATTAGTGAGAAAATTAACAGAACATCTTTCACTGACTCTTTCTAGCAGGTTACCCCCACAGTCACTGCACTGAAGGAAATCCCCTTGCTGATCAGACTGCAGCCTGACAGGACAGCACCCCTTTTCTACATATAGCTACATAACGAGCAAAGCAGGGTACTTGGATAGAGGAGATATGGGTTGTGGTTTCTAACACAGAAAATGGTGATGGAAGAATTGGGTGAGAAACAGGTGGGAGGAAAAAGTTCTGAATAAAAAGGGTATTGCTAACAGACTTGGAATATAATTTGTTTAGCATCCTATGTAATGTTTAGTGTTTCTTTCCATTTCTATTGCTATGTAACAAACCAGCCCCAAATCTAATAATTTGATTTGTTCACAATTGTGTGGGTCAGAAATTTGGGCCGGGATGGCTCATCTCTGCTCCACAACATCTGGGGCTTCAGCTATGAATTTCTATTAGCTAGGGCTGGCTAAGATGGCTTTATCAAGGTTATATCTCCATGGACCTGAGTCTGGATTTTGGCTGGGTTCTTCAGTTCTCCTCTATGTGGTCTTTCCATAAGGCTAGCTTGGGCTTCTTCACACTTCTGGAGGAGAAAATCAAAAGGACTACCCTAAATAATTTGCTCATCAAAAAAATTAATAAAAAAATTCACCTGCCACAAAATTCAGATTTTTTTAATGCAAAAAAGAAAAAAAATTTTAATAGACCATTGTCAGGAATTGTCAGTGACAGAAAATTCTATAGTACAGTACCCATATATCCTGAAAGTTATATAATGACTTGCTATTGTTCATGAAACCACAGACATGATCAAAATCTAATTATATTCTCTTCCAAAAAAAAACAGAAATGACTTTTTTTGGAAACAAATAATAGAGAAAACAGACGAGTAAAAACTTACAGGGCTGTACAAGTATTAGAAACACCATTCTGTGTGGTGACTACTATTAATGATAGCAGTAGACCCAAAAGAAATGATAGCAAGGAAAATATGTTAGTTGTCTCATGTTAAAAACTCTGGGAAGATTTAACCTGGAGGTTAAGTAATATTTAGATGGGCTCTTGAAGTTTTTTACATTCTAAACACAAGTAATAATGTTTCTAAAATGTCTACCTGAAGTAATGAGAAAGGGTTACAGTCCTGTAATACAAAAATAGCATCTAACTTCAAACAAATGTGAAAGATGGTAGAAGTTTTTTGAATATGAATAAAGGGCATATGATTTTTTTTGCTGCATTATTCTTTCAACCCTTTTCTTGTTTGAAATTTTTCAAATAAAAAGTTCAGTATCCATCCCCACCCCCCCAACTGAGACCGATGCGTCTCCACTCCTAGGTCAAGTATGAAGGGATGAAACTGAGATTCAACGCCTTAACCTCTCTTCCCTATTGTCCCTCATTTCCATTTCCAACAGCCTTTGCCCAGTCCTGGGCACTGGGAAGGGGCCCTAAGAAGCAGGTATTGCTGCTGCAGAAAGAAAATCTACCCAGCTTCGCCACTGTTCAGTTAATGGGCAGATTGAACTCATCTAACTCTGAGACCCTGTCTACACTTGCCTGTACTTAAACTAATTTATTTGACTCAACTTTCAAAAATATTTCATCAGGATCTAAATACTGTTTTTTCAGTCAATGAAAACCAAATTAGAACTGTTTGAAAACAAGTAAAAAAAAAAATCAAACACTATGATGCTTTTTTTTTCCAGGTAAAAATTATAAGATTGAATTCATACTGGATAATGTTGCTCGGGTAGAATCCAGAACTTTCAGCCTGCAGGCAGAGTCTGTCTCTAGCAGCAGCAGCAGCAGCAGTGGCAGCAGCAGCAGCAACAGCAAAGCATCAACTGTGGGTACCTCTGCTCAGATAATGACTGTAGTAATTAGCAGTCTGATTGGAAGAATGTGGCTCTTGGAAATATTTATGGCTGCAGTTTCGACTGTGAATATAACTTTAAGTAAGTAGAGTTCATTAAGATAATATTTCTCCGCATATTGAAGTACCAGTATTTACTGGATAAAGGCTGTGTGCACAGCTCTTGTGCATGGTATTACTGTGGGGACAAAGAGAAAGTAACAGCCTCAATGGCAGAGACAAGACAACCTACAGAAAGTGTTATTCGCTACATGTTGGTCTCTAAGAATGTGGTGAAACAAGGCTGGGCACAGTGACTCACACCTGTAATCCCAGCATTTTGGGAGGCTGAGGCAGGTGGATTGCTTGAGGTCAGGAGTTGGAGACCAGCCTAGCCAACATGACAAAACCCCGACTCTACTAAAAATAAAGAAATTAGCCAGGCATGGAGATGCGCAACTGTAATCCCAGCTGCTCAGCAAGCTGAGGCAGGAGAATCGCTTGAGCCTGGGAGGCAGAAGCTGCAGTGAACCGAGATCCCACCACTGCACTCCAGCCTGGGTGACAGAGCGAGACTCTATCTCAAAAATAATACATACATACATACATACATAAAGTGGAAAAGTAAAAGTGCAGGTCATGTCAGAACTCTTTTTGAATTGCAGGATGCAGATTCTTAGCTTGAATTGATTAGACAGTAAAGTGATCACTTAGCTGAAAAGTCCAGAAGTTGTCTGGTTTCTCAAACAGCTGGATCTAAAGACTCAAATGATATCTTCCAGAACATCTGTCTCTTTTTTAATAAGCTCCACTTTCTTTGGTGTTAGCTTCACTCCCAGGCTGACTCTTCATCACCCCAAATCCTCATTACAAAGGTACCCGCTATCATCCTCTACCAGCCCCTCAGCCAATGCAGATAGAGCTAACCTCTTTCCCAACAGTTCAGCAAAAGCCCCAAAGCTATGTCATTGACCTGGCTTGGGTCACATGCCCATTCCCGAACCAATCACTGTGGCCATAGCGTTCTAATTAGCTTGGCCTGGGTCACGTCGGGTAAGGTACTGAGAATGGTGAAGGTGTAGTTTCACTAAGGAAAATAAAGATGCTAGTAGTACTGGAAGTGATAGGCAGACAGAGACACTGAATATTAGAGAAATTAATAAAAAGGAGAGGTTCCTATATGATTAGAGATGATTACACATGTCATTGCATTATCAACACATGAAAGTCAGGATTGTATAAAATATATAAGATTTGGAGAGGGAGGGAAAAGGCACTCAGGAACAGAGACATGATAGGAGCAAAGAAAAAATGGCAGTGGAATAAAACATCTGCAATTATACATGTTTAGCACAGAATTCCTCATCATCATCTTCAAACACACTTCTCCAGCTTCCCCATCTCAGTTAATGCCAGTGCCATTTTTGCCTCCATATTGCTGTCAGATTTAGGTTACGTAATGCTAACAGTAATCCCAAATCCTCAACTATTTCTCACTACATGAAAAAAATATAACCAACATCAAAGGCCTTGAAACCAGAATTGAAGACTGCCTCCTTGTACCAAATCATTTCCAGTAAGAATTCTCTCCATCCTACATAGTCCCTGTATCTATACCTAGGCTGTTTGCCTCTACTCACCAAGGTCACCTCTCCCAGCATCCTTCCAGGTCTTGCTCAAATGCCACCTCATCCAGCAGGTTTCCCTTCTTCCTTCCCACTCTATATTTAATTCTCTTCTCCCTTTGTCTCCAAGTGCACTTTATGTTTGTACTATTATTACAGTCCTTTCTATAGTGTACTTGTGTTAAGCTTATATTCAAATGTCTTCCTTACCAAATTGTGAGCACTTAGAAGACTGTATACCTTACATATTATAAGTACTAAAAATGTGGTTTAATTGATTTTAAATCTTGAAAGTGAAAGTTAAGTCTTTACCTCTGAGTTAAGGGGAGATGTTGAGTAGGGGTATTGTAGGCAAATTGTAAAGAGCTTTGATTGGAACATATTAATCGGTTTGAAATTCATTTAATGGGGGAGAGTTTCTGACAGGTTAATGAAAAAAATCACATAAGAGATACTGTATAATAAAGTCGAGGAATTTGAGGTGCGGTAACAATTTAGAAGAATACTAAAGCATATTGAACAATGAAAGCCAATACTAGATTTTAAATTTAAAGGATGAGAGGACATAGTAAGGCTGGGTCTGGAAGTGATAAAACAATCTGGAGACTGAAACAAACCACTGGGATCTTTCTTAGAAAGCCAGAAAACAAGAAGAAGGAAATCCTTTCTTCTTTCCTAATGGCAGAAATTAACTGGAGTCCAGTGGTAAAGGGAGAAGCAAATTTTGCAGACACCTTGTCTTGGCCTCTTAGAGCTGATGACAGATGGGGTTTTATGTTATTTTTATGCCAATTTTCTTGTCTCCAGAATAGTAATAAAAGTAAGACCAGTTGTTTATTTTATAATAGGATGACAAATATTTCTTTATTTTATTTCTTCCCAGAAGCATTAAAATATAAGGTCTGATTGGCTAAATATTGCTCAATATATATTTGTGCATTTTGCGTTGCCTCATTAAGTGCAAAAATCTTTATTGACTTTCATCCTGCCTACTCCTGACAACTTTGGTACTTTACCAAATTAATATAATTCTATTTTCAAATAATTAGTAAATGATATAGCTCCTACGTTTTTCCAGGACCTTTTCCAAATAAAAAGACTAATCAATGTCTTCTTTTTTCCTACTAAATAAACTACCATTTTTCAATTAAGATATAATTTAAACACCATTAATGAATTAAAATGCTGGATTCTTTATAACTTTGCATTCTGAACTAACAATATACTACTTTTAAGAGAATCATGAAATTTCACCAAATAAAAGACCTTATATTTTAAATGTGTATTTTTAAACATGAAAAATAAAAAATCTTGTATAAGCATCAGAATCTATAAATTTCTACTAAAAAAGCCCATTACTGATTCTAACATTAAGTGGGTAAACTTTGAAATACTGTTATCTATACCATAAAAAAATGAGAAAAGTTAAAATTAATGAAATATATTGTAAATTATATACTGTATGCTAATACTACTTAAAAATTGTTTTGTATTGTTTTCATTTTTCAGGAAGCTACTAAAGTGCTGTTCTGAAGAATAGGCTGAAAACAATAATATGAGAATTGCTTGTTTATTTGCTATTTTGTTGTGCAACAGGGAAAAGTCTATAGCATTTTCATGAAAATATACAAAAAATATTTTTATAATATATAAAATGTACTAATTAGCTTTAAACACAAAAATCAGATTTCTTCAAAATATAAATTCGTTTTGATTCTTTTTATTTGTATGTTCTTATTTCAATAAACTTCCAGAAATCTGTCATTTGGAAGTAGATATGACACCTCTAAGTTATTGTACCAACAAATCTCCTTTAAATAATTGAAAGAACTTGTCTAGTTCAGACTTAAGCTCTTTACATTGGATTGGAAGTATTTTAAGTATTTTTCTAAATACTGGGGCAGGGGGGTGGTTCTTATTTTCTCTATCCATTTATAAGGCTTTGATTTCCAACAATCTAAGCCATTCTAGTTTCTAAGCATTTTGGAAAGATGAGTTTATTTTCACACAATCTGATTCACAGTAATCTCAGGAATTCTAGACTGTCCTGTATTTCTGGATTTGCCAAACTCTGGCCAATATTCTAAGAAAAGTTTTCTTGTCCTTGGAATGAGCTTTTGGAACAAGTCCAAACTCCTTTTCTGCCTATCCCTCTTTCCCACTCAAAACTGCCACTACGAAGAGCATGACTCCCCTCAATCTCGGGCACCAGTTGAGGGTTGAGAGGTTCCCTCAACTGGTGGATGCGTATACACTGTTTACTGGATGAATGAAGCATAAAGTGTGGGGACGTCAACAACAGAACAGAACAAACTTATTTTCAAGAAGATAAATTGTAGAATGCCAAGAAGCTACAGACTAATGTAGCTAAGTTAACTAAAATTCTAATACTATTAAAAATTGCAAATTTTTACTCAGAAGATTCTAAAGGGAATACTTAATTTGACAGAACTCCCAATAAAGACATTGTAGCCTTATCCAGAGCTGGTAGATTTGGTGCTCATGAAAGTTACCTTTCAGCAAGTGACACTCAGCAAACATTTGGGACAGCTGAGAGAATTCAACAAAACCCATACCTTTGTCTCTTGTATACCATCTCCTGGTACATGCACCTCATATCATTGTCAATTTTGCTTAGCAGGAAATGTATAAACACTTACCAAGTAGTAAAATTAAATATCTTGGTAAATGTGGCATTTCACTCATTTGAGCAGTATCTGTTAAGTGTTCTAGTAAGTAGGAAGGCTACAAGAAATAAGACGCTATGCCTTCCCTCCAAGAGTTTTCAGACATTCGGGGAAAGAGTGGAAACAGACCATTTGAATACAACATGATCACTGTCTCAGGGAGAGAGACAGAAAAGACGGGGAGAGAGAGAGAGAGAGAGAGAGAGAGAGAGAGAGAGAGAGAGAGATGGGTGGAATCTGGGCAGCAAAGACAAGGGCACTTGCCTGGGAGAAAGAGCATCTTGTGAGGATGGAGATGGGTGAGGGGCAGCTTCCAGAAGATGCCCAGGATGAGTGCTGAGAAATAAAGCATGGGATTAAGGAAGGCTGTCTCAGCAGAAAGTATGGTGGCAAGAGTGAAGACCATCAGACAGCAAGTGCCCTGAAGGCAGGGGCTCTCCCTTACATAACACTTTTTTCCCTGTCATCTAAAAAAATGTCTAGTACTGGTGGGGGGTACAGTTTTAACCAGATACTCAAATAGAATTTTTGGCTAAGACAAAGTACAAAAGCAGATACCAGACAAAGATGTAACACTTTTTAAATTAGGAAGCTTAAAATAGTAGGGATTTAAGGGACGATTTTGAAAGAGCAGTTCTTTAGAAATGGCTGTGCTGGGGATGCCCCTTTTCAAAGGGAAAGGAGTGAGGTACTAGCTCCTAACACCAAGTGAAAAGAAAAAGACTTTCAATACGCTCATGGAAAACTTAACAGGTGTTCTCTGAGGTTTGGGACACACAATGGAGTGGTGTCTGAGTCGTGGCTGATGCATCTAACCAGAGAGTAGTTGGCTGAAGCAGCTGATGGCAGCCAAGTCTAGGGCTATAGTGTAGAAGGTAACAGCAGAGCATTACCTATAGTTTCTTGGGCAAAGGATGTGTCCCATGAATATGATGTGGGCCGTGTGTGTGTAAGAGAGACAGAGAGAGAGCATGAGGTTGCTAGCAATATGGAGGCCTTATGCCTTGTTCAAGAGGGCTACCTAGAAGGAGAGTAGAAGGAAACCGGGAGAGGACCACTGGAGGCCTAGGGGCTGCAGAAAAAGTTCAAACAAACAGCTAGAATAGAAATAGTCACAATTTTAAGGGAACTGCAGATAAGAGGTCCATGACAAGGTAGTCTTCAAAGTATACATGAAAGCTCCTTCATGAGGAACATTTGCCATGTCCAGAGAGCATTGATACTTGATTGTACAGCACCAGGTAACAGAGCACTTTTATACTCCCCTCAGTTCCAACCCTGGTGGAGTGAAAAACCACTGTTCCTGAGATAGGGAGGGGGAAAGGGACTCAACATGGGCCATTTCATGCTAAGACTTAAAAATCAGGCTTCCTAAGGCAAATCCAGTTTACCTTTCATTCCGTGATACTTCCTTTCTGTTAGAAAACTAAATTCCAAAAACTACAATTCCAGCATCTATGAAACAAATTCCTACATTTGGGCTCTGGAAGAGATACAAAAGTATTCTTCACACCAGAACACTGTAAAGGCCATAAAATTGTCCACCATCTGTATTCTTTTCTTACCTAAAGGTATAATTCCGTCCACTGGAGTTTTTTTGTCAAGATTTTTCTGTTAGTTTTTAATAAGGAAATTTTCTAATACAAGTTATGTGGCAGTAAAAGGATTTCTAAAAATTGCTTCTTAGACACAGACTTTGTTAAAAAGTTCCAGATTTAACTGCTTTAGGTTTCTGGCTGTCTGCTTTTTAAGAACTTTCTAGAATTATCATAATACATAATTGCTTATTCCAGATAAATTACAATTTAATTACTACTTTTAAAAATGCTTGAATTATTGGAACCATGGGCAATGTGGCTTCACATATCCTTTATTCATATGCTAAGCAACTTTTATTTTTGCTTTTAAAGTTTTTGCATTTAAATAATATTTCTGTGAACATTCCTGTCTTAGAAATTGATGTATAAATTCTTAAAATAACTTTTATTTTAAGAAGTGGCTATCTAGCTCTTGAACAAGTCATAAAAATCCTTTGGTGTGTTAATACTCTTCTACCCAAGACCTGAAATGTTGGTGAAGTAAATATATTGTTCCAATTTTAGTCAAAGAAACAGAGAATAAGAAGTTAATAAGAATAGCTTCTTGTATTTCTCATAATAAGTGAAATGTTTACATCTTGTACTACTGTCTCTACTCTTTCCTAAATTCCATCACCTTCTGATCATTGCAATGACTTCTAGATGGTTCATCTGTTTTTACCTCTTATCTATTATATCCAAAAGTGCTATTTAAAATACTCCTAGCACTAATAACAACAATTATCAATAATAAAGGTTTATCACATGTTCACTACATGCTAGACACTATGCTGTGTGCTTTACATTGACTCTTTCCTTGCAGCAGTCCTATGAGGATAACCTTATTCCCTTTTCCAAATGAAGAAACTTGAAACATTGAAAGGTTAGGTAAAATTCCCAAGTTCACAGAGCTAGTAATGGTAAAGTTGGGATTCAAACCCAGACAACTTAACTCCAGAGCCCAAAGTCCAACATTTAATTGCTTCCCACTTTTCCTCAAGAATGGGCAAGTGCTTCATTGTGAAGTGTTTAGTTCAAATTCCCGTTCAAATTCTTGGTTTATACTTTCTCACTTTTATGCCCTCAGGCAAGTTCTTAGTTTTCCTTATTCTCAGTTTCTTCAACTATAAAATGTGGAAAGTGTGGTATTTGAAGACTGATGGTATCATATATATGACATGTAACAGAGTGCCTAACAGTTGGTAGGTTTTCAATAAATGATAGCCACTCTTGTTGTTTTTATTTCCATAATGTTGCCTATATCATGTCAATCCCTGGCCCAGTAAACGGTTAGGCTTCTTGTTACACTGGAACAGTGCCTGGCATGCAATAAGCACTATGCGAGTGCTAATTATGAGAATTATTAGAGTGGGCACAGGGCCACCTAGAACAAAAATTTCCTAGCTTCACTTGCAGTGAAAGTGATCAACTTCTGTGCAGTGGGTTAAAAAACAGACATTATCTCATGGCATATTCTAGAAACTGTCCTTAAAACATAGCTATTATGCATCCCTTTGCCATTCCTTCACCCCTTCCTGTTTTCCCTGCTACGTGGAGCAAGATAGCTCCAGAGACCTGGAGGATAAAGGCCAGTGCCTTTCACTGCTGCATAACTTTTATTAGGAAATCTCCTTATTAAAAATCTACAGAAAAATCTTGACAAAAAAAATTCCAGTGGATTGAATTAAACCTTTAGGTAAGTAAAGACTACAGATAGGGAACAATTTTATTGCTTTTACAATGTTCTGATGTGAAGAATATTTTTATACCTCTTCCAGAACCCAGAGAGCTCCGCTCAAAGGAGTTTGGGTTCCTGGCATTGTGGTGTCCTATACTACCATCCCTTGGTCCTTTAGGGTTTCACTGTTATTTGGTGATGATCCTAATCCTAAAAGATATACCCCCTGCTTTCACCAGATGTCTGAGATGGCAAAATTTGAAAGGAACAAGAGAACAGAGAGTTAATCCTTCCTACTGCGAGAGGTGGACAATGCCAGCGTTAAAATACCACATGCATCTTTGAGTTATTACCTATACCCTACCAAATGGAAATCCTTAAACCTTGATCTGAATCCATTATGTGTTGGGTTGGAGAACCTACTGAAACAGTTGGAGGGTCCTGCCCTTTTTCTAAACTCATCAGTGGGCTTTTTCATCTTCCCTATGATGGCAGCAGCTTCAAGGAGTGTTCAGTCTCCAGTGAAAGAAACATTAAGATTTATTCCACAATTTCCCTTCCCCAGAGAGTAGCTACAGACACACTGTAGAAGACCAAACAGGAAAAGTCTGCCATAGGGGACACAGTAGGTACTTGAATACTTGTGGGCAGTCTGACCAGCTACAAACCTCTTATTGCCTTACTTGCAAGTCCTAATATAGTACTGTAGTTATCATAATTCCATCATTCTGAAATTAGAAAGATGGTCATAAAAAAAACTGTTCTTTCTAAGAATGCTGTTCACCCATGAATGCTGATTTTATTAGAGAAGTTTTTTGGAGG